AGGAAAATGAGCAACCTCATAAACATCAACAGCTCGGCAATCGGCAATCCAATCAGAGATTAAAAAGCCGCCCCGCAGACACAACGCCCACTGATTGTTTCCTTCTTTCCTTCCTTCCTTCCTTTCATCCTCCGCTGCTCATCCTCAATCCCCTGTCGCCCCCGGGGTTTCTGTTGTGTCAAAATGCAAAATTCAATTGTTTAGCCCTTCTGTTCTGGCTGGCTGGCGAGGGGTTGGCAGTTCCCAGTTCGCAGTTGCCGCTGCCGTTGAAGTGGATGGCAGTACAGCGCATGGAAGGAAGGAAGGTGAGTATCAGTAATTTGGGAAACAAAAATTGACATAAAAATCCATTTGTCAGCCCCTTTCAGATTAAAATCAAGGATTTAAAGTGTAATTTGATTCAGGGGCAGGAGCAGGAGCAGGAGCAGGGACCGGGCCTGCTATTGCGATTGCGATCAAAAAGAGCAAAGCGTGACCCCAGAAAAAAAATCACACAACGGCGGAGCAGGAAGAGGGAGAGGGAGTGGAAGGAAGCCCCCCCGGACAACACCAATAAATGACAACAAACACACCCCTCTGCACGCCCGCCCACCACCCACCAGCCATCAGCCATCAGCCACCAGCCAACATCCTTAACATCCCATCAGCATCCGGCAGGAGTGGGTCGAGTGCCGAGCGACTCTCATGGGGTGGCTCAGGGGTCTAACCCGAAACGGAAGAGTGATTTTAACGTGACTCCTGCGGCAAGAGGATGAGCAACAAACACACACTGGAGGGTGTCCTGCCCTCTCGATTCTCCTGAGTGCTATTTTATGCTGAAGTGTGCCAGACGCACTGAACCAGTGCCAGTGCCAGAGCCAGTACCGGTACCAGTTCCCCGGTAGCTGCTCTGCTGGCTGCTGGTGTCCCCTGCCCAAGGATGCGACCACGACGGCGCCACCATGGAGTTTCGATGGGATATTCGATGGGGAATGGTAAAGGGAGATCAGGGGCAGGAGAATGTGCTGTGCAACCGGTTGAGTCCATTAATCATTTTCTAATTTGTGGAATGCAGAGTGCGGGCGTCACACTGGAGGGTAGGAAACATCCCCCTGCTGCGAGGGGGGACACACAGGACACTGAAAATGAAATTTTCACATCTGTAATTTGTTAAGTGCGTTTGTTATTCCACTGAATTATTTCACTTTTATGGGTTAAGTGCTTTCTGAGTTACGAGTAGTCTCGGGCCTGTTTCTGTTCCTGTTCCTGTTTCTGTTTTCTTCTGTTTATTCTATTCCTGTGTACTGTTTTGTGTCCTTGGGGTTATGCCGTGGCATGTTCCGTCTGCCCGGCTCCCCAGACGATTGACATTAATTAGTTGTCTGGGAATTGGCCTCCCCATGGTTGCCCATTGGCATTTGGGGCTTCTAATGCTAGTACGGAAGCAGTTCCAGGAAGATTGAAAGGATCACTAGGCGCATGGAATCTCTTTTGGGGCTGAGATTTATTGCACATTCTATGAATGGAAATCTTTGCCAAGCGGATCTGCAGCACTCTTTTGATTGATTCCAGTGTTATCTCTGGATAAAAATGTAAAATAATTGTGAGAATCATTCCTTTGGATGCTTGTAAATGTTGGATCCAGTAACCAGTGATATTTTCAGCAACATAATCATCAGGTGAAGATAGAGATGGAGATGGAGATGTCATCATCGATTACAACACACATCTCTGGGCTGTTGCTTGGAGGGTCGCAGTAAGGCCTGAGGATGGAAATCAGACAACTGTAAACTAATGACATTTGCCGAATCCATTCATTCCCTCGCCCTCCCCTTGCCATTGCCACTGCTGCTGCTGTGGTCTCAATGCGTATCCACTTACAAATGAGAGGATGGGTGGATGGATGGATGGATGCATGTCCTGGACGCAAGCAAAACGAGGGTTGTTCGAGTCATTTGTTTGTTTTCGAGTGCGCTGCCTGTCCAAATATGCGGCAGCTTGTAACAATTACCAAATGACACCCTCGACAATCGGAAATGGCCATTGTAACGGCAGGGCCAAGGACGCAACTCGGCACGGGCCAGTGACAACAAATGCGCAAAATACATATAAGAATGGAATGGTGTCGGATAGGATGGGATGGGATGGGATGGTTATATGAGATGGAAATCCACTTGTCGCAAAATCAATGGCAATATTTTCACCATTAGTTGGTTGTCCTTTTGGCTGATGAAGTAATCAAGCGGGAATCAACTTAAAATTCAGTTTGAGGGTAAAATTTATGAGCTGGAAGTGCTTTAACCCCCCACCACCCCCGGTAACCAGGAGGGTAGCTGGGTTTTGGGGATTACGATGGGGTTGAATGGATTCATTGTGGGTGCTGTACAGCTTAAAACCTTACACTACTGGGTGACTTCTTCTAGATCCTGTGTATCAAAGTAAATTAAAGACGTTCGAAGATGGCATCGAAGAGAAGTTTGATCGCTGAAGGATCGTTGATAGCTGTTGCAAACCAAACCCTGGATATCTTTTGCTGAAATGTCGTCCCAACTGTGCTGCAGCTGCTTGGAAAAAGCTTCCGCCCATCCCTCCCCACACCCCACACCGACCAAAATTAAATAGAAAAATATTATGAAAAACCGACAACATCTGGGCGATGTTTCTGCTGCTGCTGCTGCTGCTGTTGCTGCTGGAGAAGCTTCTTTGGGGAGCAGCAGCAGTCAATATGATTTGTGATTTACAACAGGTTTCAATTAACCAAAAGACTCCATCCCCCAGCCCCCCATGTCATTGAATTTTGCATGTTTTTGGGGCCACAAATATAGAGAGGGGAGAGTGAAGTGGAGTGCTGTGGTGGGTAGGGGAGGGAAGGGGACAACGGTGGCAGCTGAGAGGCGTTGACAGGGACATAAATAAACGGCGGTTAAGTATCGTGTAATGCTAGACGAATAGTTTTTGTTTCTTTTGTTTCTTTTGTTTTTGTTCTTGTTGTTTTTCGGGTGTGCGTTGTCGCGGCAACTGTAAGTGGAGATGAGATGAGATGCTTGCGATGCTCCCCGGGGTAAACAGCCGCTGGCTGGCTGGCTGGCTGGCTGGCTGGCTGGCTATGTTGCAGTTGCAACTAATTGAGAACAAGGCGGCAACGGCAACGGCGACGGGGCAGCGCAGGCGGGCATAAATTAGACGCAACTTCCAACTCTAAGTGGATTCGTCGGGCCTGGGCGGCTTCTGATGGATTGTCAAAGCAGAAACTGGCGACATTTTTCAATTAAAAATGCATCGCTTCTTGCCCCACGTCCCCACCCCCCCCCCACACATGCAATCACTCATCTCAAGCCATCTATTCCAACTCTCTCTCCCTCTCCCGTTGTTTTTCTGTCTCTGATCTGTAATCTTTGGGCTCATTAAATTCAAATGGAATTTGTTTCAAAGGCAGAACTTAATCCGCTCGTAAACATCTCCACTCCCCACCTTTTGCCCATCCCATCCCAACCCCACCCGCTACCGTTGCACTGCTCCAGCCATAAATCAGTTGTAGCTAACCCGAAGGATTTGCCAGGCTCAACTCGACTCAACTCTACGCGGAGCGAGACGCCAACCAAATAAAGACAGCGAAAATACACATACGCATACATGTATGCACATGTATGTATGTCTGTAGGTATTGCGACTGTGGAATACCCATTGGGATATGTTAGGATATATTAGCATATATGGGAAATACTTTGATTGAGCCTGGGGAACCTTTGAGAGTTAGTTAACTGCAATCTTCCATATTGTTGGATGGGATAGGCAGAGCATCAGCAGCTCCCTTACCCTCACAGATGTACAGCTACACCGCAAAAGCGGGCTCCTCCTCAGATCGGTTGCATAGGTGCCAAAGAGCACAACATATCCCCGTACCCTTGCGGATTACGGGGTATACAGAAATGGACCAATTCGAATGGGAAGCGTGCGTCGCCATCGGCTCGCATAAACCTCGTAGCGAATGCAGACTCGAAGGCCCGGCACTCGGGGCTGGGGCTGGGGCAGTGGCAGAAATCTAATTTCAAGCACCAGAGAGCAAGCGAGAACCAGGAGCAGGACCAGGACCAGGACCAGAAGCAGTCCTCGAGTTCGTGGTGAATTTCTGTGCGCCTTTTCCACTTGGCTAGCTTAACGATTCGAACTGCTGTCAGGGTTTTTTTTGTTGGCCAGTTCCTGGTCCCCCCCGTCCCATTCACCCACTTTGTTGTCTATTTAATGTCTTAATGCGAACCACCCCCAGCACCACCCAGCACCCGCCGCACCAGTAGCACCAGTGAGCGGAGGGAGGAGGACTGGGAGAAGGCTCGTATCATCCACCCACCCCCCCCTGCAGGTTGCCTCGTACAATTTTAATCAAATGGATTTTCTTTCTATTTTCTATCTAATTTTCTCCCTGTACGGTACGGAAATAGACAGTCTCCCCACCGTCAGCCCATGCCATGCCCCTTCCCCTGCCCCACTCCACCCACTTAAGAGCTGACAACAGGAGCAACAATTTATTAGGTGTTCCGTATCCCCGGGTCTCTCTTCTATCCCTGGTATTAGCTGGCCTACAGACAGGCATTATCATGATTCTGCTGATCGGAGTTCCTGGAGTAACATATGTAAATATATGTATATCAGATGAGGCTTCTGGTCGGGCATTATTCATGTTCGTTTTCTTTTTAGTGGAAAAAATCAACGATTTTCTAATATGTAAATCCTTAGATCCGATCCTTATGACACTGTTCCTGTTTATGGCAACACTGTTGATTACAATATTGCTGAAATTTTGGTATTTAAATACTTAAACTAAACACCATAAACGGCAGACATTTTTCCATAAAATCCCCAACAAATAGTACAGCTATAAAACGTATGGATGAGAACAGTTTCGGTGGGAACAGCCAATACACACACCATTCAAACGTCCCGACTGACGAAAATTCCCTTAAGGAATTGGTTTATTAAATTTACCTTGGGAAATCAATCGGCTAATCGATACACATTGATTTTTAAAACATATTTAATAATTTTGGTATAATTAATTTCTAACATCGAACTTCAATAAATAAATATGTGTATAACTATAGAATTTATGTAAACATAGTACATACTTTTGGGTTGTCGGGAAAGGGATTAGGGAGGAGGGGGAGTGTGTTGCCCAAATAAGTGGAATCAGTCTTTTGCACCTAGATACGAATACTCTTGCCTAAACGGTGGGCACTGGGTGTGGGAATGTGGGATGGGGTTTCGTATGCATAGCATACAAACAGGACGATATATAGGGAGATTTTTTCATAGATTAATGTTAGAAATTGTGCTAGCGGCATTTAAAACCGAACTAATTGAATATTCAACTTAATTGAAAACCTTTTCAGATTGTGCCCTGGCGCATTGGTCCTAGAAGCGCAGGCCGTAACGTCCCGGGCGTTTGGCCGCCACCTCGGTCTCACGCTGCTGCTGGCGCTTGCGTGTTGTATATCCAGAACTGGTGGCGGGCATTTCTGGAACGCCATCTTCTGCGGGCGGCATCGGCGGGGTTGGTGGCACTGGTACTGGGCCCTGGGACTCGCACTGGGACTGCGAGCTGGAGGGAGACGGTTCTGTGGGCACTGGCTCGGCTGAGTCCTCCAATGGGTTCTGTTCCGGCTCTTCGCTCTCAGCCCTGGCGAAGAGTGTTCGCCGCACACTGCGCAGATTGCTTCGCAGCTGGCTGCTGGCCGCTGGTTCTTCGGCCTCGTCATCCGACAGGGGATTGCTTGTGATGGCAGCAGAGCCGCGTGGTCGTTGCCGTGGAAATGTGCGGTAATCCTCGTACACGGCCAGGCAGATTTCGATGTCGCGCAGGCTTAGACTGGCCGTCGGAGTTTGGCGATAGCCCAGCGTCAGCAGGACGTGCTGTGAGTCGCCCAGCTGAATGCCGCCGTCATTTCTGTTCCCCTCGACGTCCTCCATCACACCCCGGGCCTCAATGTACTGCAGCATGTCCATGACGTGTCTGGCCGGACGTGGCGGTGTAACGAGATGTGGGGAGCTGCGCGGCAGCACGTCCACATCCTCCTCCACCTCACCCACCGCAGGGCGCCGTCCACCATCCGCGTTGGCGCGGTCACGTTCCTTCTGCTCGTGGATCCGGCGGCGCACTCGATCAAAGCTTCGCCCAAACCGCTCCTTGATGACTACCTCCTTCGACAGAGTGCAGGGGCGGGCCTCTTCGAAGCCGATGTGCTTGAAGCGATTAAATATCTGAGTGCGGATGAAGCCAGTCACACCCACGACGCCCCTTATGTGACGCCCGAAAAGGCTGAGGATGCAGTCATCGGCCAGATCTGCACGCACCAGCCCCGTGTCCACGCCCACGATGAAGTTCTGCACAATCTCGCTGGGTGATGGCTGGGATGGAGATGGATTCGCTGCAAATTGTTCTATTGGTTAGGAGGACGTTCGAAAGAAACGCGAACCAAATGAATGCCTTACCCGCTGTCTGGTTGCTGCTGTTCGGGTTCATTTTGCTGTTGTACGTGTGCCAAAAAAAAAACAAAATTTGTATTTCCACCGAACTGTGGATTTGAACAACTAACAAATTAAAGTATAAAATCCATTAAAAAGAAAAATTTCCCAATTGAAAACAAAGCCACTTATCGATAAAGTATACTACCCTGACCCTCAAAAATATACCGAAATATTTTAAATACTTTTCTAAATGCCCGCCAAACCCCATTTAGCGCACAAAAAATACCGACATTTGTCGCTCTCAATTCGTGGTGGTTTTTCAAAATTTTCTCTCTTTTCCGAGGTGAAGAGAGCGTTTTCGTGATGACTTTCCCCTCCTTTTCGTGGTGTGAGCAACATGTATTTTACGGAAACATATCAAAAGCGCAACGACTGTAGCTCGATACTATCATGATAGGCTCAAAACCATCGATAGTAGAGGCTAGCAGCAAAATATCGATACCATCGATTGTGCCCTCTTTGGTTTGACACCTGGTCTAACAAATTTTAGCAAAATGTTCAAAAAGTATGTATGAAATGTGCCGTTGAGATGACAATAATTCTTTTGGATATCTAGATTCGAGGAGAAGGACAGTATCTCGTCCATACAGCAGCTCAAATCGTCCGTACAGAAGGGCATACGTGCCAAGCTGCTTGAGGCATATCCCAAGCTGGAGACACACATTGATCTGATATTGCCCAAGAAGGACTCGTATCGCATTGCCAAGTGGTAAGTGGTTGAGTGCCCTGCCCTGCCCTGCTCGTACAGGTAATACAACATTTGTTAATATATTGGCAGCCATGACCACATCGAGCTGCTGCTAAACGGGGCCGGCGAGCAAGTATTCTTTCGGCACCGCGATGGCCCTTGGATGCCGACGCTGCGCCTTCTCCACAAGTTTCCCTACTTTGTCACCATGGAGCAGGTGGACAAGGGTGCCATCCGCTTTGTTTTGAGTGGCGCGAATGTCATGTGCCCAGGGCTGACGTCGCCGGGTGCCTGCATGACGCCGGCTGAGAAGAACACGGTGGTGGCCATCATGGCCGAGGGCAAAGAGCACGCGCTGGCCATCGGTCTGCTCACACTCTCCACTGAAGAAATGTAAGTGGCAAACGAATGAGTACAACCACATGGCTGGCTATTCTAGATTTTAGATTTTCAAAACCTGCTTGCTTTCCCTTGCTCCTCCGCAGTTTGGCCAAGAACAAAGGCATCGGCATTGAGACGTACCATTTCCTCAACGACGGCCTTTGGAAGTCGAAACCAGTCAAGTAAGACCGAAAATCAGGACAGGACCCGGACCGGACCCCTGCACACGCGCGCACACACGCCATGCGGTCGTTGCTTTTATTCTGAGAGCAAAGAATGGTTTTTATTTCGTTTGATATGCAAACTGAATCCTGATCATAATTAATTTTTTTTTATTTTCTTAATTTTAAACTGTCAGTCAAACTATTTAAGCCGATGCGAAATATAATTAATGGCATTTAAATATAAACTTTGAACAGGTGCAAGGCAGGACCCAGCCACCTGTGGAAATGGAGACCGGCTGGGCGATGTTTCTGAACTTTTGTTTTGGGTATCATCTACCCGGGGGGCACATGCCTATAGCTTCCCATGAGTGATTGAGTGTAACAAAACAAAACAGTACAGATACTAGCTACAACGCCAATAAATGTACTATTTGGATTATGAAGTACGAAACAGACTTGCCCGGCAAGGATGAACCTCGCCATATGTCTGTGCAGGAGCGTCGCAACTTTAGCCGCCAGCAACAGTTCGACATGAGACGATGCATCAGTATTATTGGCTGTGACGTGGCAGAGCCAAGCGTTGAGTCGCGAACCCAGCTATCGAACGTTCCAGTTATGGAGGCCATGAACTGCGGGGATCATCCGCTGGTTCAGCCATCGGCTATGCGCATGATGATCAAAATTATGGCAAGCAGGTTTGTGCCGTGAGATTACTGTGTTTTGCTTGCATTGCAATTATCCTTGCGCCACCATCACCTCCACAGCGCCCAATCGAAGTACAAGGCGCACAAGCGGGTGGCTGCCAAAGCCGTCTGGGTTTTAACGAATATCGCCAAGAGTGGACCCGATACTCGTCTGCTTGTGGGTCGCCACAACTTAATTGATGCTCTCGTGCTGTTGATGTCATGCTGCACCATGGGACAGTGGGGCCTGGTCTATTTGCAGCGTATGATAAAACTGGTACGGAATATGTTCCAAGACCCCAAATGCTGTCCCACGCTGTCGGCCGGACAGCTCAAAAGTTTTCTGGCAGCTCTCTCGCAGCTGATTTATTTCCCCGATACCCCAGTGCTGGTCGATCGCTGTGCCGCTTTGTCGTATATCAGCGATCTGACGGTTAATGTGCAGACGGTCTTCGATTCGGGAATAGTTTACGGTTCGGTGATGCTTTTGCATAGCAGCGACGAGTTGCCGTTTATGTGTATTGTCGCCGACGAAGATGATAAGGTCAGTAGCTAATGGAAATCCTTGACAGCATTGAACCCTTGCCGCACAATCCATTGTGTGTATTTCCAGCTTACTGAGGTGATCATTGCCACTGGCTGTATGCCCCTGCTGGGCGACCTGTTGCTGAGTACAAACAGAGACATTGCCAAGGAGGTGGCTTGGATTTTCAGTAACATTGGGGTCGGCACCCACAGCCACATTGAGTCACTGTTCCGGGCTGACATGTTCCACCTCATAGATGTCGTTCTTATGGACAGCAATCCCAAAGCCAAAACGGTTGCCGCCTGGGTGGAGACCAACAAAATATGCTGTGGTGGCCGGGTTGGGGCTAAGCTAACACTAGACGCTCTATTCAATTCGTTCCTTTATCTGCTGGATTGTGATGACCTGAACACCACCGAGGCGGTGCTGACTGGGCTGTCAGATCTCTTGAAGCTGGCCACGCATTGGGGCACTGCCGAACGTATATGCATCCTGGTCGAGGATTCGGGTGCACTGGACAAGCTGGAGCTACTCCAATATAGTTATTCAGGAACACTGCAGCTGACCGCCGATTCGATACTCAATAAGTATTTTGCCGACTCCGATGAGGACTAGCCAAAGGAAGAGCTCGCTCGCTTCTCACCCAATCTGTATTAAATTACATGCCACATACCATAGCACATACCAGATTCAGGATTCAGACAAAAAGGCTCTGCTAAGGTGTTGGCACTTGTGTTCAGTTTTACCCCGTTCCGTTGTTCCACTAAGCCAAAGCCAAGGACCTGTGGAGGCTGCAGATTGCAATCCGTAATTGTTTAGTTTTTTGTTAATACATGTTTCCAGTTGGCCAGCCCGCGATTCTATTCTGGCAGCAACTTTAAAGTTCCGCAAACTATTTTGCATGCATCTGCGCTTTCACATACTGATAATGAACATCTGGCAAGGGGCGAACTGTTAATAAATGTTATTCAGTTATTACATCATATCAATTATAGAACGTATTCCAATATTTTTATTTTATCGTCAATCGTCTGTTGGTCAGTCCTTAGTGAGAAAAGAACATGTACATATACATATAGTAGTAAGTCGGTCATAAAATATCATAAACGGTTCAAAAGTTTCGGCAGATTTCCTCACCAGTTATATAAATGTATAACATCTGGCATCCCTGGCCGAGTTATCGATGTGCTCGCACGAAATCAATGCTGAAACCAGCTGTTCGTCGCCGGCCATGCGCACTGCCCAAAACTAACGGTTATAGCTGTGCGCTGCTCTGTTTTGTTCCTGCGTAATGGACCGCTTTTTGTTAGCAGTCCAACATTTGTGGCGTCACACGGCAACTGCAGCAGCTCGAGGCACCATAACATACAAAACGAGTCGAGGGGACAGCGTATCCATACGATACGCTCGCTCGCACATCAAACCACAAGTGGCAGCAAGTACAAAAGTTTTACAATTCCATCGCACGCATCCGCTTCCGAGGAATTTCAATATGGTAAATGGCGCAAGACTGTGAAAAAGTGAAAAAAAAAAACATTCAATATGTTCAAAACATATAAAAGTGTATTGTGAAAAGTATCTGTGTTTGTGACATATGGAATGGATGAAGCAGCATTGAAAAATCACCGTTGCAGCCAGTGCAGTGTGTATGTGTGTGTGTGTGTGTGTGTGTGTGTGGGTGTACGAAAAGTTTTCAAGGAAAACGGATACACACTGTTTGAACTTTTTGAAGGTGCACCCGAGATGCAATGCAGTGCAAACTTTTCGAACAGTGGGAGGACATGTTGAGTCACGTACACAGATACAGGTACACAGCAAGCGAGTCGAACTCTCAAGGGGGGTGTCCGTACGGTGTACGCGGTCATATGGCGGCATCTAACATAAACAATATGCAATCCTTTCTTGGTTATTTTATTGATTTTACTCCAATTTTGACAGGCAACAGCAGCAGCGGCAACAGAAACAGCAACGTCGGCGCTAATTGAGTTGTTATTGATGGCGTGCAAGGCCAACAACGCAGCAAAGGAGTCGTTCACGAACTAAAGCTCCCTTCCACCCCACCCCCATAAAGGCAGCACAAAGCAGCAGCAGCAGCAGCAAGGCCTACGATAAGAATAACGGGACACGACACACCGTAAGCAACAGTACAACGGAACAGAACCCAAACAGCAGCAAGGGAGTGTGAGAACGAGTGAGCGGGACGGAGAGGGTGGCCGTGGCCCTACTCTCCCAGTGCAATATGGAGGACCTTTTTCTGCTAATTATCAAGGAGTCGACGGGCACGAAACATAACGCTTTGCGACAAACGGCGCAAATTGCTTACGGTATGTGTGTTATATATGTACCATATGTGTGGTGGGTGTGTGTGCGTGACGTGTGAAGGAGATAAAAGAGAGGGCGAGAGAGAGAACGAGCGATAATGGTTGAGCGATATTGAAAACATTGAAGACCGCAATTTCCTTTCATTCTTTCTTCCTTCCTTTCTTTACGCCCATTCCATTGCCTAATGTTCACCGTTGGTTTTTGCCACTTCCTTTGTGACTCCTTCGAGTGGGAGGGCATATTCGTTATGCTATCGCTTAGCCAAACTCCTGATGGTTCAGTGAACTATAGCATATAGAGCAACATAGCCACACATACTCGTATGTACATTATATCAATGAAAAGGTGTATCAATATACCCCTAAACTGTAAAGAAAATAATTAAATAACTTTACGTTAGATGTTGCAGTTTTCGCATAACGCATAACTACTTCTACCCTAATAACGTTCCATTTTCAAAGGGTAGCATTTTATGAAATATTCAATCACATTCAATTCCTCTCAATCTAATTAATTAAGATTCAAAATAAAACGTTACTTTTGTGGGGAGTTGCGACTCTTCCTGAAGCTTACAGTATGTATGTATTTCATATGTGTCACACGTGGCCCGACATCACGATACCTCAGGACATAGCATCAAGTATCATGATGCCTTCCCACAAAAGTTCCGAATGTGGTTTGGTTTTTGTTGTATGTCATCGTGCCATTTATCAGCAAAAGATAATAATAAACTGATTGCAGTAGTCAAATATAATCAGTATTTAGGGTATTTCCCACTTCCATACGCATTTCCGTTTTTTCTGCGCTTTCTTTTTCTGATTCGTTGTTGGCTTTGTGACGTTTCTCTGGAATGTAGGCAATGATTTGGTGAAGTACTGCGCCCTCTGTTTGGATCTCGCCCGAAAAACACACCGTGGCCCATTAGCCTTTAATCACCTTCCGCTTATCGTGGGGAAATTTTAGTTTTTTTTTACTGTCTGCGTTTTATGAGTATCAATGGATTACCACGATGTCTTTTGGTTTTGTGTACTTGCAGATAAATTGTACCGCCAGCATGGCATCCACCGGGATCCATCGCACGAGCTGCGCTCGGTCTGCTTCACGGCCCTGCAGATGGCACTGGACACCAAGCGGCCAAAGTTCATCACGATGGGCCTTAATGGGCTGCATGTAAGTGCCGGACAATCCGATCCGGAAGTAAGGGTAGGGGAAGCGAAGGGATATTCCAACCGGAGATTCCGGTGCGCACACAAAGCGGATATACATATGTACATACATATATATATAATTGAATGTGTGTACACATTTCCCTCTTGTGTGCCCCGGGGATTAGCTAATTACTCGAAAATCTCTTGGGACTTGTGGACCTCTCTCTTTGAGAGAGTGAGAGAGAAAGAGGGGCCCTTCCTGCTCTTTGTTTCTGTAACTCTTTCATTATTTAACGGAATTTCATTTGGGTTCCCTCTCTTCCCCCACACAGCGCGTTATCAAGGACGAACGTTTCTATATTGGCCTAGAGCCCGAGGACGATTCCGTGTGGCTGCCATCGCAGCTGCTGCGTGCCACCAATGGCATCCTGCCATCGACCAGCAGCGAGGACACCGTGGTCAATGTGCTGCGGCTCTTCCTGGCCATGGCCTGCTCGCCGGCCTGCACATTGAATGGCCGCCTGCTCATCGAGATACTATCCCGCTGCGGCGAGTGCTGGGAGATGGGCTCCCGGGCCACCAAGGCCGCCTCCTTGGCGGCTGCCTCCCAATGCCTGCGCACCTTTTGCGCTTTCCTCATCGAGGAGGCCGAGGAGGTGAAGAAGACGGCGCCAGCGGGTCTGATGACCCAGACACAGGCCTCGGCCGTCTACAACGAGGTGATACCCGTGATGCAGTGGCTCTGCAGCCGCCTGGTGGAGCCCAATGTCAACACATCGCCCAACAAGAAGTGCGAGAATCACAGCTCCCTCTACCTGACCGAATGCATACTGACCCTCAGCTCGGCCCTGCCCCGCAACGTTCATGCCAATCCGCACTTCACCTCCTTCCTGTGGCAAAAGTTCTGCCCCACATTGGCCGCCGCCCTGGGCTCGCCGGGACGCATCAATCTGGACAAAAAGTTCACCTACAAGTGAGTGGACGGGCGGCAGGGCAGCATTACCAACCATTATACCATTCTTATATGCCCTTTTCCCCTTTTTCTGACAGAGATGCTCTCCACATGATTGAGAACGAGGCACGCGGCTTCTTTACGGGCCCTGGCCTGGACGGACCCCAGGCACGATGCGTTTACCTGACGGCCATTCAGCTGCTGCGTATTGCCGGGGCCCACGGCTCGCTGCGTCCCATGCTGGAGGCACTGTTCCATCGTATGCTGCTGCTGCCGGCGCCCCAGAACCGCACAGAGCCGCTGCGCTGTGTCCGGGAGATATTCAAGAGTCCCGAGCGGCTGATCGATCTGGCTGTCATCCTGTACGTGGACAAGAACACGGCCCAGGGCTGTAGCGATGAAATGGCCCTCTTCAGACTGTAAGTAAATCGAAATGCGAAAATGCGAGGAACGATTCCCCATCGAAGCCTAATCTTTATAGCTTGGTGGATGCCATGGAGGAGTGCGCCTATGGGGCCAGCGGTGCTGGGGGTAGCGCCTGCACGGAGGCCAGCCTCCAGGCCAGCGTTGAGTGCATGGTGGCCCTGCTGGACAGCCTGCAGGTGCTCTGCAGCGGTGATGTGACCGAATCGATGATCAGCGATCAGATTGTCCAGGTGGTGAACTCTCGCCACGATCTGCTGAAGGATGCCGACTATTCGGGGCCCTTGACCTACCAGAGCATGGCCCGGCTGCCGGCCCCCTATCGGGATGCCATTGTGGAGTTCCGCCAGAATGTGTTCGAGACCTCCTCGGGATCGGAGAGCGATGGCGAGCCGCCGAACGAGCAGGACGGCGCCTCTAATGGTTCGGGCGATACGGAGGGGCCCGAGGACGATGAGCACAGCAGCTCCAGTGATGAGACGTCGCGCGTGGAGAATCGCTGGCCCTACTCCCACCTGGAGGCGCCCGTCATGCCCATTCGTACGGACAGCGACAACGATCGACAGCATGCCCGTGACTTTGCCCGTGCGCTGCGGCAGGATCTGGTCCCGAAACTGCTGCGGCTGCGCAGCTGCGTGGAACTGGACGAGGCCATGCAGGAGTTCGCCTCGGCGGTGTGCCAGGAGAACAGCATGAACTTCTCGGACTTCGACTACAATCTGACGGCCATCAATGCGGATGGCATCTACCTGGCCATCTACTCCTCGCTGCTGCTCAGCCTCCAGCTGATGCGCGCCGGCTACTACGACCAGGCGGTGCCCGTGCCCGCGGCCCCCAACCGCGACATCCTGGTGCCCATGTCCGAGCAGCAATTCGTGACCTCCGTGCAGAACACGGGCGTGCTGGTGTACCTATCATCGCCATGGCTGTGCGAGCTCTATCAATCGGTGACCATGTGCAACATCCTGGAGGCCATGTCCCGCCAACAGCTGGAGGGCATTGGTCCGCGTTGCGCCCTCGTCGATATGCTGTGCGACGCGGGCGGCCTTGGGGCCACACAGATGCTATCCGAGTGGCAGCGCCTGCAGACGGCCACCCAGGTGAAGCACAGCGACGACGAGCAGCACGACAAGCGGCGCGAGGCGGCCAAGAAGCTGTGCCGACGGCTTCTCACCTGCTGCTGGGACTCGATGGTGATTGTGCTCAGTTCGGGGCTGGGCGATCTGCAGACAGCGTCTGCCTCCAACAAGCTGGTGGCCCTGTCCAAGCGCACGCTGAGGGTCAAGGCCAAGGCGAACAAGTCCAACGGGGAGGCGCTGTATGCCATGTGCCTGGATGGACTGCATTCGGTAAGATTTGCTCCATCTGCTCCGAAGAAGAGCCCCATAATTAATTCTGTTCTGGATAATCCTCCCGCTGCAGGCGGCCACGCTCAGCAACAGTCTCAACCTGCAGCATTTGGCCGGAAAGATTCTCAACCTGTTGGCCTCGAATGTGTGCCAGACGACGGGGCCGCGCATCTCCGCCAGCCAGGCCATGTCCATGGATGTGGTGCTCACGGGCGGCCTCAATCTGGGCAGCTACAGTGCCGACTGCTGGCCGAGCATCTTTGCCGTGTGCCGGCATGTCAGCCAGCTGGAGCATGAGATATTTAGCATGCAGAATCCATCCATATCGGCATCGCCGGGCAGCAGTCGCAGGGATCTGGAGACGGGCGAGAAGCTGAGCAATGGCAACAGTGCCCAGGATAAGCTGAATCTCTCCTCGATACCCATCGATGATGATGAGACCTGGTAAGGCACCAATCCGACAGCTCTGGCTAATATCTGTCCCAGACTATACGAATCTCTCCCTCTCTCTCTCCCGCTTTCTTTTCGATACAGCGTTGATGTCTATAGCTTCCTGCAGGCGCCCATGCAGAGCCCCAACACGAACATCACATGCATACTGAAGGTCTATTCGGGCACCAATGAGGCGGTGCTGCTGAGCCAGTGCGACACCTCCAAGGTGCTGTGCGCGTTGTCCCATCAGGCGGAGAATCTGTTCAGTGATGCCGCCGAACGGCTCAGCCTTCCGTCGCTGTGCCAGTTCCTCAAGCATCTGTGCCGTGCCTCCCGCGAGCAGCTGTACAAGAGCCAGGTGGCCCGCAAGGGCACACGCATCTGGTGGCCCAGCAAGGGCTGGAAGAAGCTCGACTCGCTGCCCATGTCGCTGCTCCTGCATCGCATCGGTGATGTGACGCTCAAGGTATTTCGCAGCTCGCGGCCGCTGCTGCACGTGCTCAAGGTGTGGGCCATAACGGGACCGCATCTGATGGATGCCGCCTGCCACAGAGATCGCATGATCTCGAAGCGGGCCATCGAGTACATACACGACATCATAACGGCCCTTCTGGTGGAGCAATCGGAGCTGCCGTATTTCCACTTTAACGAGGCCTTGCTGAAGCCCTTTGAGAATCTGCTCAGCATGGACACGGATGTGGATGTGCAGGATCAGATTGTGGCCTGTCTCTACGAGGTGGTAGAGGCACATCGCACCGAGATACGCTCCGGCTGGCGGCCGCTCTTCGGTACACTGCGCAACGCCCGCAGCCGGATGCTCAACATGAGCAATATCATCGACATCTTTCGCGTGTTTCTCGATTCGGACAACACGCTGGTGTTCGCCAATGCCGGACTCGACTGCATACTGTGTCTTCTCTCGTATTTGGAGATCTCTGGTGGTGGCAGCAATAACAATAATACTTGCACCGGCACCAGCAGTGGCCCAGGAGCAGGCGCAGGCGCAGCTGGTGGAGAGGAGGAGAATGCCTTTAGGCCGACAGACTTTTTGCACGAGACGTTGCGCTTTCTGGAGCGCTGCTCCAGCATACTGGGCTTCATGTACAGCATGCCCAAGTGCCCGAACTTCCACTCGACGTACAAAATCAAGGGCATCTCGTACACGCACATTATCGACGCGAACATACCCAGTTCGATGGAGAATTTCACGTACTTTGGCAACGACTATCTGCAGACGCGCAACGAGCAGTATATGATCTCCTACCGCTCGCTGCACATCGACAAGGACACCATTGTGAAGATCGATGAGATGGACAAGCCGTCGGGCGTGCTCAAGGTGTGGTTCCTCCTGCTGGATGGCCTCACCAACTCCCTGATCGTCTGTCCGTATTCGCACCAGGCGCCAATACTGCAGACGATCTTTAAGCTCTTCAAGAATCTGCTGGCCACGCCGGGCATAGATTTTGGTTTCTATTGCATCAATCATTTGCTGGTGCCGATGATCCAGGACTGGCTGCGGTACATCAACAAGACGGGCGCCTCCTGGCAGCTCATCGAGAAGAATTTCAAGCACTGCTGTTGCATGACCACCGACCTGGTGGTGGAGTTTATTGAGAAATCAGTGCCCGAGCAGCGTCGCTTGGGTGCCGGCACCAAGACGCGTCTCACCCAGATTGTCCATCCCGCCGATAATCTCATCTACTCGAAGCTCAAGTTCGTGACGGAGCGGATCGAGCAGCAGGAGCTGCCGAATCTCAATCTCAATCCCACGACACAGGCTGGGGTGGGTGTGGGTTCGGGTGCAGTCCCCGACGCCAGCAGCAGCAGATATGATAGCAGCTCCAGTTCGGCCAGCGAGGAGGAGCAGCATCAACAACAGCAGCACCAACAGCAGCAGCAGCAGAAGGGCGGCACGGGAGTAGGGCCTGCCACAGCTGGGGCCACCTCCACGGGCAGCAGCAGCAACCTGATCGAGTCCCCCACCAAGATCTCCAGTTCGGCCACGCTGGCCCTCAAGCAGCTGCTGCTGGTCCTCATCGAATGCGCTTCACAGTCACAGGAGGCGATCGCACGCATTTCGGTGTCCTGCCTGAAGCACGTCATCCTGTCGACGGGCATGCTGTTCAACGAGTCGCAGTGGATGATCGCCTGCTCGGCCATCCATCGCGCCTGCACCGTGACCATTGCCCCCCTGCGGCAGCTCTCGTTCGCCTTCCACGAGAAGTCCAATAGCTTCTACGGCGACTGTGCCAACGTGAAGGTGGCCGCTCGGCGTGACAGCAGCCTGGAGGAGCTGGCCCGCATCTACTCGCTGGCCCAGCAGGTCTTCCTCTCGGACAATCAGCGGGAGCCCGGCCAGGGGCAGGGCCCCAGCGGCACGGGGCCCGGTGCGGGCACGGGCGGACAATGCAAGCTGTCGGACGACCGGAGCTACTCCTTCCTGCTGTACCCCCTCAACAATGGCTTCAATTCGAATCTGGACAACTTTGTTATACGGATTCCGTTCAAGAATCTGGTGGTGGGGCTGCTGGCCAACCAGATGCTGCTGCAGCTGGTGGCCAAGCTGCTGCTGTCGCGGCTCAAGTGTGTGCCCCAGGCGGTGTCCACATGCATCTTTGACAATTATGCGGGTGCGGCAGCCACGCCCAGCCACGACTACGATTTGGACTTTCGCTCCAAGGAGATATTGCTGCGCTGCGTCAAGCAGTACCTGATGTCCGCCCTGGAGTTCGACTCGCGGCCGGGCCTCAAGTTCCTCATGCAGAAGGTCTCCAATATCGAGTATGCGGCCAATCTCTACAAGCAGATGACCTCCTCCTGGATGATCTACTACATAGCCCTCGTCGACTCGCACCTGAACGACATTGTGGTGTACAACCTGGGGCCGGAGGATCTCAACTTCATCCTGGAGTCCTGCTCGCGGCTGAACACCACCACCGTGAAGAAGAAGGAGAACTTTGTGCGGTATCTGTTCTGTCTGCAGGATGCCTGGAATCTAGTCTGTGAGCTCTACCTGAGCAATTCGGCGCTGCACGACCTCGAGACGGGCTCGGGCGGCAGCAGCAGCAGCAGCAAGCTACGGCCGGAGCAGTCTGCAACGGCAGCTGCCAACAAGAAGCCACCAATGGCGGCGCCGCCCCACCATCCGCACCCACTTGCACACACACACCCCAACCTGCATCCGCATCCGCATCCGCAAATGGTGGGCAAACCCATGTGCATCTCGCTGAATGGGAATGGCAATGGGGCTGCCGATGCAGAGATGACCGAGGCCGCCGGATCGGGTGGATCGCCCAGCAAATGCGTGCAGCAGCAGCAGGAGGAGGAGAATGTGACGATGACAACGCTGATCAGCGAATTCCAGCCCAAGTGCCGCAACAATCCGTTCGATACGAATCGGCAGGCCAAGTCGGAGGCAGAGTCCATATCGCCGGAGATTGAGCAGCAGCGGGCGAGCAGCATTCTAAAGGACTCCAACTATAAGCGGGCGGCACTCGCCCAACTGGTGGTGGCCTCGATGGAGCTGCTGCGCTCGCTGCCCGGCGAGGCCGAGGAGAATCTTAAGCTGCTGATGACGCCCACCATACGGGAGGCCTTCCGGCTCGTCCAGCTGCAGGGCAACGAGCTGAAGGTCAACCAGTTTTAGGCAATGCTTGTTGAGTTTTATTTTGATCTTTAGGCGCAGCTAAAACCGGCCCCTACTCAGTATCCAGTATCCTGCTACCAGTTTCCCCCAGTATCCCCCAGTTCACCTTATCCCAATCCAAATCCCAATCCGCCTGCCAACGGCTAAACTACAGCTACGTCTGCATCTTGTACTGCTCACGCCCTGTCACCTCTCAAAACTATCTTTCTCTCTGTATCCGTATCCGTATCTATGTGTCTCTCTCTCTCTCTCTCTCTCTGTCCGTATCTATAAACCGCCCGCAGTTCCCTAGCACAGCAGGCAAAACCATTTCAAAGTAAAAGCTCAACATGTCAGCCAGCACAAAGCAAACAAAGAAAAAGTACAACGGTATAAACCAAAAGGAAAGCAAAGGAAAGGAAGGGAAGAAAGATCACCAGGATCCAGATTCTGAAGAAGATGAAGAAGTAGTTGACTAGAAGAACTAGCATAAGCACGTGAAGAACGTGTGTGTAGTCCTGTAAATTATATTTAGTCGAAAAAACTTTCTCTCAACCTGAACCTCAGCCTCCTGCCCTCCTGAAAGCACGTTCTCCCCCACACACCACACACCCCAATATGCATATATAAATGTATTGTAAAGAACTGTTAGCTAGCTAGTCCCAAAACAGACATCCGAGCCCCCCTTCCCAAAAGCAACATCACCCCCCAACCCAAGGAAAAATATAATATTATATATATAATATGCATTAAGATTATAGCAAACTGTAAACGTATGTAAAACTTATAGCGAATGTTAACTAACACAAAATCAGTGCCGCCCATTAATCCACGATTACCACCATTACCGATTAGACACAAACACACACACACACACACACACACACACACAGACAAAGACACAGCCTAAAACATATAGGAACATGAACATACAATATACATACATAATATACCACGTATGTATATAGTAAATATATATATAAATAGTACATATGTGTGTCCAAGTAGTCCCGTGCTGCCTTTAAAAACTTGCATACCTATGTGCCAGTTGCCCCGCTGGTACAAACCCAAAAATGAAGGATAACCTACCTACATGTAACCTCCTGCACCATCCGAAGCTTATAAGCCTCTATCTGTAATTTCCAAGCAAACAAACAAACAAACAAAAATAATCCCAACCCAAGTGGAGCTTGGAGCTTGATTCGTGTCGGATAGTTGAAGTCCGCCCAAGAAAGAACTTGGGGATCACTCGACTCTAGTGAAAACTGGGTAGATCAGTCCTAAACCTACCTTTAACAAGTAAACGCACTCCCACGCCTGCGCTACATACATGCATACACATACATACATACACACATACATATATATGTGCCCTATATAAAGATCTAAAGAGTTATATGTCTATACATACTATATATACATTAATATACATATAAAACATGAATGTACTTACATACATATGTATTATACATAGTTGTACTACTCGATGTTGTAAATGTCTAAGCGGGAAAAACAAAAACATTTTTATATGTGAAACTATTAGCAACAGCGCTACAAATCTATACATATACCATATACCATATACATATATATACTATACATAAATATTTATTTATTTTCGCTTCGTGGTATATACAAACATATATACATAAATATACATACATATATCTACAATATACATATGCAGGTATATAAAGAACTATGTAATTGTGTTATTTACTTGCCCCCCCACCCCTCTCTCTAAGTACTCGTTTTTGTCGCTCTCTCCCTCCCACCCTCTCACTCACTCGTTCGCTTGCTCTCTTTTTATATGAGAATCTCTAACTGTATCTCGTTTCTATCTAACTGTTAAACTGTAAGTGGCGAGAAGTGGCGAGAGTGCAAGTGCAAGTGCGCAAAGCTGTCGAAAGAACGGATCACTGGACCGGATTGTGGTATTGGGGAGGAGGATCATATGCTAAGTTAGTATGTACTAAAACTCTCCAAGAGTGCATATGTAATGTGGAATGAAAATAAATGATTTAACAACGCTTTCGCAACTTTACTAAACAATTTCAATGAGTTTGCTTTTTACATACGAAATTTTCAATTTAGCGATAATTTTTTTCCTGACTTACAAATTATTATCGTCGAAATTTAAAAATGATCATGTCCTGTAAGATAAATTTGATTTAACATATATTAAAGGAAATAGGGTATACAAATGTCCATACTTACATTCCGGTACACACTTTTGTTTTATGCTTTGGCCGTTTTGGCTTGAAACGTATTATGTATAAAATCCAATAAAAAGGAATTCTGAAATCTAGCCAATCTTGTACAAAATTGATCGAGAAATTGTATAAAATTATTTGTTTAGGGCTGAGAGGGCTAACTAGCTAATAATATTAAACCGAATATCAAAATCGGGGAATATTAACGCATCCGTCAGTATATTTACGGTATATTTTAAAAATGGGACGGTATATTTCGGTATGTTTCTGAGGGTCTGACTGTATATTTTATCGATAGGCGGTAATCCAGTCACACTGGCGCCCACTTCAAAAACTCGGCTTTGGCTACGCGGTTCGTTTCGCTGTTTCGCGGTGGCTTCACTCAACAAATTAGTTCGCTGGTGCATAGTGTTTATGAGTGAAATAACAACAGCATTGTGTGCACATGTACTTTCCTGATACTGGCTGATTTTTTTTGTTTGTTTACTGTGCAACTGTTATTCAAATTTTGCCGAAAGGAAAGGCATATCGAAAGTGTTGAAAGAGTTTTCAGTTTTCCACTGCACCTGTCCTGCCGTCTCACTTGAGTGCGCTCGCACTCGCAAGCCACAAAAGTGTAAAGTGCATGCGGCAGCCGTAGCTTTTGTTGCTATTCGCGTCGCTGAATCTGCGATTCCCGCGCCACCGCCACCAGATTCTCCGAACCAAGAATTTGCGCTTCTTTGTGATTGTTGCCGCGCTCTAATTGCAAGAGTTTCGCGTGTGTGTTGCTCTTTTTTTTTTTTGGTGTTTTGTTTTTTGATTTTTTTGTTTGGCTCTCCTTAACTTTAATACTTGTGCTTCTTCTTTTGGACGCCCCACCGCACCGCAAATGAGGTAAATATATATATTTGTACATATGTTTATTAACATGTGTGTGTGTGTGTGTGTGTTGCTGCAGCCATGGGGATGTGCATTACCTTTATGTTCTGGCGTGTATGTGTATGTGTATGTGTGTTTGCGAGAGTGAAATGTGAAGCCTTATTTTGCCGTTGCTTGGCATCCATCCTCCCATCCACCAAACCGCTACTAGGTATGGGTGTGTGTGTGTGTTGTGTGTGTGCTTATTGTGCTGCTGTTTAAGCTGCTTAACGGGCGACACAATTTGTGAGAGAAGAATGAGAGAGATATTAATAATAAATAACGCACTAATTGTGCCGCGGCCTTCAATTGTTGTGACTCTTATATCTGCTTTTGTTGTCTGCCGTCTGCTCTTGATTTGCTCTAAATACTTTTAAAGTCTAGTCCAAACCAAGAGACGAAGAAGAAGAAAAGATGAAGGAAGATGGTGAACAAAATTCTGTTAGAAAGCGTAAGAATGCGCTGCCTGTCCCTGTCTCTCGTTGTTCCCGAGTAACGGATGGTAAGCCAAAGTTCTGGCGGCGAAAACACGAGGCTTGTCGCTGTCCCTCTCGGTAAGGAAGAAAGGCCGGAAAGCTTTCGTTTCTCTCGCTCTCCGTCTGCGGAAGAACCCCCTGTATATGTTGCTCTACAAATTATTACGAGACTAAACTTTCTGTTCTCTGTTTAACCCGCTTACTCCTTCACTTTCTTTCACTCGGGATGTGCAGGGGGAAAGGTTGTTGTTGATCCGCTCTCTCGCTCTGCTGTAGAAGAGGCTCGCTGAGAGAGAAAAAAAGGGTGCGAGCACTGTCGCTGGGGGAAACATCAGGAAGAAAGTTCCCTGTTGCCGTTGCCGGAAGAAAGTTTCCCCATACTCTCTCTCTCTCCCTCTCCCTCCTCTTTGAATTTACCTGTCCCTGCCTCAACCACTTCCCACCAGCACCCCCATTATGATTGAACATCTGAATGACTGATTGATCATTGCAGCGACACCAATCTCTTATGCAATCCCCGCCAGCAATTGGGCATTCGAGAGGAGATAGAGATAGACGTAGAGGTAGAGGTAGAGGGAGAAGTGAGAGCACCTGGTCGGCCAAAAAGGCCTGTGGTGAGGCATGAGGCAGCCAGCGGCAGCGGCCGCGGAGACTTTCAAATGGCTGCAGCCTGAGTTGTGGGCCAATCGGTTAATTGCATTTCCTGTCCAAAGCCAGCCTCGTCATCCCCATCATCGTCATCATCATCATCATCGCTGTTCCCCCCCCCCCATCATGATGAGGCGTTAATTGTGGTTTAATTACCCGGACAGTTGCCTGTGGAATGGCCTAACAGCGCCGCAGTTGCAACTGCAATTGCAGTTTTGGTTGCAAATTGCAAAATGCAAAATGGAAAATGCCAATTCAAGTTGCGCGTATCTCAAATATACACAAAATTGAAATTATAATGCAGCAAAACTGAGGCTGCCGCCTGCGGCTGCTCAAAGCACACACACAGACAGACAGACAGGCACAGGCACAGGCACAGGCAGTGCCACTGCCAAAGAGCCAAGAAGAGCCAGAGTCAGAGCCAGGCTCCTTTTGTAACCCAAGCCCCACCGAGGACGGGCAGCAGCAACGAGGCTGCTGCTGCTGCTGCTGCTGAAGAATTTGGCCTGGGCAACCAGTTCGCCTCGCCGCCCAGTTAGCCTCAAATGGCATTTTTCTGCCAGGCGGACAGACAGCGGCGGCGACTCTCGGACTGGTTGAATTTTCTTGGCTGCTTGTCTGGCATTTGTAGGATAAGCCAAGCCAAGCCGCCTTTCCAGTCAGCCTGACTGGCTGCCTGGCTGCCTTCCTCCCAATAAGCAAACGACTGCTGGCTAAGCGGCGGCTGCGGCTGCTGCTGCTGTTGCTGCTGCTGCTGCTGATGTTAATTTTTATAATCGGTATTTGTAGACCAGGTTGGAGGGTCCAGAAGTACCCCCTTAGATCCCCAAGGCAGATCCAGTTTTCAGCTTTAAGTTTTAAGTTTTGTAAGTGCTACAGTTGTGGCTCTTAAATTTTGGATGGGATGTTGTGTGACTCTCATGGCAATACAACAAAACAAGAAAAGAAGATGTGTTTGCAAGGGGAGAAAAATGGCCTGGCCTGGACTGGACAACTTTCGCTGCAGCAGAAGGCAGCAGGCAGGCAGAAGGCAGCAGCAGCATCTGAGGCTCGGCTGATGATGATCTGCAGATGGTCGAGGAGAGCCAGCAGCCGCGCCCTGACAATCCAGTTTCTGCATCCAACTCCCACTCCCACTACACCTCGCCTGTAAGTCTCTGTTGGCGGCAGCTGGGCCTCCATCTGGCAGCTGCTGTTGCTGCTGTTGCTGCTGCGCGTGGGCCCAACAGCGGAGGTACAACAACTTCAATTAAAACAACAGCCATGCTGCCACTGCCACAAAAATGAAACTGAAACTGAAACAGCACACAGCAAACGAATCAACGAAACATCAATTTATGCAAAACAATTCAATTTTTGCGCGCCATTCAGCGGTCATTTACCCTGGGGTCTGGTCAGCGCATTAGGGCCAACCGAACCGAACGTACTTGAAATTGAAACATGGTGTTTCGTGTCACGCCTCGAAAGCTGAAAGCCAAAAGCAAAAGACAACCGACAACCGACAACCGACAACCGTGCAACGCTTCACACGCTGCAAGAGTGGGTGGATGGGTGGGTGGTTGGTTGGTATGTTTTGGCAGCTGCAACCATCGTCTGCAACAGCATCTCTGGCTGCTTCAGCAGGTGTGTGTGGGAATCTTGGCCAAAATAGCAAAAGTTCAATAGCAGCCACAGCCAGAGCCACAGCCAAACAGTTGATTGAGGAGGCGATTGTTTAGTGGCAACAAGGTGCCACCGCCAGTGGCAGAGCAGAGCCAATTTCCATCTGACGCAATAAGGCAGTAAGAGGCTTTTTAGGCTCAAACTCAAACTCATCTGCCGCTGTCATCTTGCACGCAATCACAGACAGAGAGTGGAATCGGAATGATTCGAGGCGCAAAATGTAAATTGCTTCACCCGCCAGAGCTGTGCTGTTGCCACATGCCACAGACACACAACATTGTTGGTACGTATGAGGGCAGGCATTTAATGGCAGATGTTTTGTCATTCAATTGGTAGATGCGATCTATGGGTAGGAAAACGGAAAGAGAAGAGCTGCTGGGCTACTGGCCAAAGGCTCAGGCAAAGGCCATTGCATAAGGCACTGCCGCCATCCTAATTGGCTGAAGGTGAAAGCCAGGGAGCCGCCAGACTAAGACTCAGACCCAAACCCAGACACAGACACAGGCCCAGTACCAGAGGTAGAGCCAATCCTTTGGCGCATTGTTAATGTTCTGCAATTAAAATGAGGCAGAGTAAAAGTTTTGTGTGCCCCCAGCTTTCTCCCAGACGAAGAAGGAGCATCGTTGGCTGCAGCTGCCACACAGATGGGGACGCTTCCTTGCACAAGACAACAACAGAGGCAACCGCTTTGGTATTTATGGAGTCGCCTGCTGGCTGCTGGCATCACGATTATGGCCATGGCTGGGCCCTGGCTTTGGCTCTGGCTCTGGCGCATCCTCCTCCTGTCTGTTTTCTGTTGTCTGCTGTCTGTTGTCTGCTGTCTGCTGCTTGGTGGCATAACCCACGTTTGACATTGCCTGCAAATTTGGCGATAAGCAACACACAACACACGGGTGAGGAGTTTCACCAGAAAAATGCCTTCCTTGCTGCGAGGAAGAGCCATGAGACAGGAGGGGGCTGGATATGGAATGGGGCACTTAGATTATCGACAATTTGTCACGTTGTCAGTCGTGCGTTTGCCTGATTGCAGGCAGCCAGCAGCAGCAGCAGAAGGCAGCATCAGCGGAAGTAAAAGCATTGAAAGAGGCAGCACACAGGTGCACACCAAAGACAAGACAAGACCTCCTCCTCCTCCTCCTGCAACCATATGAGGATGCCCCCATATGCCCCAATCCGATGGATGCTCATTCACGTGTCTCTGGTCTGGACAGAAAATTCAACAGAAATTTCTCTTTTATTTATTGTAATTTCATTTGGCAGCCAGCCAAGCCAAGCCGAACCACCGCTCCATGCCCGTCCAGCGCTCGTTGCTCGTCTCGCTGCAAATGCAAATGGAAATTGTTTTATTTGAAAATCAACACAAGGGAAAATACATCCATCCATTGGTACGTACAAGAAATACGTGCAAATATTCAGCCTCGCTCTGCCCTGCTGCAAGCACGCTGCAAGCAATTAAAACGTGCTTAATGGATAAACCCACTAGCTAAGATCCGCCAGCCCACTAATAATGGAGGCTCACTCATGGGCTGCTGCGCCGGCAATCGTCACAGCAAATCAACAAAAGACTTGGGCAACAAACGCGATGATTATGGAATGCCATTCGACATAGCAGGGGCCCCTGCTCTCTGCTCTCTGCTCTGAACCCCGCCTTAGGCTTGGCTTTTGCTCCCATTTCGACATGAGCTGTAGGAGCAGGAGGCTTTCGCTGATCTTTGCCTCTTTGTTATCGATATTATTTGAATGCGAATTAATTAGAAGATGGGATGCTTTGCTTTGATCCTTGCCATCACACTCCAAAAAGAAAGCTGAAATTTCTTGGGCGGCTACCTGCAGCAGATCTTCGGCTATGCGGTATTTGGTATACTAGAAGTCCAATTGGTAAATGCCTGTAATTTAATGACATTGCAGGCCCACTTATCCCACATCCGTCTGCAATTTATCAGCGGGAGATTGATGGCAATTATCGGAGCCAGCCCGAGCCACACAATGAAGCTGCACGGCCTGGCCCCATGCTGCCATCGGATTGACTCCACCTTCCAGTCCATTGGAGGCATTGCTGAGAGACTGCTTACTGGGCAGCTACTTGAAGGTATCCGTTTATCGATCAGCCAGGCAGGCAGGCGGAATCTACCACTGTCTCTTTCTCTGGCTCTGTCTCTGGCTTTGCTGTCTGTTTCTGTTTGCTGTCGTTTCAACAGTTAATAACAATAGAAAGAGGCAACAAGCTGCCAACAGATAGAGTAATAATAATAATGATAATCAGTTTCTGTGGCCGCAACAAATTATTTGGCAGTTACAATTAAGTTTCAACAAACAACTGCAACAGCCACAGCCACAGCTACAGCATTTGCTGCCCTGCCCCCCTCAAACGAAAGTCCAACTCTTTGACGGCCTTTCACCTGCGCGCGGCATCTTCCAACTGCTGCAGCCGGCTCGGCTCGGCTCGGCTCCACTTGACCGCTACCCGTACCCCTTACAATTAGTTCTAATGAGTTGCTGCTGCGGCTGCTTGCTGCTTGCTGCTTTCTGCTTGCTGTGGCATCTACATACACTTCCTGTCACGCCTCTGCGGCATGTTGACACTTTCCGTACGATTTCCGTTTGGCAATTGCTCAGCTCTCAGCTCTCAGCTTTCAGCTTTCGGGTTGGAAATTTAATTGAAAAAGTGCTGAGGCAGGCAGGCAGCAGCAGCAGCAGCAGAAAGAAATACAAGCTGTTTTTTGACCATTGGCTGCTGATTATTACTTTTATTTCCATACACAATCTTATGCTCAACATTTCTGCAGAAGAGCAGACCGCAAGAAATGTCTCGCTGGGGGAAAACAACACGAGCAACAAAAAGAAAGGCCGCTGCGGATACGTGGCCGCAGCTTTAGATACTCTTTTTTTTATGTTTGGTGGGAAAGAGAAAAAAGAGAATGCTGCAAGATATTTAAAGATTGCTCGGAAAAGCAAAAGAAATTGTTTCCAAATACGAGATTTATCGATCGGCTTCAGTGTGTATGAATCACATTTATACTCCACTCGAAACTGGCACCGAAACTTGCACGCGCGTTTCCAAAAACAATATACATGTCGTGTGCGTGACGCGAGTCTCCTCCTGCCCCAAGTATTCAACACCCAACCAAAGGATGGGACTGATTCACTTTTTAGTTGATTTAGTCTGCAGCCACCAGAATTCGTATGCAAAACCCACACTGGAATCCATAATGCCCCTTATAAAATCAAGGGTATCCGAAACATTGTTTCTTGTTTGATATCATGTTTTTTTTTTTTTTTTTGGTTTTTCTTGCAACATTGCTCGTATTTTGCGTTTCATCTGCTTAAGCAGCAGCAATGTAATAATTATTTGAGGAGTGTTGCTTCTGCTTCTGTACTGCTGGACATGGACATGTACATGGACATGGACTTTCTCTGTGTATGTTTTTATTTACTTTTTTTTTTTCTTTTTTTTGTTTTTGGATAATTTGAGATGTTGTCTCGGTCTCGGTCCAGCATTGCCGGCAGTTCCAGTTCCCGTTTCAGTTTCAGTTCATGTGAGTGTGTTTTGTTTTGCTGGAATGGGAAGCTCACGTAGGCATTACAATGTTATTTCTGGTTTGTTCTCTCTCGGTCTCGGTCTCTCGGTGTGGTGTGTGAATGCCACGCCCCCCCCCTCACCGCATTACGAGCATTGCGTGACAAGAGCGTTAAGTGTTTTCCCATTGCCCATTGCTGTTGCCCATTGCCGTTGCCCCATCCAGATCCGAAATTCGTTGGACTCGCATTAGCGACGATTCTTTTTAAATTGATTATCACGCGCCTCCACAGTACTCCACATATTCTGTGGCGGGTCGGGTTTTGTCTTACATTTTTTGTTGTTTCCTTTTTCTTTTTTTTTTGATTGCAAAGAGTTTCACCTCAGAAGAATTGGGTCTCTGTCTCTGTCTTTCGATCGTGTCTGTGTGGTTGACACGGTGGGGAAAGCTGAAGAATCATTCAAAAATCTGTTCAGATATCGACATATTGGCCATCGAATCGATCCATGGGCGGCGGAGGCGGAACTCTTTAGTTGGCATAAATGGATGAAATTGTGTCATCGCCATGCAATTTTTTTCTCTGCAAACTCCCACTCCACTCGATACGATTGCCGATCGAATGATCGCATTGAATAACATACTCCACTCGCAGCCAACAATTATATTGATCACTTATCGAGCAATTGAACTGTCGCCACTGATTAATGACGAGCAAAGCAATTAGACGACGACTCAACCAATTGCCAATCTGGAAAATATATATGTCTCATGAATGCCAGTCGACAGAGGAGGAGATAGAGAGGGAGCTACAGGAACTGTCTCCATGCAAGCCATCTCCAAAGGAGCAAGAAATATATTTGCTCAGCCTCAAGCCTCTGTTGCAAGTGTCGTGGACTGGCATCCAAGCCCAGGGGGCAGAGTCCCATTGGCATTCCTATTTGAACCATTTCCCCGGGGCGTGGGCTTTCTGCAGCAAGGCATTAACTTGACGGTTGGGTGTGTGTGGGGTGCGGGGCCTGGCGCGGGGCGGCTTCCGGGGCCTCTCTGCCCCAGCCCGCACGGCATAATGCTGAATTAATGCAGTTGGTGCGAATGTCTTTCCATGCCGAATCGACGGATTTCATCATTGGAGCTGTGTGTGCCGGCAATTATAAACGTTTTGATTCGAGTAATTGGGGGGGACCCCAGAGCGGAGTTACGTCAGTGATTGTGGCATGTGGCAACATCGGGCCAAACACCTTTCCCCTTCCGCCACGACCCCATATCGTAAGTGGGTTGAACTTTAACTCGTGAATGGCTCATGGGTTGCTCTGTACAGATTCGTAAAGTGATTTATATGGCAACAGAAATATGCTTCGAGCAGACCGGAGATCGGAGAGTAGATCCATCTCAGTAGAGGAGGGGTGGGGGGGGGGGGGGGCCAGCACTGGAAGTGCAATTTCAATAATAAATTTCTATAATTTTCTCGTTTTGTTTCCTTTCGTTTGGCTCGTCGTTGCCGGCACTGTCGCTGCCACTGGCACTGTCGCTGCAAGTGAAGCGTAGAATTACGTGAAAAAGTGAAATTATGCGACGAAACGACGACACGACAACGCGACGCTGGTGAATGTGATCTTTGGAGCAGTGGCAGTGGCAGTGGCAGTGGCAGCAAGAGCTCAACACTGCTGCTGGAGTGGAGTGGCAGTGGCACTGGCGCGTGAAAGCAGCCCAAAACTACCACACCAGCAGGCCGCAACACCACCACCAACGCTGCCACCAGCAGCAACAGCAGCAGCAGCACCATCATCACCATCGTTGTCGATGCGTGTGACCCAATTTTCGAGGTTGGTGGGGGGGGGAATTTCGATTGCAAGTTCAAGTTTTGCACTCGGCTCTCCCCGGCTCTACTCTCTGCTTCTCTTCCTCACATATCACTTGTCAGGCGTTGCACGTCGCCAAAATCGACGAGTTGGTGCAGAGGCAAGGGAGGGCACAGCCACTCCCCTTTCCACTCCCCTTTCCACTCCCCTTCCACTTACTTTCTTTAGCTTTCGCATGGAATACGCCAAAAGCTTCGAGTCGGAAATGGAAGTGCTTTCCAAGTGCGTTTACGATACCCGTTATCGATTGACAGTCCGATAAATGCGAATGGGGATCAATAAGAATCGATAAAAAATGAATTAATAATTGATGGCAAATCTAAGCAGTGATCCATGATCCAAATTCCATGCACAGGGATACGAGTAGCTGAACCCACTTATATATAAATTGTTTGAGGGTTTACAGCCTCAAGAAACGATCCCAAATGATGCTGTTCATCCTGGTGGCAGTAGATTAAATCCTCCAGCTACCACTTGCAGATGGAATGGTCTGATGGTTCATTCAACCGCTTCCACGAGTACCTGTCTATCCTGTCTATCCTTGGACTAATGTTTCCTGTTTCCTGCCCCATCTTTCTTGCAGCAGCCTGCACTGAACCTGAACCTGAACGCGTTCCACAATGATGACGATGACTGCAACTTCGGCCTCGATATCGACATCGGCATCGGCATCGACGGACTGCAGCAGCAGCATGCAGGGCTCCACGACCAGTTCGGCGTCCAGCGATGTGATGACACTGACCACGACGGCCGCCTCCTCGTGGTGCGCCATCCCCACGAGCTCCAGGCTGCGGGTGTTGCGACTTGTGCGTCCGCATCAGCGCCGCCTTCTGGTGGGCGGGCCCGGAGCGTGCCAGTACGTACGGCTTTGCGGTGCGTGGCGGCCGGGAGCACGGCACGGGCTTCTTTGTCTCCCACGTGGAGCATGGCGGCGAGGCGCAGCTAAAGGGATTGCGGGTAAGTGCGCTCCTCTGCGGGTTTTGCCGTTCTCCCGCTCTTATGGTTCCCTTGGCTCGCAGATTGGCGATCAGATCCTGCGGATCAATGGCTTTCGGCTAGACGATGCCGTGCACAAGGAGTTTATTCAGCTGGTGGGCAGCCAGGACCGGGTCACGCTCAAAGTGCGTGGCGTGGGCATGCTGCCAGTCAGGGAGTAAGTCACACATTCCATCCCAGATCGCATTCAACCATTGATTGATGTTCTCCGCAACAGCCAGCCCGAGGAGCGTCTGTCGTGGAGCGTGGTGAAGCTGCCCAGCGTCAGTGGCACGCCCTCGGAGAGCTCGTTCAAGGCGGACCGGAGGAGCGCCAGCCGCGACATCAGCGTGGTGCTGCACGTGGCGCCGCGCACCAAACTGGGCCTGGGCATCTGCAAGGGGCCGGAGTGGAAGCCGGGCATCTTCGTGCAGTTCACCAAGGAGCGGAGTGTGGCGCGAGAGGCGGGGCTGCGGCCCGGCGATCAGATCCTCAGCGTGAACAGCATCGACTTCTCGGACGTGCTCTTCAGCGAGGCGGTGGCCGTGATGAAGAGCTCCAGCAAGCTGGATATGGTGGTGCGCACCGCCGCCGGCTGTGACCTCTTTCCGGGCGAGTCGAGCGGATATAACAGCTCGGCCAGTTCCGTGACCGGCGATCAGAGTCCCTGCTGGGCCGATGCCAAGTCCAAGCGGCTGACGGCGGTGCGTGAGGAGGCGGTTCCGGGTGGTGCAGCTTCTGGTTCGCCGGCTGCCTGGTCGCAGGCCCAAGTCCAGGGCAAGCAGCTGAACAAGACCATCATCAAGCTGTCCGAGAACGGAACCTCCATCAACAATACGTTCATAGCCAGCCACTCCAGTTCCAGTTGCAGTTCCGCAACGGACAAGCCGCAGTCCCGCACACGGACGGCACCACACAGCAGCGTCATGAGACGTAGCAGTCACCAGAGGACACCAGCAGAAGGATCAGCAGCATCAGCTGGAGGAGGATGTGCACCTATTCCACCCCCACCGAAGACAGCAATGAATGAGGCCAGCGGCTCAGGCGCCAGCGAAGGGGCTGCTGCTGCTGGGGGTAGCAGCCTCTCCAGTGCCATAACCGAGGAGCTCAAGAAGCGCAAAGAGGTGAGCGATATGAGAGGCAGGGGGAGATAGGCAATATGCCAGCCCACTAACTGAAACTATTCCAGAAGCAGCAGCAGCAGCAGCAACGCAACAATCGAGAGCTGAATCAGATCGCTCACAATGGCAGCAGCAGCAGCAGCAGTAGCCACAGCCACAGCCACAGTCACCGCAACAGCAGCAGCAGCAGCAGCCATGCGGTTGCCCAAGTGTCGCACAGGCATCGGGGCAATGCAGGAGGAGGAGGAGGTGGAGCTGTAGCAGCACCACCAACAGGTGGAACAGCGAATGGAGGCGATCAGCACACGGCGCTGATGGATGAATTCAAGCGAGCGCACCAGCGCATGTTCAGGAACGGGTTCCATGAGAGCGAGCACAAGGTGAGCCAGCAGCCAGCAGCCATCAGTCATCATCATCATCAGCTACTTGTAAAGGTCAAGCGAGCCTCTTGGGCTGCACTTGTTGTTGGCCAGTTGGAAGCCCCCTGCTTATAGCCAGCCCATTGTGGCATTGTTGTAGTTGTTACCTAATCAAGCTGTTGGCCAATTGCTGCCTCAGCGAGCTGCACACAGACGCGACACAAGGGTTGGCTATCAACGCTTCGATTGTATCGTGGCGTGGCGTGGAGTGGCGCTCCTCGTCTTATCGCTGCCAAGTGGAGCAGTAAAAGCAGGCTCCAGGTTGGGCTATGCCTTCCATTTGATCTGCACATCCCAGTGGGGGGGGAGCTCTGTGCTGATTTGATTGTTCGATCGAGTGCCGATTAATTATGCTTTGAAGTGCACAGTGGAGGGGGTGTAGGAGGCAGCATTCGGCAGTGGTCGATCTATCAATCGAATCACAGAAATTGTTCAATAGATAGTAGTCGCCCCCCCCCCATGACAGTTTAATTGTGGCCGATATTCGGTTTCGTTGCCCCTACTTGGGACCCTCCTTCAAATCAATCTCAAATGGTCATCGCCGCACACGCTCATGACTCACGCAACTGGGGGGGATGGGGGCTGGGGTTCTGGGAATATGTTGATAGAAGGAACCAAAACAAAAGGCGCAGGCAAACAAATGGCCCAAAAAGCAAATAGAGGCGGGCACAAAGTGTGTGGGCAGGGTGCAGGGGGTGGGGAGCGGGGGCATGATTGTGATTCTGATTGTGAGTACTCCTCAATGGTTTTTATCTAATCAGGCGGGGGGGCGCCGCCGCGATGAGCGAACTGCGCCGCTAGCGTCCAGAGCCAGGTCGGGAGGCATCGGTCTGCGGCCAAATGGCCCAGTCGTGCCGTCAGCTAGCAGCCGAACAGATTGATTGTGGCCCACAAGCAAATGAGTCTGCTGCGTGTGAAGAATGGTAATGGTGGCGGTGGTGGGCAGGCGGAGGGCAGCCATATGCCAACCATGCGACCCGTCACCATCGGACGACCTCTGGTCACCATGTCCACCTATCAGGTATGGCAGCCGCTCAATGCTGATCCAAGGCTGAGTGGGGCTGGGGGGAAAGTGTGCGCCACAAGCCACCATCTAATGGTATATCCTCTCGCTCTTTCTCTCTCTGTGTTTTTGTGCAGGAACGCGGTGAGACACTGAAGCGCACCTCGATAATGCCAGACGATAGCTGCTATCGGAACAGTACCGCCAGCACCAGCACCAGCAACAGCAACAGCAACAGCAAAGTAAACAGCCGCACAGCAGTAGCCACACAGAAGAATTCCAGTCAGCATGGCGTCACGAATGGAGCAGCGGCCAGCAATGGGACACCGGAACTGCCGCCACCGGTAAGCCACATCTGCAGCGCACAGCTCTGGGCCGCTCCTCTCATAATCCACTGTCTGTCTCTTGCAGCCGCCACAATTTGCCAATCCACAGCCTAGACCACAAATGCTGAAGCTAGCCAATGATAATGGAAATTCAAATGGAAACATTGTTGGCAATGGAATGGCATCCAAAATTAAACAGCCCATGTCACCGATGCGCAGTGCCAGCATCAGTGTGGGCGGCTTTCGGCCGCCGGCCACACCACAGCCCGACTACGATGCCGTCCAGCTGCGGGGCAACCATGGAACCATAGCATCATCCCCAGCAGCAACATACCCCACAACAGCAGCAGCAGCAGCAGCAGCATCACTGCAGCAGCAACAGCAACAGCGACGAACCCTGCGTCTGGGCACAGTCACCATCGGGGAGTACGGAGAGCAGCGAACCAAGCGGGAGACGCTGAGGAAAGGTGAACGTTGGCGACACGACGGTGGCCACGCTCAGCTCCAATGGTATACTGAAGAACGGTTCGAGTCGGAGCAGCGCCAGCTTCAGTCAGCACGGGGAGAAGACCATTAAGTTTGGCAACTGACGCCACGCAGATCCGTGCTATCAGCAATACTTTTGTGCAATACGCTCGACGGAGAAGAGTACAAAACTGGACGTGCAGAGGCGGCATTCCCATGTGCACATCGTACATATTACCGCATATTACTTATGTCTTTTTTTTACAATAATAATAGGGTTTTTTTTTGTGCGATTTGTTGAGCTTTCGAAATGGAAAAGATGTACGATTAGTTTTTATTATTATTCGATGTACTCTGTAAATAAAATATATAAATTCCGCATACGCGTGTGGTGTGTGCGAAACTTTGTGCAGGCTTCCAATAAAACTGAACGCGCACACAATTGATCTATGTACATAATGGATATGGACATACTCGTATAAGTGAATGTGTGCTCAGATGTTCAGGGTGTACACTATATATAGACAATGGCAACACACATCCCACAACTGATAAGACGGCGAAAAATGCCTCAGCGCTTGCGTCAGACACCCAACAGCCACACCGAAACCAGCAAATCCCAATTACATTTCGAGCCATAAAGATATCGGTCCGTGTTTTGTCTACTGTACTGTACAGTGTGTATCCCGTCAATTGCTTGCTTGATATATCGATTTATGGGACATAGATCTAGGCCTCTGCCGAGCGACAAATTAATTTGACAGGCTAAGACTGACACACACTCCCACTCGAAATGTCTTGTAATTCTTGGCGTGCGAAAAGGGCCAGGCCAAGGCACACAATACTACGATCGTACTTGTATAGTACAATCTACGTGCTGTAGATTTCTGTGGCAAGTGGCATGGGAAATGCATATCTGCAATTGCAGTTTTTACATTTAGGAATGGATCCAAGTTTACGGTAATACCCTTGCAGATAAGCCAACTCTTTGTGGGGATTACCTTTATATATGTAGAACTTGCACGCCAAATTACTTGACTATTGTTGGCCGACTGAGTACGGGTATAAAAGTAGAGTCGCGTCCACAGAAGCGACTCACAACGTTCCTTCTCGTTGAATATTTTATCAGCTTACATTTTTTTGTGCTACATCTGTCATCTACATCTACAATGTAGGTTCTACATTCCCTCCGCCAGAGTGCACTCGGACAGTACCCGTGGCAGCCAGTCTTTAGGCTAACCCACGCGGGTCAGTCCTTTGGCTAACCCACGCGGATTAGTAACCCATAACCCACGCAGAAATCTCCATTTCTATATACGTATATGTACATATATCACCTCTCAGCTCTCAGGGGGATCCGCTGCTGATTAATGTATACGTACTCGTAATTATGACACCGTAACAGCAGCAGCGGCAGCAGCGATTACCATAAACAACAATCAACTTCAAAATGTTTGCGCTTTTAATTGATGAAAAAGGAATGGTGGGCGTTGGCAGCGGCAGCGGCAGTCGGCGGGTGGCTGGGTGGACTGTGGCGGCATGTAATGGACTGTGTCTGGAGCCAGTTGCACAAACCCGGTCGCCCGATTGACCAACTAACTGAGTAAACGAACACCGATCGGCTTCCTTCCTCATTGTTGCGCCAGAGAGGAGCACGCAATGGGCCAGCGCAGCTGTGGACTGTGGACGTGGACTGCAACAAGTTTGCCGGACTCGATTTTGTTGCTGCTGCTGCGGGTTGGGTTACCGTTTTACTCTGCTAATGTAGGCGATACCCTCTTAAATTTTCTTTCGCTGCTTGCAGAGCTGAGGAGTCGATCTGCTCCAGATCAGCAGAACAACAGCCGAGTGGGTATACCCTTCACGAGGGTATCTTAAACTTCGATTGCCTGTTGCGGCTGCTTTGGTCGTTACACTACAGAGCGGTGCTTGTGACTCGATGGGTCAACTGGTGTTCGTTTTCAATTAGTTTTGGGTTACGTGAGATTTGGATGGGTTAGGTGACGCCCAGCGGCAAGTAAACGTTCCGACAAGACCGCTTCGAATAAGGAAGAGCAGACTAAAGAAACGCTTGAAATGGGACACATTATTAGGGTAAAAATAACGAATAATATGCTAGGATAAGGAAAAGTGCAAGTCTGGTTTAGGCTGGTAAACATTTTGGATTAGCTTCGATGGGCTGGGAAAAGGTGAGATTTTTTGTGGCCATTCACCCAACACAATTCCTCTTCGACAGACATCTCCTTGAGCAAACAATAAGGAATGCACGAGGATTGTATTTTGTACCATATTTGACTTAGATAGGTGATTGCTGCATTACTGTAGCGGCTACCGCTGTCGTTTACACAAGCACTGAAATTATCACCCAGCAAACACACACTCGCTCAGAGTCCAAGCCCCGACTCGTGGACGGGTTAAACCAATAAAATCGTTGCGCAGACGCGGCGATTCAGTTGAAATTTGGACTTGGCCGCGCACAGACAGCGACTGGCCAAAAGCGGAGACAGCCCGAAAGTTAGCGACGTTTTCACTTCACTTCAGTTTACTTCACTTTCGGTTTCGTAAGAGTCCACACCACTGGTTGGTTTCGCAATGATGACGACAATGATGATGAGGCTTCCGCTGCAACTGCTGATAATGCTGCTGCTGCTCCGCCACTGCACTCGCGGCACACCCATAGCGCCCACAACCAAAGACGGTGCCACGCCCATCGATGCCAGGGTAACGGCCGAAGAGTTTGGAGCCCTCGATGCATTTGCCGAGGCGGAGTCCACACAGGTAGCGGCCAGTGAGGCGACGGCCGGTTTCAAGGTGCGTATCGAGAAGGGACACAACTCCTTTCGTGGTACAACTTGCATTTGCTGACCAGATACTTGCAGCTCTCGCTGCTGCCCAAGCCCGCCCAGACGGCGGAGTCGGTGAACCTCGAACAGGAGGCCATACCCTCCAAGGTGCTCAGCGCCTACGAAAACAGCCACAAGAGGGTGGCCGAGCTGTCCCAGGTGGGTTAAACTTCAAATTAGTACTGTGGGCAATTGTACGTCTTTTTTGTTTGTTTGTGTCACCATTACGATTGTAGCCCGTTCCCATTTTGGATACCATCAGTGAGCACGAGAAGTACGGCAACAATGGCGACATGTTCGACGGCATCTCACGGACCATTGTCAATGGTTACGAGGCCTTTTCCAATCTGCTCAACACCTTGATACAGGTGAGTGCTGTGCTGAAATTTACAGTTTGTTTGATTGTTTGTTCGTTCGTTCGTTCGCTGGTTCGCACATTAAATTGCACAATATGACGAGAGCGTATGCACCTCTGCTTTGAATACTGCTTGATCCAAACTGTAGCCACTGCTTTAGTCCAAACTGTGGCCACAGCTTTGGCTCCTGCTTAGTCCTCTTCTTTGGCCCTTGGAACCAAAACCCTGCTTATGCAAGCAGTCGTGCGTCGCCGACCAATGTGTTTGTTCAAGGTCAACTCCACGCTCACTCTTACTCTTTCTCTCCTTGTACAGAAACCCAGAGAGCTGGCTCGCAGCGTCTCCAAGGGCATCACCACTCAGCTGGACATCATCGGGGGCAAGCTGGTGGGCCTCTGAAGAGAATGCCTTTGGCCGAGCTTTCACCGAGGGAGTTACATGGCTCGTCATGGCAATGACCGTTGAAGAGGGTGTTACAGATGTTTCCCAGCGGCTGGACTTTCATAAATTACATGTAAATCTAATCGGAATGCACAGCCTATTCGATATAGCCGATATGTCCGTCAGTCCGTCTAGATGAAAGTTTTGCTTCCGGCAGTATACTTCAAGTCGGAGCTGCCATACATATATGTATATCGGATGGCCATATCGTTTAGTTGTCATGGGAATTATTGGTCGTGTGTGTGGGAGCACTGCTTACAATATGTACTCTTATATAAATCAATTTGTATGTATGCCTATCTTTTTAAATGTTAAATGTTTTTTGTTTTTGTTTGTTTTTGTTTTGTATGTAATTTAAATAAATACTTTAATTTATTTGTAACTTATCGCAATAATATTGTGTAATTGATTCTGTTTAGGAATGTATATTCGATATATAAATATAAATATAAATATATAAATAAAATAATCATACTCATAATAAGGTTAATTATTTAACTAATTCTTCTGCTGCTTCTCTCCTCTCTCCTTTTTTCATAATGTTCCTCCTACTTCCACTCCACTTCTTCGTTTTCCTTTGCTTTGTGGGCAGTTTGTTTGTTGTTGTTTTTGTTGTTGCTCTTTGAATACTACAAGTGTCCATTAATAAATAACATAAATATATGTAGATTTTATATATATATATATATATATATGTATGTATATACTATATAGTATAATGTATATTGTTGTGTATTGTATAGTAGATATGTATGTATGCATGTATATTGCTTTAGTTATTCGAGAGGCCTACGAGTACGCGAATATTTACTGGGCCCGCTGCCGTTGCCTGGTCCTGGGCCTGGTACTGGATGCTGTGCTCGGATTATGGGCCTTACACTATATAGGAGAGCACATCACAATATGGATACACCACTAACTAGACAGGTTTCGATATGTGTGAGTGTTGCTGTCGAGGATCCAAGCCTCGTTCTTCTACCCTAATAAACATCGGATACGTTTTCTCCTACAAATTATAACAAAAGAACACTACACATTTCTCATAAAATTAATTTTTGGCACAATTCGCAGAATGGTTTAAAAACTAAAGAGATTCAACAAAAAAAAAAAAAACAAAAAAAAAATGCAGGATAGCTAGAAAAATGCCTGGAGAGAGACATCTAACTAGGTTTTTGTTTTTTTCAGATGTTGTCCCTCTGCTACAGACGGGTTCAATCCTCCCAACTGCTGGTGCGGGTCTGGGGGTCGATCGAGGGCGAGTAGGATTTGTATGTGTCGGAGGCTCGCTTATGCTTGACGGTGCAGAAGAGCAGCATCGAGGTGATCAGTCCGAAGAGCTGCACGAAGGCGATGCCCAGTCCAATGGCACCCACCACATTCAGCTGGCCGGTGAACCAGCTCTGGAGCGAATGGGCGCATCCCTTGTCCCACCACAGCGAGGGGTTCTCTGATCTGTGAATTAAAATGCGGGAGAGGAATCAATCGGAGAACACTGTGCTATGTTCGATGTGCGGGATGCTAACCTGCCGCAGTCGACGCGCAGGAGACCATCGCCGGATCCTTCGGTCATCAGTTGGCGTTGGTCGTACAGAGTGCGGCAGCAGGACTCTGGCACCCAGCGCTTGCCCGTCCACGATTGGATGTCGTACCAGTCCTCGTACGAGGATACACCGCAGCACTCAAACTGAAAAACAAATAGGGGCAGTTAATTGAGTTGAGGATGGGCATAGAGAGGGTGGCACATGGCCGACTCACCGACTGCTGCACACTATCCCAAATGGCGGCCACCGACGGGGCCACCAGGGAGCCGCGGTCACTGCTGTTGTAGTGGCGCTCGATTCCGAAGCGCAGCTCGTTGGCCAGCGTCCGTCCCAGGCCGCCGCGGAAGAGGAACGCAATGGAGCCCACCAGGAACTCGCTCATGAACAGCATCACGATCAGCATAAAGTACTTTTGTGGAACGAGATCGAGAGAATGTGGCAACAATGGCTCTACCGCTCTAACCGTTCCATCCACCTGCTACTTACCAGCACCAGCAAACAGCGCGACTGTACCCAGGCGCCGCAGCAGCCAAGGAAGCTCACCACGAACCCAGTACCCCCAATCGACATGAAGATCATATCCGCACTGAGAGCGGCATGTTGCGGCAGCAGTGTCGCATATCCCTCGTAGCTGAGGCGCAGCCAAAGGCCGGCGCCCAGGAAAGCGCAGCTGCAGAGCTGTCAAAAAACGAGAGAACGTGTGTCAGCTAAATGCAAAGAGAGAGAGAGAGAGAGAGAGAGAGAGTGACATGACAGGTGCTCTGGCAATCGATTGGAAAACTCTTGTTCAATCGATTAACTCTTACGCCGCTATCATTGATATCTGCGACAGTCAGCACAAAGCTCCTCAACTGACAGCGATTGACAGTTCAAAGAGCAAATGGAAGGCAGACCAAAACGGAGACTGAGAATGAAGTAAAGCTCCGCCAAAGCCGTTGAAGACAATCACAAGCAGACAATGCGACGAGGAGACATATACTCGTACACACACACACTCGCAGCTTCCGCTGCAGACGCACGACGTCGGCAAAGTTCTGCCTTTGATTTGTTGCCATCTGCCAGTCCCACTGCCACTCCATTGGCTCTGGCCTGCCTGTCTGCTCCGTCTGTCTGCTGTCTGCTGTCTGTAACTGTTGCTGCATATCCGCCACCGCCATCGCCATTGCAGGCGGCCAAAGTTTTTGTTATCGATGCGTGCGAGAGCATAGAAAAGGCAGCAACAAGTAAGAACAAACGGAGTGCGGCTACCCTCTAGTCAGATATCCACCAAACTGTAGCAACCAACTTACAATCACTGGATGAGATATGCAAAGTGCTTTCATTAAGATCTAGAATATCCTTTTCAGTTGCTGCGGTTCCTTCGATATCTTCTACGTGACTTCCGGATTCTTTAATCCCTTTGACTGGGAATGGGATGGGCGACTTACCCATAGAATGATGTTCAGCCAGCAAAAGGTGCGGCGTATGCACGTGTAGCCGGCGTTACCCATCGCGGGAGCTGCAAAGAAATGACAGAGATGCAACAAGCTTCAGTTTTGAGTCGGCTGGGATTTCCCCCTTTTCCTTCGCTCACAGACACACAAAAGCACACACACATAAACACTCCCACACTCACACAGTGGGGGCATAAATCATGGGCAACGCGATTGCGATTGCCGCGCTGCATTCATTAGAAATGTTCTTCTCCATCTATTAAATAAGCGATTTTTTATTTTTTTTTTATTTTTCGGCGACCCCATTGAATGAGCGTGAGTGTGTGTGTGTGTGTGTGTGTGTGTTAGTGTAATTGTGTATGTGTTTGTGTATAAATAAAACTGAAATTTCATAAATTTAAACAAAAAGAATTTATTGTTGATTTTGTTGTTGTGGTTGTTGTTGCTATTTTTTTGATGGCTTCCATTGGCATTTCCTTTTGTCTATGGCCATTTAATGGGAGTATCACGGAATGGCTGGCGGGGTCTGCCAGCGGGTGGGTGGCAGTGCAGCTGTTGCACATCCACTCAGCCATGGATTCGTTTATGCAAATAATATTTGATATGATCCAATGAAAACAAACAAATAGAATAGCAACCAGATCTGCAGGCCATTATCCAGAGAAACAACCAAACAAACAGCCGGACACCGAAGGGAAGTTGTGAGAGTCTTTACTTCTCTGAGTATATGAACAGAATGTTTCTATTCTATACAATAAAATGGTACAGGTAGCAGGTAAAGAGGTCACACAAAAAAATCATTAGTAATGAGAGAATGATCTCTAAAGACATTTTAATTAATATGCAAATCCAGAACTAAAGCTGAAAAAGAACTTCAGAATATTGTGTGACTACAAACATACATATGTACGTATACAAATGCAATCGAGGGTCATTCAAATGTGTAAACTATTTAAAAGCTAACCAAATATGTATGTATGTATGTACATACGTGTACGTGTATGTACGAGTATTTACAAATTTATATGTAAACATCTGGAGGATTGTACAAGTGAAGAGAACCGAAAATTTCCATTCTACACAACTTTCATGGGAAAGAAAAACACAAATTCAATTGGTTTTATGCAAATTAATTCATGTTGTGTGGCAATCAAGCTTCGGATCTGGGAAAATTCATGTTCAATTCTCGCGCCACCTGGGAGCTGGGAGATTAGATGGTTGCATGTGAGGCAGCAGTTAGACGGAGAGCAGTGGGGAGGAAGCAGATGAGGAGTGCCTTACAATGTTGATATTACAATATTTTCAACTGAGCTGCACTGCTTACAATGTATGTGGATGGGCCAGGGGCGAAAAGAAAGCAGTTTCGGGCTTCCCATAGGATCTAAGCGGCTTTCGTTTCGGATTAGGTAATCGTTTACAGTCCATCCCTGAGCCTCCCACCACACCCTCGTTAATGGATCTGAACTTGAAATCTTGGGGGCGGTTGTTGCTGTTGGACAGAGCACGCGACAGACGCATGCGTGCAGTTTGCTTCGCGGGCCTCACTTCCAGAATCCTCCTACGATCCTAACCCATTCTCGGGGAACTACTGTGGAATGCCAACTAGAGGGAAAAGAGCTACTCTGTAATTGGAATAACTATCATTATCATCATCAGCGTCCACCACATCCAACATAATAATGAAATAGTAGTGCAAATAAGTTGGAATGGGCAGTGAGGGACTTACTGGGGGGGCATGGAATGGAATGGATAATGGGACTTGGGCCAGGGCTGTGCAGCTCGGTTCACTCCCAGTCCCAGACCCAGTCGCAGTCGCAGTCCGTCGTTTCCAAGTGCGAACAATTGCAAAGGCCCAGCAACGAGAGTAACTGTCGCTCGCTTATTTTCCAATTTAACTCAATAACGCGGACTGGCTTAATGGCATTTGACGCTGAAAATTTGCGATTTACCCCAGACCCGTCCCGTCTCGTCTTGTCTCCACCCCACCCCCCCCCCCACACACAGCTGCACATTTATCATAATTCGAGAGTGGACAAACCGAAGCTGGGGCTGGACTACGACGACTAGTATGTGGATTTCAGGCTTGACTTCTCTGAGCCTCTACTCCTCCACTGCGGATGTTGCCCGAGTGATTTATGCCATGGAAATTGTTGGTTAACAAATCTGGAAATTATTCTCTGTTTCTCCAAATATATGTATTTCATAATCGGTGGCAAAGATCATGATAAAAACACTAAACGAAGAAAACAAAGAAGACCAGTGGATGGCAAAGCAGTAAAAATAGGCAATGAAAAAGCAGTTTCCATTGTCACCATTCTTCCCGCAAGAGCGAGGAGGGGAAAAAGAGCGAGCAGCAAGCAGCAAGCAGTGGAATCCGCACAGATCTACCAAGTCGACGACATTTGCGGCAAGCAATGAAAAGATTTTCACCGTCTGCCGATGTCTCTCTTGACCATTGACTAGCCAATTTACCCCTCTCGAGAGCTCTTACTGCTGTTGGTCTTTCAAAGTGTCGTAGTCGTCGTCGTCCACGAAAAGTTTTCTCTTTTGATACTCTTTGCAAAAATGGGTATTCCAATGTTACAACAAGTCGTTTGTCAGGCTGAGAAAGAACCCCTTTTCTATTCTGAAACAGTAGTAAGGTTAAATCAGTTCTGTCAGACTCTTATTTTCACTGTAGATGGTGGTAGCACTGATCACTACACATGTCTTATGGCATTCATGAGACCAATCTCACTCAATGTGAGCAAATTTGTGATCCAAAAGTAAGAAATCAATGCTTAGCCAATCATAATCCTGCTTAATTTAACTAAAACCAGCTTTACCGAAGACCTGTCATAACAAAGACAGCTCGTAAATAAAGTCTTAGGGGCAAAACTTTCGTTTTTAAAGACAATCCAACCAAAAGTTTGACCCAATTTTAGTACTCGTCGCTTACTATGAATATCTTTTATGGAATTTGGCGATGTTTGATTAAAGAGGAATAATATTACGAGAAAGATTGAATGATATATGAGTGATAATATGTAACTCTATGTAACAATCGAACTTCAAGAGTATTTAAAACTGCGGCTCTCCAAATCGAGCCTTTCTTTTTTGCTGGTTTTCTTGCTGTTTCGTCTCTGAGAAGAGGGGATTGGAAAAGCAGGGCCAGGGGTTTGCCCGACGATCGGCCAATCTGTGTGTTTACTTTGTTTGTGCCCCATTGCCGCATTTCTTTTCAGTTTCAATCTGGTTTTTTCTGTTTTGTGGCTGGCTGTCAATAAACTGCAAAGGTTCGCTGTTGCATTTGTAAAAAAGGGACCTTTATAGAGATATATTTGTGGGAAGGACTTGGACTTGGATCCACCACCCACAGTCACACATACATTTGTTTTACTCCAACTGAAGGGAGAATCGGTTTCGATTTCGGTATCGGTTTTAGTTTCGATCGGTCGTCCGTATTGATGTCGCGCACTAATAAACACAAAATTTAACTGCAAAAAAAAATTGTGTTGCAATTTGATGTGATCGTTGTTTTTGTTATATATATTTTTTAGAATTTGTTTGATCTCCTTTTCGGTTATTCTTCGCCGACACACGTTTTTGTCCAATTTATTTTTACAACAATTTCAATTTTTGAGAGTTTTCTATTTTGCGCTTTTGCTGCTGCTGCTGCTGTTCAGCACGGCACTGCTGCTCGGCTCGGTCCGCAGGTTCTATGATGCGCTCGCGGCGGTTGCTGAAATAAACTTGACGACAAAATAAACCGACGGTTTTCATCGCAGTCGCAGTTAAAAATAGCAAAGCGTCGAGCAGCGACCACGAAGCGACAGCGCAGACACGAAGCTTTTTACCGTATGCAAGCAGTACATGACATATTAATCCAAGGTGGGACACATTACCATTAACGCTCTTCGTGTCGTAGATGCCTATATATGTACATATGTATGTAAAGATAGTTTTTTAGATTTGATTAAGATATTATGGACCAGCTGTTTGTAGAACCTAAGGAAAATGAGCTCTCAACAATCTAATCTGGGAAAATTTCGCTATCATTATATGCTTAGCCATAATGTAGGAACTTCCAATACTTAAATGAATGGTACGCTGTTGTAATATAAAAACAAAAACAAGTAACAAAAATCAGTTGTATTTGCATTTTCTAGACAATTATCATAAAATCCCAGTCGATGGGAATTACCTTACCTTATTACAAATACACTTTGTCCATGCAGCTGTGGAGGAGAGAAAAGTGCTTGCATTCTCTCCGAAAAATGCCACAGAGAATGAGAGAGTGAGAGGTGAAGATATAGAGAGCACACCGTCTGCATACTTCATGAATGAGATTTATGTTTAGATTTCAGTGTCACGTTTTGATCCACATTTCTAAATAAACGAATCAAATCAACGAATCAGCAGAGAAGCCAGCGTCAACGCTTACAAAGAATACAACAAAAGAGAGGGGGGATTTGATAGCGGGGGAGCGGAAGAGGTAGCGTATGGAAATGTGTCTGTCGCTGACAAAAGGGGAAATGGAAAGTGGAACTAGTGACGTAAGCGGTTACGCTATTGAACCGTTAGCTGTAATGATCATATGATTGAAAACGACGTAAAAATAGTCCCAAAGAAGATGCTCGCTCACCCATATTATAAAAGAAAACAGTAGTCACTGCTTATAGAGGCCACCCAAAAATAGCGAACATAACACACCACAACGTAACGCCGGAGAGGGTTAACGAACTCAAAACATAAACAAGACAGAAAATTGGGGTTTTGGCACCGCAGCTTTGAATACCCTTGCAGATCTGATCGATTGTGCCTGCCTATGAGGGCTAATATAGAAGTTCAGTCTAGATCCAATTTGGGTGTGCCCAATGATTTGCTAGGTAACTTTTTTGTATCCAACGTGAATCTAAACAGCCAATTGAGACTCCAGCTTTATATGTGGATACCTGAGGGGACGCCTATTTCAGGAGTACCTCAAACAATACCCTACACTCCAGTGATTATTTATGATTGCTTTTATGTGAAATCGAAGTTTGAATAATGCTGGCGCAACTCCCAAACCAATTCTCTGACGCAACAGAGTTAAGCGGAGCCGCAACGGAACCAGCGAAAAAACCCCACCACGAGCCGTCTGCGACTACGATCCAGTGGCAGGCGAACTTAACATAAAGGAAAGTTGGGAGACCTCGTTTACCTTTCCATACAAAAATCTCTACAAAATTTATTTATTAAATCTACGATAAAAAAAAAACAAGAGTGACAGACGCAACAGAAAGCTGTTGAGGTAGAAGACACTTAATAAGCGGAGTTGGAGATGCTCAGAAGCGCAGAGGTTATTATGTAAATGGGTCTGCAGTGCTACTATCTGGCTCTCACTTGTCTTTGCGCAACTTCTGGCTGGAGAGCTCGATGGCATCCAGCCAGAGCTTGAGATCGGCGGGCATCTCCGGTCGCTTGGCAGCCTCCGGGTATGTATTGAGCAGCTCCTGGACGTCGCAGTTGGTGATGCACTGCTTGGAGAGGGCGACGGCACGCACAAAGCCATCGGACAGGGTGACAAACTGCTGCTCCAGATAGATGGCCTTGTCGTCCCACCAGACTAGCTTCGTTTGGATCTTGTACGGATGGAATATGGGTATGGTGCGGCGATACCGCACGCTGCTTGCACCCTGCACGGCACCGCCGCGCCGTTGCCGTATGCGCTCATACAGACCCGTGAGGGCGTAGAAGTGGAAGCGGGCAAAGTCGAGTTCGCGCAGGTACCGGGCATTGTTCATGTGCCGGATAAAGATGTCCACATCCTGGGAGGTGCACAGACCGTAAATGGAGGTGCTCTCCGTTACCTTTCGCTTGCGCTGGAACAGCTTGCCGCCCAAAACGGTGAACACGCAGCGGATGAAGTAGTTCACATCCCAGATCACGTACAGTATCAGTAGAATCACTAGCCACGACATGGTTCGATCGATCTCTGGTTCCTTTCACACACTCTCGTTGTCTTTTGCTGTGGGACGGGATAGATGGGAAAACCTGTTAGGTGGTTGGTTGAGTCGCTTCAGCGAAAGTTTTGCAATTGACTTTGGCTCGCGTCCCGTTCCGTCCCGTCCCGTCCGGGCGTCTTGTCTACATCCAAAGTCCAAGCCGCGGGGCGGATGTCAAGCGTATGCACTGAACCCGCTGGTAGGCAGTGCGACAATTCCAGCTCTGGAAATCTACTTACGTTTGCAATAATAGATCCCCTCTCGCTCACACAAACACACACACACACACACACACACACACACAGAAAGACGCTCAGCTGGCGTGGATACACCGGAGAAACAGCAACCGTTGACTGGGCAAGGCCAGAGAAGACTGAACAGCGGCGTCACCGTCACCGCAGCGAAGAAAGCTGCCAAGCAGTCCAAAGTTGGAGAGTGGAGAGAAGAGCACTCGCAGCAGCAGCAAGCAGCAAGCAGCAGCAGCGGAGCGACAAGTGCAAAGGCCCGGAAAGTGAGCGGAGTGCCCACCTCTCAGAGAGCAGTAAGCAGTGCTTCTTGGGTGTTGTGTTGCATTCTTTCTCTTGTTTATGATAAATGCCGATGCAGAGTACTATATGCAAGGTAAACAAATGTAAGTATTTTCTTGTTGTTGCGCCTGCGGATCGATTGGTTTCCGATTGCGTTTCCGATGCCTAAGTAGGAGTGGAATAATCACGCGATCAATTAGCACATTTACGGGCAAATGTGGAAATGTGAAAATGCTGGGAATTACAAAGTTGACGATCGGCAAATACGTTGCTCCCGAACTATGAACATTTGTCAGGTTGTTAAACTGTAAATTACCCAAAAGGTAAAAGTTTCAAGTAAAGGGGCGGATATTAAATAAATCCGGAATCAGTCATCGAAAAACTCCTCTGCAGACACCGAGACACCGTTGCATGCATGTTCCAGAAGCATACTTTCGGGCGATTCAACCAGACAGAGATAGTGAGAGAGAGATAGTGAGAGAGAACCCGTTAAGCGGAGAGTTTTTCTTCTGTTTTACTAAACACAATCATTGTACATCATAATCTTACACACACTAGGGACTACCAATTGGGGTTGGGTTTTTGGATTTGGGGTTGGGGTTGGGTGTGTGTGTGTGTGTGTGGGTTTCGGTTTCGGTTTCAGACATGAATGATGATCATCATACATAAGATAAAGCTAGGGTTTAGGGGCGGACACTTACGCCTAGGGTCACTTGGACCTCTTAAACATGTATACATAGTACGAGTAGCACAGTTTTTGTTTTTGTTGTTGTTTTTTTGTTGTTCTCAGAAATAGCCCGCAAAACGTATCGGGAGAAACGTGGAGTTCCAGTTTCCCGCTCGGGCACTCCCGTCAGCAGCCGCTGCGTAGATTCTTGCTGGACATGTCATTGTACTCGATCCACTTGGACAGCTCTGGTGGCAGCGACGGCTTCAGCTTTGCACAGTGCCCCAGCGCTGTCACCGTCACCGTCGCTGTTTGTGTTGGTGTTGTCATCTCTGGCGCTGCTGCTGCTGCTGCTGCTGCATGTCCATTCTCCGCCAGAGAGGATTGGTCCATTGCTGGATTGCTGATGCCGCCGGTCACGCTCATTGGCTGCAGGCTAGCCGCCGTTCCGGGGGCCACCAGCCGCTCCATTGGCCGGAACTGGTCCGAGGCCGTTCGCGGCAGAAGCTCTGCCATTACCGCCTCCATGGACACGTCAATGACGCGCTGCCGACAAATGGCTATGCAGTGCACAAACTTGTCCGAGGGCCGCACAAAGCGGTGCTCCATGAACAGCGACTGCTCATCCCAGTACACGATCTGCAGGTGAACCCAGAGATAATGGAATTGGAGAATGCTGTGGGATGTGAGCCACAGGTGGGAGCCTGGAACACTCACCTTGGAGACAATGTTGAAGCGATGAAAGGGCCGTATGAAGCGACGATAGCGTATGGTGGCCGCGCCCTGGAACACGGATCCGCCCATGCCCGTGATGGTGCGATACAGATTGCTCCGCTCGTAGAAGTCCACGCGGGCAAAGTCCAGCTCCCGGAAGTAGCGGGCATTGTTCATGTGGTAGAGCAGCGTGTCCACATCGTTGGTGAGGCATAGACCTGGTGAGGGTCCGAGACCAACCATTAGTGCCACCCACAACGGGTTAGACTGGGACTCTCACTCACCGTTCACCGTGGTGGCGTCCAGTATGTGGCAGCGTCGCTTCACAAAACGCGCCAGCACCACACAAATGCACATGCGCAGGAAGTAGTGCAGCTCGAGCAGCCCGTAAAGGCCCACGATGACCAGGAGGCAGCCCAGCGCCAGGTAGCACAGCTGCTCCATAATCTAGCCGATGCTGGCACGGATGGCGGCTGTGGATTGTGGATTTGTGGCTGTGGCGTTAGGCCTGTAGCTGTAGTTGTAGCTGTTGTAGCTGTGATGTAGACGGTTTGCTGTAGGCGTTGGGCGTTGGGCGGTGGGCGGTGGGCTGGGTGCGTCTGGGGCCAGGGGCCTTGGTGCTGGAATAGTTCCGGAAACTGAAAGGAATGCGGTGGCGAGAGAACAAATGCCAATCAAAAATCGGAATCTAATTAGAGGAGGCGGAAGTAGGGTGGCGGTGGCCGGGGGCGGGCGGAAACCAATCAAGTGCTTGGTGGGTGTTTGGGCTGGTTGTGCTGGTTTTTGTCCTGGCTAAGCGATAGCCACACACAAATTAGGTCATTCCTTTCGCGGTACACATCTCTCACGGTAACCCGGAACCCAAAACGGAACCCTCATCAGGTGAGTGCAGGGAGCGATTCCTTGGATTGCCCAAAGCAGAAGCACACGCAGGACGACCCACGACCAACCCCCGATTTGTTGTTGTGGATGTCGCCTTCGCCCTCTGTCTGAGCACAGCAGCTGGAAAACTGATATTTCCACTTTTGGCTCTTTGTTAAATTTGGCCCCAAACAGGACAAACCGCCGCACGAAACTCACCAACAAAACCGAACTAAAAAAAAAAAAAGGCACTATATGTTATTTAAACGACACCAGGAGGAAAAGAAACAATTTCTATAAAGTCAAACGACGCGCCTACCACAGCGACAACAAGCGCACTGAAACGTACAAACGTATTTTTTTGTGTGTGTTTTTTTCTTTTGGCCAAAATGCTGCGGGTGCTTCTGCCTGCTGCTGCTGGTGCATCGCTGCTCAGTCACAGTCTCCGTCTCCGTCTCCGTCTAGGTCTCGGTTTCAGTCGCGAGGGGCGCCTCAACGACGCCTGCGCGCTGAGCGAAGTTCGACCCGTCCGTTTGTTCGGTGCGTTCGGACGGGTCGACATTTGCTCTCAGCTGACGTCCTCCTCACAGCAGCAGCAGCAGCGGCAGGCAGCAGCAGCTTTTAGACAACAACAAAACAAAAGCTCTTTCTTGGCTGGTAAGGGTTGAAACCTGTTGCCGTTGAGCAAAAGCTTTGGCTTTAATCTCAGACCGCTTCCTGATAGCGAGAAGAAGCTTCAGCCTCAGCCAAAGTTACTTGGCTGGTGGGGCTTCGAGCCTCATGTGGAGCATCTTCGGAAATGACCCTCGAGGTGTTTCGGTTTCCGCTTTCATGGCAAATAAACTTAGCTAGATAAACAGAGGGGGCGGCGCCCCAGAACAGTTCCCTCCAGTGGGATTGGGTTGCACTCTCTCCATAGCACTCTTTGAAGATACAGCATAGGGCGAGATGAACTGCATATAAATCATCGATCTACGCATTCTACGCTGAAGTACATCTGGAATGTCTTCGAACACTTTGAATAGTTCGGAAGTTTTCGAATATGTTCGGACACAGCCACGAGAGCCTTTTGCGCAGGAACTGTGCAGACAGGCAGCGGCAAATGCATAGTTCAAATAGAATTTCCATTAAATTATAAGTAATTCCAGAACAACCTAAGGGCTAGCCTTTGGTCTGCTGGCAATGTGGAATGGAAATTTGCCTTTTTGTCGGGTAAGAACACAACTTAGCTGTCGGCAAACACTAGTCAGAGCACACGCTATGCAAATACGGGAAGTTGACAAATATCAAAGCAAAAAGCAAAAATGACAAAAAAAAAGTTCGTAAGAATGCAATAAGGTCTATAGTCGAGTATTCCGACCGTAAAGATACCTCCGCTATTTGGATATTGTGGACAAGTGGCAAATATACAGAACAGCCCTGCCAGTTGTTCCATTCGAATGTATGGGGGAAAGCGATTGATCGATCGATATTAACAGTGACACATCGAAGGGGTCCGCCATTGGTTTCTATATTCTACATTTAATTTTGCTTTTTTTAAATGATTTTAATCTGCTTGCATTCTGTCTGCTGTTGCATACGATTCACACGATTTAGAAGTCACCTTTTGGCGGGGAATCTACGGTAGTAGCTCCCACGTCCCCTCCCCCGGTACGTGTATTCTAACCGGAAAAACAAAACAAAATACAAATGGCAATAAATAAAATCGACTAGCACCCTAGTCCGTCATTGCGCCCCCACTCATTGATTTTTGCTCTTCTCGTGTTGTGGGTTTTAGTTTTTTCATGATTTTTTTTTGTTTTTATTTTTAGCTTAAACAAATTGAAAAAAAAAAAACGTCCAAGCGCGTTAAGCTTTAAACTAGAATTGTGTTAGTTGTATTTTAGTTGTACTGTTTTTGTGGATTTAAGGACAAACGTAATTACGACAAAAGTGATTAAAGTATTTTAAGTGCTATGTACAGAGTGGTTGGGTGTTCCTGGGACGACCATATACCTATAGTATCCGCTCTTTATCGGCTCCCAGGCAAGCACCGGGAACGGGACGACTGGCAGGCACTCTCCCCGAGTCTCTGAGTCTACGGTTACTTCTGTTCAGTGCACCTCGGTCACGGCCCTCTCTCTTTGCGACTCTTTATATACTTCTCCTGCTTTCCATTTCGGGTTGGATGCCCCGTCCCTTTGCCTATATTCTTTCCTTACATATAACACAGGTTTAGCGCATAACAACAGTTTTTTTCCATTTCCATTTCCTTTTTCATTTTTTTTTTTTTGAGTTGAGTTTTCTGCGGTTGCCCAAGGACTCAAAAACAATCTGCTTTAAATCATGTTATAAACTAGAACTATATATTTCTGCATGTATCTAAGTGTTTTTGTGTGTGTGTGTGGGTTTTATGGTTTCTAGATTTAATTAAATCTAAGACATCATTATTTATATATGTACAAAAGGGAAGGGGGTTACGGGTTTGGGGGGGTTAAAGTGTGTGAATAACAACAACAAAAAAGAAAGTAAATTATAGGAGAAAAAAATTCTTGAAAAAAAGAAACGACGAATTCTTGGAGCAGTCTGCGGGTGGCGGGAGGGGAGTCATTCGGAGGACAGACAGTAGTTTATAGATCGATAGATATATATAGTAGGTATATATATATATATATATATATAAGTAGATAGATGGTAAAGTATTTTGGATAGTGTAAGTATATTTTCTGAATCCCTCTCTCTCTATCTCTCTCACTCTTACTCGCACTCTCCATTCTGCTCTAACTCCTGCTGTGGTTCTCACTCTCTCTCTCTCTCTCTCTCTCTCTCTCTATGACTCTCGCTCGGTTCTAGTCTTCGTTCGTTATGGATTGGATTGTATCATCCCATCCACTGACTATAAGGCATACAAAACACACAGATTTCCGACCAACTCCACACTCTGTGATCTCTCTCTCATCTCTCCTCTCTCTCTTACAAACTAAACCCTACAAATGGGGTCCATTCCGTTCCATTTTCAATCATCTTATACGCATCTATTCCATCCACAATCTGCAATTTTTAATTCAATTTCCGTTTTGTATTCTAAACATTCCGACGAATCCCTTCACAAAGTTCTGCACTGGAGCAGAAGAGCAGCGGAGCATCGGAGCAGCAGGCAGGCAGGCAGGCAGGCAGGCATCTCATTTCGTATCGTCGGGCTGGCAGAGGGCCTCAAAGTCGCAGCGTTCCACGTTGTCCGCATATAGGCGGCGTAGCGTGGCAAGCGAGCACAGATCCTCGTTTTGGGGGCAACCAGGCAGGCGGACGACACGCTCCTGGTGCATCACCAAAACACGGGGCGGCTCCTGCTCGCATCTGTCATACAAAAAAAGCATAAAATTAGCAGCTAGTTTTAAAGGGAGGCTGCTGTCCAGCAGTCCAGCAACTGCTGGCATGAACACTCGACTCACTCGTAGCGCAAAAATGCCAAGTTGGTCGCAAAGGCATCGATTTCACTGGTGCGCCAGAGACGCTCGCTGCCAAAATGCTTGTGGGTGAGTGCCTCCTTGTCCTTGGCCAGACCGAGATGGGCCAGTAGCTTCAGCAGTGTGCCCGAGTGAGTGAAGTAGAACGTGGCATTGGCACGCATGGAGGCCTGGGAGATTGGGCTGTGGGGGAATTGTTTATAGTGAATGCCACAAAGGAAAAGGAATCGCCACGCGGACGCGCACTCACTCGATGGCTGCAAACATATCTGCTATCGCCGGACAGGCAATGCGATGGGTCAGCTCATAGCCATAGCCATCGTTCCAATAGTACTCCAGATCCTTGGCAAACTCCAAAGCCTTCAAGCTATCCACATCAAAGAAGCTGCACCAGACGGACTCGCGCTGCCTCCGACGCTGCCAGGATGTCTCGAACGCACACACCATATACATGAGCTCCACATCCTCGGCCTGCAGATCCGGCAACTGAGTGCTGCCCCGCACATGCTCCACTGCTGACTGCATCTCCGGCTCATCGGTGAACCGGCGTGCATTAATAAATGTTTCGGGATTCTTATCGACGTCAGTTCTCCATCTATCGCAGAGTTTATAGAACTAAACAAAAGAAAAGATACAGAAGAGTGGAATTAGTGGAGTCAAGAGTTTATTGCGGGGTATCCCCCAAATAAAGGGATATATTCCCACCCCATTCCAGAGATATGTAGTTCCTATCTTAGCCACAGCTACTAAGCTACTAAGCTACTACTAATATATATTTATATGGTTAAGACGAGATGTAAACTGTTTTGTATACCTGGCGTGGGACTGTAGATCGCGACCATGTTGTCCACAAATCCCACTGCCAGCTGCGCCTTGTACGCATGGAAGGATATACAGGTGGGATGTCCTATCTTGGGCCCAATGAATCCCTCGTTGGTCCGCAGCACCTTCTGCAGATCGCCCTTCAGCGAGTAGATGCAGATCTTTGTGGCATTGCCACACGCGACAGTGCCCTCGATCTGGTGGCTGGATATGGCTGTGATATCGCTGCCAGCATCCCACTGGTACAGCACCCTATCACCGGTGCCGATGGGGAATCTAGCACCGCCATTCCGCACATCCACCACACTGATCGTTCCGTTCTCACAGCCGGCCACCAGATGCGGTTCGTTTGGTCGCATGTACGCGTGCAGTATGGGCGCATCGTGGCGTCGCGGCTTGTACACACAGACGGGGGCATAGCGTGTGGCACAGCGCATGTCGATCAGCTGCACGCTGCCATCCTCGCAGCCCGCGAGTATCAGTTCACAGCTCTGGTTGGGCAAATAGGGGCTCAGCACACGGACGGTCGTCTCGTTGCGTCGCAGCTGGATGTCGCTCAGTCGCAGCTCCCGCTCCACGTCCCAGATGCGCAAGAAACGGCAACCGCCGCCCCCCACCACCAGACGTTGGCTGTACTGCTGCCAGGCCGTGATGATGCTGGAGCTGGCCAAACTGCTGGGCGATCCGCCGCCGCCGCCGCCTGTCTGATCGGCGGTGGCCTTGCCGATGGTTCCGCCGCTTCCCGCGATGCTGGTGCGCTGTCGTCCGGTCGATCCTGGACCAGTGCCAGTGCCTGTGCCTGTACCCGTCTGCTGGCTGGCGCTGTTGGCCGGCGCCAGGGCTGTCCAGGCGGTGACGAGGCGAGATCTGGGCTGCTGATACTGCATCGATCCAGGTCCAAGTGCAGGTGCATCCTCGCCCAGTGGCGGTGGCTGCCACACCCTCACGATGCCATCATCGTGGGCCACCAGTGTGAGGGCCTGATCCTGGGCATTCAGGAACTCAATGCTGCTGACACGCGCGAACGTGGGCACGGCCGTCAGTCCGGCCAGGCCCGACGAGTGCTTGCGGGGCGTGCTGCCGTTCAGGGATGAGGATGAGCCGGAGGTTGAGCCTGAGCCACTGCCGCCACTGGTGCCCGTGGCGGTGCCGGCGCCGTGGCCTGCCAACGCCTCGGCGGCATACGTGCGCACCGAGTTCCACACAAAATCGTAGACGAGCACCTTCTCGCGATAGGCTACGGCTATCTGGGACTCGTAGGGCAGCAGCTTCACAATCGATGGCGTAAATTGGGTCTTCCGGCTCCAGCTGCAGACGTCGTACCCAAACTGATCGGAGCTCTGGCCATGCTGTCCAGGCCGCCGTGACTGGCCCATGCTGCTGCGGTTAAGTTCGCTTTGCTCGCTTTGCTGGCTCTGTGGGCGTCGCGCCTGTCGGCGGATCAGTTCGTTGCGCTGGTAGCGATAGCGACGCGTGCGCAGCTCGTGGGAATTGCGATCAATGGGATAGCGCTGCTCCCCCTCCGCACTGCCGTCCGCGGAGCTGTAGCGATGCTTGCCCGGACGCGTAAAGTAGGAGATGGCCCACGGTATGAACTCCGTCTGGATAATGGGTTGCAGCGCCTGGCCATGGCTGCCATGGCCCTTGCCCGGCTCGTGGTAGTGATTGCTCTCGCTGCCGCTGCTCCTAGCCGAATGGCTGCCACCGGCTGTCTCCCCTCCAAGTGCGGGTCCCAGTCCGCCGGCCGCTGCTCCGCCGCCGCCACCGCCACGGACATATGCCGGTCCGCTGTCAGTCTCATCGTTGATCGAGCTGGTCCGCAACTTGCGCTGCAATATCATTTGCGGATCCCCCGATGCGACGCCACCGGCGGCTCCTCCGCCACTGGCGCTGCCCGACAGCCGCAGCTTTTGGGCCCAGTGGCTGGCACCCACCGTGGTACCGGCGCCGCCGCCTGCGCCCGCATTGCCGCCGGTGTTGCAGCCCACAGGCGGCGATTGGCCGCCGGCCGCGACACCCCCGAGGTAGGTGACCCGCGTGTTGGGACTGGGCGGCAGACTGACGCTCAAGCTGTTGCACTTCTCGGAGGCGGTGGCCATGGTGGCCTCCTTGGCGGCCATAATCGGACAGAGGGCGGTGTCGCGTACATGATGGACAATCTTTTGGGCGGTGGCCGCCACCTGGGGGAACGGATCCTGGGCGAGCTGGCAGATGCCCAGCCACAGCTTGGTGAAGATCGATTGGAAGGGGATGCTGTTGGTGCCTCCGACCACGACGCCAGTTGCCGCTCCCGCTCCCACGCCCACACCGCCCACAGAACCGGAGCGTTCGCCGCTGCTTTTGCCGGCTCGACTGGATCCTGCTGCGGCTCCTGCCGCTGCTCCTCCTGCAGCTGGCAGACCCAGGGTGGCCGAACCGGACCCAGAGCCGGTGCCCATGTTCGAAATGGAACTGGAGCTAACGCCGCGTCGCATCGTCACATGCCGCTCCAGGCTGTGGGTGGACGAGGCGAGGGCATGTGCGCCCGTGGGCAGGGCATTGCCGCCTTGGAGCATCACAAAGGTGGAGGCGGCATGGCTGCTGCGCATGTGCTCGGCCAGATAGACGGCCACAAACTGTGACTCGAAGAGCAGCACCATCCACTGTAGGGCGGCGGCCAGCTCCAGGCGCACCAGCGGCGACATGTCCTCCCCGACAGTCTCCAGCAGAGTGATGGCAATGATCCGATCGATGTTGTTCGCCTGCTGCTCGCTGCGGTCCGTCACGGAGCTGATGAAGGTGCCCAGCGCAAAGACAGCGGCGGCCCGCACTTCGGGTATCGAGTCCCGCAGCAGGACATAAAGCTTCTCGTGGGCCAGATCGCGGGCCCCCGACCAGCGGGCCTTCTCGAAGTTCTGCCACAGCATGCCCAAGCAGATGGCCAGCCACTGGCGCAGCAGCCAGCTGTGATCGTTCAGCTGCTCCAGGCAGATGGAGAGCAGCGGTCCCTGCAGGGCGCTCGTCTGGCCGAGCAGGAAATTGTGCACGATGGAGGCCAGCACAAAGGCGGAGAGGCTGCGGTGCTCCTTGGAGACGCTGGTGTCCTGCAGCACGGACAGAAAGTACTTGTACTCCTTGACCAGATCCACCTGGCAGCTGGGATCCACGGCCAGTATCTTGGCCCAAATGAAGACCAGCACCGGGCGCAGTTCGCGCGTTGAGCTCTGCAACAGTTTGAGGACATACGGAAAGATGCCCACGCCCAGGGCCAGATTGACGGCCCAGGGTCCGAGGTCCAGGAAGCGTGATAACAGCTCCAGGGCACGCAAACGATGCACCTGCGACAGCAGCACCTGCAGCACAATCGGCAGCTGTTCGGGCGGTGTGCGCGACTCCGACTCCGAGTCCAGCCACACCTGAAAGGCGGTCAACTGATGCTCAAAGAACGGCAGCTGGCGATACGGTGCGCTATGGTCCAGTATCTCTGGCAGCTGCTGCAGCGCCAGATCCACCACCAGATCCCAGGCCTTCCACATCGGATGGCGATAGCAGGGCGGCAGTGCTGGCAGCGAGACGGGCGTACAGTCGTGACTCCTTAGGATTCGCTCCGCAAGCAGAAAGTTCCGAAAGAGGCTGGCCACCAGCAGATCCTGGCGGAACAGACGCTGGAACAGCTCACGGGGCAGCGTATTCCAGGCTATCGTGTCCGTGATGGCCGTAAATATCCAGTTGAGTTCACCCATCATGGTGCGTCTGTCGTTGACTTTGCCTGCGAAAGCAGAGAGCACACAGAGTGTCAGTCTGGAGTCACGTGCGGGGTTGGATCAAAGACAATATAAGTATAAGATACATAACGCCAAATTTTTGCAGCCCGAATTTTGCATGCTGGCTCTAGAGCTGGCTCCAGGCTCTCTTGCAATTTTTTAGAGAGAGAGAGAGAGCGCTCTAGAGTCTAGAGCCAGCCGCTCTCTTGTATGCATACAGCAGGCACACGAAGTTGGTTCTTTGCCGATGCGAGATCCGAGCCGAGTCGTCGCGACGCCTGCATGTGTGCACATGCATACGTTTTTTACGCATCTTGTACTTATATTGTCTTTGGTTGGATCTTACCTGGTATCTTGTCAATCAGTTCGCTTTGGATGCGCGGCACCATGCCCAGCTTCTCCTGCATCGCATACCACTTGAGGGCAATGTTAATGGGCGTGGTCAGACAACTGGTGAAGAGATCGGCCGGCAGTTGGGCATTCATCGGCAGTATCTCGTTGGCGGCACACGCGGCCAAATGTATGCAGTTCTTGTAGCTGACCAGCTGCGTCGGCAGCTGTACATTGATGGAGCCAGAGGAGGCGGCAGCGGATCCAGAGCCGGGTATAGAGCCAGGCTGGAGATGGGCCATGCCACGCTGCTGGGCAATGGCCAGAGCCTTCTCCAGCTCGTGCTCATGCTGTTCGGCATACGGCTGGAACGAGTTGATGATGATGCCCGCATTGGAGCAGTCGTACACATAGATCGAGGGCGCCGACATCCATGTGATCAGCTCAAAGATGCTCAGGGGTATGTACTGGGTGAAGGTCTTGTTGAATACCCAAATCTCGCCATTGGCCGTCGGCTTGGGCACCCCATGGCCATTGTAGTGGAAGAGGATGCGCTCCCCCTTTGCATTGCGACGCAGCGAGGTGCAGAGCTTCTTCACATCATCGACGGTGGGGTCATGGCACTTCTTGTAGCGGGCGCGCGGCTGCCAGCGTTCGTATTGCATCTGTAGATTGCTGCCGATCAGCTCCATGGCCTTTGGCGGCGACACAGAGCTGGGATCGATCCAGCATTCGAGGCGGGAGCAGGGCTGGATCTTCACCACATCCGGCGGATCCACACCAATGTTCAGGCAGAGCACCAGCGCCACGCTGGCCGTCTTCATGCGCTCCCGTATACGCCATGCCTGACGCTCGTACTTCAGTCCCTCGATGAGCTCCAGATGCCGCTTGGCGTTGAATGAGAACGAGATGCGCGAGTCCTCGTGCTCGCTATGGCCAAAATGGAAGCTGCTGGGCACCACATCAAAGTGGAAGAGCTGGACGAGCAGCGAAGGTCCACCGGCAAACTGGCTGCGCTCACCATCGCGCTCGCCACGATCACGTTCCCATTCGCGCTCCCATTCCCGCTCCCACTCCCGTTCCCATTCGCGTTCATTTGGCGGCCGGTTCGAGGAGGCGATTGTCTTGTTATTGGGATTGGATGGCCCGTCCTGGCCAATCATCAGGCTGCCAATGTCGACGGCGCTCCCATTGCTGCTGCTGTTGTTGCTGTTGTTGCTATTGTTGCTGTTCGTGCGGTTATTGGCGAACAGAAGCGGTTCACCGCCACCATTACTGCCACCGCCACCGCCGCCGCCACCTCCGCTATTGTTGCTGCTTTCATCGACGCCCACGGCGGCGGCGGCGGCATCTGCGTTGGAGGAGGAGGCTGCACTGGGCATGGCGCTGTAACGCGACTCGAGCATGCTTCAATTTTGGATTCACACGCACACACGTACACACACACTCAATATCCGAGTCACACACGGTGTGTGTGGGGTGTTGTTGGGGCGTAGGGGGCTGTCGGACTGTGCTTGGGGAGGCCTTGGTCTAGGCACGGGACATCCCCGTGACGCGAGGGCGATTACGTCTCCGATTGCAGTTTCAGCGACAGAATCCGTTTTTCTCAGCGACAACTGCGATGACTGCTGCACATAACCAAACACTTTTCGCACTCTCGCACATAACACACACACACGCAGCTACATATATTATACACTCACACACACAAACACACGCACGCAGTCGACTCGACTGCCTTTTCGACGGCTACGGACAGACCAAGATTCGATTCGTCGTCGCCTCACGTTTTGACGTTTTACAATTCACCCGAAACCCGATGTGCAGTTCTAAAAAAATCTTTTGGTTCCGATGCCGCGCGTTGGCCTACAAATGGTTAACTCAATTGCTGCTCCAGTCAAAATACGCATTTACGGGACATACACGCATACAGGCGCACTTCATGTCACACTCTTTTCCTCTTCGCGTTTCGTTTCGTTGTGCAGCGTTGCCAGACTGACTCAGGAAAAATATCGCGCGCGCCCCATTTAAATTTAAATATAATTTTTAAAACTGTAATACTACTCACCCTAAGCACAGGATCCCGATACACAGGCCGGGGATAACGCATCGCGTGTACACGATGACGCCCAAACAGACCCGTTGCAAAGCTCTGGGCGCTCATGAGCGTCCTCTGGGTGGCCGTAAATTTCATGTAGTACCAGGCTGGGTCGTACATATCAGGCAATAGCGCGGGGAAGCGCAACTGCATTCGTTCGGCCAGCTCGATCAGTTCATCCTCGCCCTCGGCCACCAGCAGCTTCTCATCCTCGACGGCGTTCAGGTGCCCCCAGCTCCAGTTACGGAGCTGCTCCATTTCGGCCGGGCAGAGATTAGGATGTGGCTGGCTGAGCAGGCGCTGCTGCAACTCGACCAGACGCTGCTGGGCGCGCAAAATGACCTTCTTGCTGGGATTGCGGGTGCCATGGCGAATGACCGACCAGATTCGAGTGGGGTGGCAGCCTTGCTTGGCGAAACCGGTGGAGAGAAGAGATGGAATGGAATTCGTGAAATCAGCTGTTGGAGCGGCTCAATATAACAATACCCACCCGCATATTGCGGCGGCGTCTCGTCATAATTGGCTATGGCCCTATAGGGCGTCTTGGTGGACAAGTGCCGCTCTATGTCTTCCCGCTGAAGACTGCTGCAAGCCTGGGTATCGGGATCGGCTAATACTGCCCGCTCCTGTGGCAGTACCAGTACTAAAGTAGCCAGCAGAAGTGGCAGCAACAGAATTGGGAATGGTTTTAGCATTTTTCCGGATAGGCGGAAAAACTTGTCAGAAGTAAAACCAAAAAGTTGGTACAACAAAAACGAAACAAATCAAAACATTAAAAATGAGACTTGCACACGCACGCGAAGAAACACACGAATCGAGGGACACAGAGCAGACAAGCAGATGAACATGGGATTAAAAGGGAGGCTGCGTAAAGTAAACACGCAAAAGAGAATGGGCAAGTGCGTGAGAGTGGCAGCATTGCACAGAATGACCAAGGCTGCCAGGTACTCAGAAAAATACCAACAATTTCACGTTTTTGGTATCTAATTGTTGGATTATATTAATATTATTATTGTGTTTCAAACGTTTAATAAAACGAAATATTTATTAAAAACTCGCTTCCTAACCATTTTTGTAAAACGCCTATCGATATATTTAAGCCAAAAATGCTGTGTGTTCACATTCGCCAGCACTGGCCAATAGTGTGACCGTTTGGCGATAGAAAACACTGAAAAACGTTTATTTAAATTCGAATCGATACAACTTTGATGAGGGCTTTACACATATTCTACCACCGTCCTTATCGCGACTGATGCGCCACTGTAATATTTTGCTTAATTTTTGGTATCTTTCCCGCTCTTTGCACACTGCACGCCAACAAGTGGGGAGCTTTTATCAGAAAAAGCTCTTGCCTGTCGTCAATCTAGGTGGCTTAACGCCTGGTTGCCACTCCGTGCTCTGATAAAACGAAACAACTTCGCTCTTCGCTTTGTGTACCAACAGGAATTTGCTCAGTCGCGCAGCCCAATGAGCACTCAACGCGCATCCGAGAATAGTAGAGCATCGAGAGGAAATCAATTGCACACTCGCACCGGAAGCCACGTTTTTACGCTGTTTTCACCCCTCCCATTTCGGTTTCGATTCGGTTCGGTTCGAATTTTGTTTTGTTCATGTCCCGCCACAGTTTCGGTGGGCTCCTTTAGCGCATTTCTGGCTGCCATATGGAGCCGGTGTCGGCCAATGTCAACCGCAGCAGCAGCAGCAACAGCAACAGCAGCAGTAAAAACAGGAGCCGCATCACGCACGTGTCGATGACCAAAAGTTTTGCGCCAAAACTGAGGCTGAAGGTAACCGTAGCCGTAAACGTAATAAAGTCGCTTTCCTGGTGGGTGCTTCGTGGCTTGATTTGTTGCACAGCTACACGCAATGGTGCTTAGACGATGTTTATCTTATTTATTGGCCACGCAGAGCAGAGTTCGGAGCCTCGGGCTACGCGTGGCTCTCAAAGCACGCCACCTGTTGGGCGCCAAAACTGCAAAGCTTTAGGCGCGAATTTTGAATGATAAAATCCGGAACGGAACCCCTGCCCCGTTCCCTGAAAAGCAGTGGTTAAAAAGTGTAGCCATGTAAGGATCACTTTATGTTGGGATTTTTTGTGTGTGTTTTGGGTGGCGAAAAAGAAGCGCTGTTCGAGTGGGCAATCAATCAGCGAAATGAAATCAATGGCAACGTAATTTCAACCGATTACCCCTGCGGCATCGAGTAGCCCCCGATGAGTGTCAGCAAGCGAAACAAGTGTCAGAAGCAATAACAAAGGAAGCGGGGCTGGGGAAAGCCTAATCTCTGGCCACCAAGCTGGACAGGGGCCCCTAACTTATCGGCCAACACACACGGAGATCGGTAATTAATTTTTTGGTATTTGTCGGACCGAGAACATATTGACAATGAAACGATGATCACGCACTGATAGAGATAATGACCATGCCAATGGCCCAATGGGTTTAGCCCCAAACAGAACCCCCAAATTTAAATTGTCCCACAAACAGACAGGCATGGGAGTTGGAGCTGAAGCTGGAGCGGCATAGCGTCATGCTGGCTGCGATTAACGCGTTTTGTGTGTAGAACGTGCCAAATGAGCGCAACGAGGTCCAAAAACCTGTGGTTCGCGGCAGCAGCAGCAGCAGCGGCAGCGCACCTGTCCAGCCCCCATTCAGCCAGCAGCGAATCGACTCTGCCCCCTATCTCTGTGGAAGTGTGTGAGTGAGTAGTGGGTGTGTGGGCGTTACGGTGTCGTCGCCTGCACTTTCTTTGGCAGCAGCAGAGCCGCAACGCAATAGCAGCAGCAGCAGCAGAACAAGTTCAATCACTTGACAGACTGGCAGACAGAAAAGGGGCTAGACTGATTGATACCCTTTTGGATGATTAGGATTGGGAGTATCGGCAGAGAGAATGAATGAAGAAAGGTGCTTGCTAAACACTCTAATCGATATATGTACATATATATGTACATATGTACATGTGCTTTCCATCACATAAATATTTGGAAATTTTATTTTTAGTTCCACATTTTTTTAGAATTCATGGGAGTTCCAGAGAAAATTTATTTTTCACTTAAAAAAGCTTTATTTTTTCTTCCGCTGTTAAAACTGTAGCTCCCAACTTGAAAAATAACCTCCTCAATTAATTAAATAAAGCTCCTAAATAATAAATTTCGAGAAAACTGTAACTATATAAGAGTTATCCAACACTGCCGCGTAACGTCCAATTTCAAAGGAAGAGGTGCAAGGTGCCAGCTCCTGCCTGCCCCCCAACACACGACTCCGACCCCCTGCCCATGCCATGGAGTAAAGCAACTTAACAGCAATTTAATCCACACCTTTTTGGGTGTCAGTTCGGTTCAGTTCCATTCACCCGGTGTCGCCGCTGTTGTTGCTGTTACTGTTGCTGACGACGCGCTGCCGTTGACGCTGGCGCTGGTGCTTAAAAGCTAAGGACACGCGCTCAGAACGTTCAGTTCGCCTCGAGTTTTTGCCCCGCGCGGTTTGGCGCGAACAAAAACCACCAGTCACGCACCGCACACGGACACGCACACTGGCCACAGAGCCGCCACACGGAGCCTTAGACAGCGCTAAATATTAGTTAAAAAACAAAAATAAAAACGGAACCAAACCGAACGGAACGGAGCAGAAAACAGAGAAGGGAAGGCGAGTGAAAGCCATAAAGAAAGAACAGAAACAGCGACGGAACTGAACGGACGTACCCGGCAACGGCAACGGTAACGGTAACACGCAGCAGCAGCAGCAGCAAAACGTAACAACAATATCAAACAACGGTAAACGTAACCGTAAAGCCACAACGAAAATAAAAGTAATGAAAAATACAACAAAATCTAAAACTAAACAGAAAACCACCATGAACAAAACACAATGTGAAAAAAAAAACATAAACTATTTAAAGTTAGTTACGAACAAAGGAAATCCAATTTTTTGCTATACAATGTCGCATTTCATTTAGTTTTTTAGTTGGGTTTCGAGTTTTGTGATGTTCTTTGCGCTCTTCTCCACCGCACACTCTCCTCTCTTTTTGCTTTCTGCCGTTTCGTTTTCGTTGGCGCAGTAACGGCGATCGGCAGCAGCATCCAATCCACGATCGGTGGCAGCGGCAGCATTTCGCATTTCACGTGGCGCCCAAAATATTCATGACCATCACGAGATTGATTCGATTCGATTCGAGAATCGGATTGTGGGGGCTTCTTCCTCTGGGCCAGCAGCCCACCTGCTGCGCCAACTGCTCTGCTGCTGCGCTGCCTCCGGCTCAGGCCTCAGTCTCAGGCTGGGTTAACTAGTTTCGAGTTTTGGAAATTTCGCCGCGCATTAATCTTCGATTAAATTTATACAAAATCCAGCAAACTGTTTGGTTGTGTAGCCCCCAGCCCCCACAATCACCCCCTCTCTCTCGCTCGTTCATGTTCTGTCGCGCCGCCGGCTGCGTTTGCGCGGTAACGCTCGAAACACGTTGGCCCTGATCGTCACACTCACAAAAGCAGCAACAACAGCACAACAGCAGCAGGGGAGCCAGAGGCAACAAACGCCAGCGCAACGCTGTTGTATTGGCAAAGGAGGTGGCTGGCGCACGCAGTGCATTGTGTAGGTGGTAGAAGGAGCAGAAAAGGCAGTGACATAAAGCTGGAGCACAGGAAGTGCAATTCAGAAACAGTATGCAGTGCAGTAGAGTTAGCGCACGAATGCCAGTGTAGGAGGAAAGGAAAGGAGCACAAGCAAAGCAGTTTGGCCAGATAGGAGTCCAGAAAAATTAGTCGAGTTAAGGTAAAGCCTGCCAGTTAAATGGAATTGCAGTTGAGTAAGAGAGAATCGCTGTCAGTGCATTTGAATTAAACAGCAGCGTAGTTCCATAAGACTTGCTTTTATACGGAATAGAGAAGCCGGGAGACCGAGTGAATTAGAATAACAAAAGCAAGCAGTCTTTAGGCATGGCAGATGTTTTACAAGTGATGTGTATGCCCTAAGCAGTGATATTGAGTAAGGAAGGATGCTGGCAATTCAGAGTGCAAAGAGAAAGCAGTAATGTAAGAATCGCATTTAAAAGCAGTATTAGAGTTCTTCCACTCTTCTTCACCCCCTTGATGCTGTGCCTGCTAATATTATTGCGCAACACAGACATACTGTCTGTCATACAGTGGAAACTCAATATGTGACTGGTGATCGACTGTCCGTCCGATTGTATTAGTAGTTGGCGATCTGGTTTGGGCCGGTCCGGTCTGGACTTTGCCGGTGGCGGCGGTGGTGACTATCAGCTTACATTTAATGATGGTACAGTGGAACAAGCCTAGCCTCAACGTAACTGAGTCAAAATTCAATGCCAATAAAAGAGTTATGATGGTAATGGGGAAAGGTAAACGTTGCCTGCTGTAGCATGTCAGATCATCTGCTTAGGAATATCCAAGCAGTGCATCAATGTGGTGGTGAACTGCACTGTAACGCGTTTACGAATGGACATGTGTCCACCACGGATTTAATACCCATCATATCTCATAATTGGCCATCTCCTTCTCTCACACTATCTCTCTCTTTCACTTAGTGCCATCGACGCTGATGTCGCAGTCACAGCCAGCGTCGCTGCCGTTGTGAACCGTGCGTGGAGCTACCAAGTCAAAGCCAGCGGCCGACAGCTTTCCATCAACATAATCGGAGATTACTAACCGTGAGCCGTGAAACACCACAGGCACAAAGCCATAAATCAATAGGGCTCGTACGGTCCCGTCCCGTCGGTGTATCAGCCCCCAGCAGATAAGGAGCTGGAAGCGACGCCAGAGCCGGGCAGTATTTGGCAGTGTCGCCGCCGACCGATATGTTGGCCACGCCGAGCGGCGGCGCAGCGCCCGCTAATGTTCTCGCAACCGCTCCAGCCCCCGGTCCCGTATCCGTATCCGCCGTATCGGTGCCCCCAGCAGTCGCCGCATCCCTGGCCAGTCCGGAGAAGCCCCTGAACAATGGCTACCTGCAGGCGAATGCTATGGACGAGCTAAATGCCACCGTGGTGTCGCCTCTGCTCGGCCAGCAGCAGCAGCAGCAGCAGGCTCAGTTGCAGCCACAGTTACAACATCAGCAGCAACAGCAGAACAAGCTGCCAACGGTAGTTTTCCTCAGTCCGGATGGAAGCGGTGGCGTGGGCATTGGCAGCGCCCTGCAACGGAATCCCATCTCAGGTGCAAGCATACCCCCGGCCACCGCCTGGAGCCGCACCAGCGACTGGCTGCTGAAGGAATCACAGCAGCGACGCCGCCTCCTGATCCTGGCCATCGCCTTCACCGTTTTGGGAGCTGCCATCGGTGCGCTGGCTATCTACTTTGCCAGCGTCCATCAGCGCTGCCAGCTGTATCCCCGCTCCGTGGACGCCGCCGAGTCTGCAGCAGGTGAGTGCCAGTGTGTGTGTGTGTGTGTGTTGTGTGTTGTGTGTGTGTGTGTGTGTGTGTGTGTGTGTGTGAAGTTCATTCCCATTTCCCGTTAACACTGCCGTTCCCATTCCCATTCCCACTACCGTTGCATGCAGTGCTAACTGGGAACTGGGTCAGCAGCCAATCAACAGGCATCCTGTGCCCTGTCTTCCATCTTCCATCTCTAATCTGTCCCCTGCCCCGTCAAGGTCCATTTACTGTTGTGGTAAGTGAATTTGGCGCCTGCCCCTGCTCCCCCTCCAACCCGTCAAACCATCCCATTGCTCATCCATCCATAAACCGAGTAGAAATTTCAATTTTATTGGGCGGGGGAGGAGAATTGGACCAGCAACAGGCTGAAAGAAAGGCAACCCAGCTTCGAAGTCAATGCTATTGATACCCTTCCAAATGCCTCGTTTCGATGAGAGATGGATAAAGAACTGAATGTTCTCGTAATTTGATGAATTTCCTATGGCTAGCGATCCGATGCGATGGCCATGGTGATCCGGTCCGATCTTGTGCAGTACAAATAAGTATCTGTGCGCCTTTTACTCTGTGTGTTGTGTGTGTTGCAAGCCTCTAATGAATATTAATACTACCCCCGGAAAGGGTATGTGTATAACAAGATTTTTGTAATCTCCGTCCTAACAGAAGGCCCTCTCTTGTCACTAAATGCTGTTGCTGTCCGCTCTCTCTCTGCTCTCTCCCGTTGTCTATCCATCCCATTCGCTCTGTTGGAGCGCCGCACCAGCAAGAGAAAAGGGCACGAAGCACTGCTTGCCTTGGTGCCATTTTGTGGTCCGTTATTTGCTCTCGCTCTCACTCCCACTCTCTATCTCTCGCTAACAGTGGGATCGAGCAGCGCCCTCTGGTAAGCCCTATGTTTCGCATGGTTTACCAGCCCCGTGGACCACTGTGCGGACGATGCTCTTTTCAGGCGTGGCCTGTTGTGGTCTGTGCGTGAAGTGCGATGGAGTGAGAGGCCGAGGCAGGAACAGTCAAGCAGTCGTGTTCTACATACATTCACCATTCACATAAGACATTCACAAAATACTTACGTGTAATGCGAATTCAAAGCCACTGAAATATTCAGGAGGCTCTGCTCTGTCAGCGGATAAGGAACGGTAAATGCACAGGGATGTGTTTTGAGGCGGGGTCCTAGAACATTGGTTTTCATTTTACTAAATGAGATAAAAAGCGAACACACACACACAGAGAAAAGCAATCATTCGGCACTTGCCCTTGGCCCTGGCCAGAGGATGTACTATGAATTTTTGAACGGTCGCTCCAATCGATCTCGTCCCGTTGCTGCTTCTCTTCTCTTCTCTTCACTGCTACTGCTTCTTCTTTGTGTCTCTCCTTCGTTTTAACCGTTAGCTTAATTGAATGTGCACACATTCACTCCCAACGGCATTTTTAATGCGTGCGCGTGTTACCGTTATAAAAACGTGTTTTTTTGTAATATTTTGCGCCAAAAATTCATTCATCGATAGCGCGCGTTCCCGTTACCGGATGCCACAGGTTGTGGGAAGGATGGGAAGGTATGAGTGGTATGAGGGTTTACCATCAAAGCCTATTTCTAACGATTCTCCGCATATGATGCGTCGCCGCCGTTTATACCGTTATAGCCCACGTAAAAATATCTCTCCTCTCTCGGTCTCTCTCTATAAATATCGAACATCATCATCATCAGCAGCATCGCCGTAGCATCATCCCCCATCTTTCGGTAGGCCCCCTGGCCTTGACTATGATACACCCCCGAATACTCTCTCCCACCCCATTTCCCACTCCTGTCTGCTCCATTGATTCACCCCGTAATTTCTTCGGAAATTTTCAAGTGGACTCTGAATTTAATAGGTGGAAGGAAAGAGGAAACGTTTTGAAAAATAAAATTGCTTTAATGTTTATAGAATATGAAAACGGCGGAAAAAAGGGACACTCACTCGATTGATGATTACATACTTACTTATATGTACATTATGTACATACATATGTGCGTAGATGGGTCATATTCCAGTCAGATCTTATAATAGCTTCCAGACCGACAATCTATCATAATAGATTAAATTTGTATTTGATCGATTATGATCTTAATTTTCAAATCCTTTTCGATGCAACTTAACAGATAAAATAACTTGACCAAATCTTTGCGCAAGACGCTACCCCAAGGGTACTGCGTTCTGTCTAGTCTTATAACTATTTTATTTTGGTTATAGCTTAAAGGGTCTCAGGTTCCATTTCGGTTTCAGTGGGACATTCACCTCGAACTGTGGGTCTCAAACGTGCCACATGCCATTTAAATCTATTAACGCCATGGCAAATGTTATTAGCTGTCCATTCGGTCGGGGGAATCGTTTTAATTAATAACTAATGCCGCCATCCAGATACCACCACCACAACCAATACCACCCTCTATGCTGTTTGCCTAGATGTCACTTTTTATTGACAGCCTCGACAAGGACATCAGCATGCAACATGTGTCCAAGTTGGAATCGATGTGAGTGGTATTTGAGAGTGGGGTGGGTGATGGTTGGTGCTGGTTGGTAGAACAACATTTCGTTATTTTAATTTAATAAAGCCCGCGACTTGACGGACGACAAGGAGAAGGAGCTGCCACTGTAGCAAAGATTGTGCTCTGCCTGTCTTGTGGTCGCTTATTATATTTTTTTCTTTCGTATTTCTCATAATGAAAAATTCAAATTCAATTTACTTGAGTGGTTTTCGAATCGCACTCCCCGGACTCTGTTTTTTAGTACTACACGTACTCGTATACCTTTTCGAATGCTACAAGAAATCTTTTCTCTCTGTAATTGCAGGCAATGCCAGATGGGGCCTGGGCAAGGCCCACGAGGAGCAGGACAACATTTGCATGACTCAGGAATGCGTGCGAACAGGTATGCTACGCGGGTATTATTGGACATGCTTCGAGTAACCTCTTAAAAGGGGGTACACCTGCAGCATTGTCTGAGGGATCCAGTGGGAAGTGGGAGAATGTCAGTCCAAGTGCATGCCAAAGGACACGGAGGGTCACGAGGCACAGGATTGATTGGACTGATTGGAGGAAGGACAGTGAAAAGGGTGCCAGGGATTTGCACGAAATGTTTGCAATTTATTTATACATCAATTATTTATTTGCCATTAAGATAGTTTAGTCCTTTCCCCAAGCATTGATTATAGCCGAACGAACGAAACCCTTTGCCGATGTGAAGTTGGTCATCTGCTAGGCGGTTGGTGGAGCGGGCAGGGGCGGGGGCCTATTAGTGTTCAATTTATATTCAAACAACTCCAACTTCTGCGGTTTTAAGTATCGAAATTCAATGTAGCAAAAAGCTACTGCCATATTTATTGCCTATATCCATTCCAAGACAATTACCAAAGGGTGCAATCAGCAGAGCATAACGGAATGGTAACGGTACTTGTACCCCTATCCGTAGCCGTACCTTTACCAGTGCGGTATCCAATTAGCGTTGCGGTTTCTGGGCCTTTTTTGTCATCATTGACGGTTCCACCTGTGTTTGCCTACTTTTTGGGGCAGACAAAGGAAGTACAGTGATTGGGGGACAGATAGGATGGGCCAAATCCACCAGTTGGGATTTACCATATTCTAAGTGGAAACCTTTGCCCAACATGCCCCAGAGAATGCAAAAACCAAATGCATGTCGTGTGTGCAATTCTTCAATCCTTTCGGTTAAATTTTAAGAAGAATTTCTAACAAAATCGGGCTTTCCCTCTCTTCTTTTCAAGTGCAAGAATAATAAGGCCCCAAGCCGTTGATTTGCGGATGGGTCTGGTCCTCCCTTAATCCCACTCACAAACCACAGGGCAAGTCCCACTCTCAGTTTCAATCGCAACTATTGTCAGACCGAGAAACTTTACCGTCTACGCGGGAAACTTTAGACCACAGCCGCCGCAATGCAATTTGGGGGGCCATCGAATAGAAAGGAAAAAGGTGTAGGGTTGTGGGTGTGGGTGTGTATGGGTGTGGGCTTATCGCTTATCATAAAACTTTTTGGCCAATGATTTGTTGTGCAAGTTTTCCGCCAAACACGGTTTGCTATCAGCACAGGCGACAGGTGAATGAGATCAAGGTGAATTATGGCCCGAATGGGTGAGAGCGCAGGGTGGCAGGGAAACCCGCAATTAAATGCCACAGCTGAACTCTTTCCCAAGATACGATGTGGTGTCTGACACGTGTGATTTACCACCATCCAATAGCGGCTTCCCTGCTCTCGGCCATGGACATGACGGCCGATCCCTGCGAGGACTTTTTCCAGTATGCATGCGGCACCTGGAACAAGGTACATCCCATACCCGAAGATCGTAGCTCCATCAGCACATTTGAGGTGAGTGATGAGAGGGAACCAAACTGGGATCGGGAGTGTAGTATCTGTTACGTGTGTCGATCCTCAACAGGTACTCTCCGACCAGCAGCAGGTGATCCTGCGGGGTGTGCTCGAGGAGCCAATCGACGAGCGCGATAACCAGGCCACCATCAAGGCCAAGACCTTCTTTAAGAGCTGCATGGACATTCGTGAGTGGCCAAAAGGGAGAGGCTGTTACCAAATAAATATATACAAATATTTTTCCCCCCACAGCTCAGATAAGAAAGATCGGCTCGGGGCGGCTCAAGCAGGTGCTGAAGGCTCTCGGCGGATGGCCGGTGATCGAGCGTAATTGGCAGCCACCGGCCGATCTTTCGGTGGAGAAACTGATGGGCCATCTGCGGCTGAACTACAGCGAACCGGTGCTGATTGAGCTGTATGTGGGGGCGGATGACAAGAACAGTTCGGTGAACATTCTGCAGATGGATCAGCTGCAGTATGCTCTGCCCTCGCGGGACTACTACCTGAAGGAGAGCAGCGCCAATGACCGGAAGGCCTATCATCGCTACATGACGCAGGTGTCGGTGCTGCTGGGTGCCAATCCGGCCACAGCCGCTGCCGAACTGGAACAGGTGGTGCTGTTCGAGACGCAGCTGGTGAATGTCTCGCTGGCCGAGGCGGATCGGCATGACACGAGCGCCGTATACCGGAAGATGACGCTGCCGGAGCTGCAGCAACTGGTGCCGGAGGTCAAGTGGGAGGAGTACCTCCAGACGGCCCTGGGGCCGGGCATTCCCCTGCAGGCGGACGAGCCGCTGGTCACCTACGGCCTGCGCTATCTCACCGATATGGGCAAGATATTGCGGCGCACCGACCGCCGCGTTGTCCACAACTATATGCTGTGGCGCCTGGTCATGTCGCTGATGACCCACATGATCGACGAGTATCAGCGGGAGCGGGTGGAGTTCCGCAAGATCCTCATGGGCATTCAGTCGGAGCGGACGCGCTGGTCTCAATGCGTCGAGTGGACCAACAAGAAGCTTGGCGTGGCCGTCGGTGCCCTCTTCATACGCGACAACTTTAACCAGGAGAGCAAGGAGGTGGCCCTCGAGATGATACACACCATCCGGGTGGCATTCAACGAGCTGCTGGCCGAGAACGACTGGATGGACGACGAGACGCGTGCGGTGGCCAAGGAGAAGGCTGACTCTATGAACGAGAGGATTGGCTATCCCGAGGTCCTCACCAATGCCACCGAACTGGAGCAGGAGTATGTGAATGTGAGTGTTGAAGCCGAGCCAGAAAGGAACCCATATAACAGATCCTTATATCCCCTTGCTTCTCCCCCTCCAGCTGACTGTTGTGCCGGACAATTTCATTGACAACGTGCTGAGCATCTTGCAGTGGGAGTCGGAGAAGGTGCTGCATCTGCTGCGCCAACCGGTGGACAAAGAGAAGTGGACCACAGAGCCGGCGGTAGTGAATGCTTTCTACAATCCCAACAAGAACGATATAGGTGGGTGCTGTGCTGCTGTTTCCCTCTCCGATTCGCCACTATATTTATTTCCCTTCCTCAGTATTTCCGGCGGGCATTCTGCAGCCTTTGTTCTACAGTCAGCACTTCCCCAAGTCGCTCAACTATGGTGGCATTGGCGTGGTGATTGGGCACGAGATCACCCACGGATTCGATGACAAGGGGCGGCAGTTCGACAAGGAGGGCAACATGATGCAGTGGTGGAACAATGCCACCATCGAGGCATTCCGCGAGCGCACCCAGTGCGTCATCGATCAATATTCGCGCTACAAGATCAACGAGGTGGACATGTTCATGGACGGTCGGATGACGCAGGGCGAGAACATTGCCGACAACGGCGGCCTCAAGCAGGCCTTCAGGGTAGGTCCTCCTCTCCTCTCTCTCTCTATCTCTCCCCCGATCTGATCTGATCTTGCTTTTTCCGCTTTTCAGGCCTACAAGAAATGGGAGAAGCTGCATGGTCGCGAGCTGCAGCTGCCCGGCCTCAATATGACCCACGATCAGCTTTTCTTTCTCAACTATGCCCAGATATGGTGCGGCTCGATGCGGCCGGAGGATGCACTGACCAAGATCCGCTCCTCCGTCCATTCGCCGGGCTTTGTTCGTGTCCTGGGGCCGCTCTCGAATTCGCGCGACTTTGCACACGCCTACAGCTGCCCCTTGGGTTGCAACATGAATCCCGAGGAGAAGTGCAGCGTCTGGTAGATACACACACACAGAAGGGAACGTTGATGTTTTTTTTTTATATATTTATATCTCATACTAAATATAGTACGAGTAGATACCATATACAATTAATACAGTACGCTAGACGACGGAACACCACGGAGGATGGACCACATCTGATTCGTATCTCTATTGTGTTTTTATTTATATATATTTTTTTTTATCTCGATCTGTGCTCTTTTTGCTGTATTTTTTGTTGTTGTTGTTATAGCAGTTATTATGTAATGTAATGTAATGTAATGCGTAGTAACGATGATCCATGTATACCCTGCACATACATATGTATATGCACAGAGCCCACAAGCCGCACTTCCCACAACACACATCAAGCCCGACAACCACGCCCACACCCACACACCCACACCCACACCCACCCGAAGAGCGTCCGAAGAAAACGGATTATATTATATTCGTGAATAAAGAAAACAAAAAAAAAAGTACGGTAATCGCAAAATCATAACCCAAGGGATGGATTTCTGAACATACGACTCGACAGGATCCATTAACTCCTTTGCTTAGAGGACCTTATCTTCCTATACTTCCTTCGATAATTATTCTGGCACAACCAAAACTAGCCGATGCCCAAGAATGCAAAAAACAAAACAAAATAAATGTTGTGTGCATGACTGCCTGATTAAGGGTTGTATTTTTGTTGAGCGTCGATTAATTACTCGCTTGTCAAGTCCATCGAAGGGTCTTGGCTTTATTTGAACTTCAGTACTGCCTATCATTGGTATATAATTCCACGAAACGTTATTCTGATGCGTAGCACCCGCCGTATTTTTCCATGACATGGGCCATGACTTGCTGAATGAATGGAATAATTTAGCATTCAATAGCAGGCCTACGAGTATGGAAACGATACTCGTATATGACTAATGTTAGGGGGCGCTTTTCGATATGTTTGAGCAGTTTATTCTGACAGCAATATCCATTTATCTATTCGTCACAGACTTACGGTACTAGGCATACATACATATCTGTCATATTGATAATTTATGATGGATGTATGTACTATGTAAACAACATTTATTTACTTCTTACTTCGAACTAGTTCTATACTTGGTATGTATGTTGTGTATAGGATGTGTATAATTTCATTCTAAAGCTATATACATATACAAACACATATATTGTGTGTGTCCCAGGCTAAACCCGAGGCTGAGAACCAAACTTATCATTGTCCGTCCGGATTGTATATATCATCGTATTATTATAGTATATATAGTATCTATGTATGATGCTCCGTACCTATATACATATAGTAGGTATGTATATATAAAAAAAAGCCGCCTAGCAAAACAAAGTTCATATAAAACGATACACCAAATACACATAAATATACACATACATATATATAGATTGTATCTACTAAAACAGTTAACATCAAGAAGGAGATGGAAGAGGTTGCTCCTGATGCACCCTCCTCCTGGTAGCACTAGAGTTTCATAGGTTTCAACTGGAAGCTACATCAATACTGTCCTATAACTACACACACATATATTCCACTGGTATATTCCAATATCTTCTGCCTGGATTTTGGATATTTGGAATTATCACACATGCTTATTCTCTAACTGTATAGCGATGCTTTCTTTAGGTACATGGCGCTCACCCTGGCGCCTCAGTTCCCGCTAGGTGCGCAATGATGCCCTCGAGCCCGTGCCTCTGCGACGACCAGCACGCGACCAGCTTTGCTCGTCGGCATTGGCAAAGATTAGATAGATAAAGTTTCCGCCAATATTGAGAGCTGCGGCCAGCCAGAAGACAATGTGCCATTGGGAGAGGGTCTCGCGGTGATTGATGATCAGCCCGATTACATAGGGAGCCAAGAAGCCGCAGATGTTGGCCGCCGAATTGGTGATGCCGTACATGGTGCCCGCGTAGCGTGGACTCAGTGCAATGTGGTTCATCTGATTGCCGGCGTAGACGGCGCCGCCGAAGGAGCCGACGCCCGCCAGCATGAAGGTGACCCATACCCAGTCGCAGCCCACGTAAATGATGCCGATCAGGCCCAGTGAGGGCACGACGGAGGCCACCGTGTTCCACAGCTTGTAGGAGTTGATCAGCGAAATGTAGCGCCTGGCCAGCATCCAGTCGGCCAGGGCGGAGCAGGCGATGCCCACAAACCATGCCGTGAGGTAGGGCACAGCGTTCAGCAGGGCATTCGACTGGATGTCGAAGTGCAGGATGTTGCTCATGTAGGTGGGCAGCTCCGTCAGCTGCGTGTAGAAGGCCCAGGCCTGGCCGCACTGCGTCAGCAAGATGGCCCACAGCGGCACCGAGGTGAGCAGAGAGCGCCAGGGTATGCTGTCATCCTCTCCATGTCGCAGTCGAACGCCTTCCCCATCCTCTTCGCCGCCGCCCTCCTCCTCCCCATCCTCCTCATCATGCTGGCTGATCAGAGACTGAGTGCGAAGGCTCCTCTCGATGTATTCCCGCTCCTTGAGGGAGATGCGCGGATGTAGGCTGGGCCTGTCGTACACCAGATACATCCAGCAGCCGAACCACAGGATGCCCAGAAGCCCAAAGATGTAGAAGGCCGAGGGCCAGCCGCCTAGGAAGTCTAGCGAGCAGAGCCATCCGGCCAGGGGCATGGAGATCACGGTGCCGATGTTGGAGCCAGCATAGACAATTGCCGCGAATTTGTTGCGCTCCAACGGCGGTATCCAGTGGGCCAGCATCGCGTGCATGGCCGGATATGTGACGCCCTCGCCCATGCCCTCAAGTATGCGCACCAGGATAAGCAGCGGCAGGTCCCAGCGCGCCGCCAGCGGCGTGAGGAGCGTGAAGATGGCCGTGACCAGCACGCCGTATCCGTATATCAGTTTTCCGCCAATTAGCTCGGCCATGCGTCCGCCGGGAACTTGGGTGAGCACGTAGCCGTAGAAGAAGCTGCCCAGCACCAGGCCCTGGGTGGCCTCGTCCCAGACGAACTCGCCCTCGGGCATCCGGTGGCCGCTGTCGTTGCGCCCCGGCTCCGGCATGGGGCACGTGTCATCGTCCACCACAGAGCCGTTACTGTGAGGAATGGCCGTCTGGTTGACCATGGCCACAATGGCCACCGACAGGTTCACCCGCATGGCATAGACCACGGCGAAGCCCAGGAATCCCATCAGGCCGAAAATGTTGCGTGTCTTAAGGCCGCAGCCGTCGCTGCCCTCGGCTGTACAGCGAATGGTTGGTGAGGGGAATGGGGTGGGAACATTGGTTAGAGCATTTTATCTAGTACCAGGCCTTATCTACTTACCCCCCGCTGCGGCCGCACCACCAACGCCACCGCCACCGCCGACGCCCCTAATGAGCGGCCTGTCGCCCGCGCAGAACGCCTCCTGCTCGTCATCCGCATCATCATCGTCGTCATCGTCGTCGAGGGAAGAGGAGGAGTGGTGCCGCCTATTGGCAGCATCATCCGCGTCCCCGTAGTAGCAAGAAGCGTCCCGCGTCTCGTCCGTCCACTTGTGCGGTGGCATCGTCGTGGCAAATTGTTGTCTTCGATGTTTCTGTTTCTCTCCGGGCTGCTGCTGCTGCTGATGCTACTACTGCTTACTGCTTACCCTTCTGCTGCTGTTTTTGCTGTCCCGTTGGTGACTGATGTTTCGGCTGCTCAGTTTTGACGCTTGTGCAATTGCCAGCTCATTTTCTCTTTCTTATTGTTTTATTTTTGCGGAAGAACGCGAATTGAATTAGAGGCGGAGCGGTGTGGACTGGAGTGGAGGCCAACAGCACTGCGAGCAGACAGAGACCTTCGTCAACAGCTGGAGCGGCAGCAACAGCAAAAGCAAAACCCAAACAAAAAGTGGCCACAAATGGTCGAGCGAGCAATCGAAGCAGTCTCATCAAACCCATGAAGCAGTCGCTCGCCTCGCTCTCTCTTCTAATGCCACTCTCTCTCTAACTCGCTCCGACGCTCTCTCCTTCGCTTCGCTTCGCTCTGCTCTTTGAGAGCGTACGGTACGTACTCCGCGGGCAGTGTGTGAAAGTAGAGCAGCAGCAACAGCACTACGTCACCCAGAGTTGGTGTAAGAAAGGGCAAGAAAGAGAGAGGTTGCAAACGGCGCACTTTAAATTGTGTTGTAAAGTACAATATCTTTGTTTAGTTACAGTTTATGTACTTCCCCTCTCACTCACTGGCTCACGCGCGCGCACCCACACACACACAATTGCAATGGTGTGATGATATTGTGTATTTACTTGCACTGGAATATACAATAAACCGATTTGAAATATTTAAATAAAGATAGCCGAAACAAAGGGGAAATTTTCGAGCAAATCAAACAGAGAGAATAACCCTCTGCCCTGCCTTAACGACAACCGAAACAGGGGTGAGAAACGATTATGATTTAGTGGTACATACATAAACATGTACAGATACAATGCACATACTTATGTACAGCTGTACATTCACTGCGTTTCCTTGATTTAGACAGATACTACGCATGCCCAGGGAATGGCCTGTTGCATGCCTCTTCCATGTGAGGTATCCCTGACCTGACATACGATTCTTTCCACAGATGGCAAAGGTTCGGTTCGGCTCGGTTGGGTCATGCAACGCGTGTATTGAACAATTATAAGTACAAAAAACAGTTACAAAAGGGGTAAATATGTATGGCATGATTGATCAAGCACCTTGTTGAATAGGAATCCCAGTCCAATTCCAACTCCAGATCAAAATTAGTTGGCGAACATGGTTCCCACCGGGAAGACGACGATCCGGCGCTTAAAGTTCACTGTCAGCGTCTCGTAGTGATAGCCCTTGAACAGGCAAACATCGTTTTGATTGGCCTCGAACGCCGATCGGATGGGACTTAGGTCCGGGTTGAAGCAGTTGATCGTGAAGGTGTCGACGGCCAGGTGGCCGAGCACTTCGTATGCACAGGCCAGCTTCTCGTTCCAGATGCTGACCCTGGCGTAGGGCACCGACTCCTTCAAATTCACCAGCGTGGCCTCGCGCGCAGTGCGGAAGGTTTGCAGGGTAATGGCGCCAGTGGGGCCCGGCTGCCCCAGATAGCTGCTTACAAAGTCAGACACCAGCAGGGGCGATGCATCGGCTGGGACATCTCCCTCAGCTTTGATCACATTGGCCTTGAGCAGCTCGATCTGGGCCAGGGTGCGCACGTAGCTGGGATGTCCGGCCACCTGTGGCTCCAGTCGCTTGAGGTTCTGGGCCACCAGGCCCACAAACTGATCCCGAACGCTTTCCTGCAGCAGCACCGTGGCCACGGCTCCCTCCGCGAACGGGTTTTGCAGCGAGTCGAGCAGGTGCTGCCGGGCCGAGTGCAGATCGCCGTCCTCGAACACGATCATCAGCTGGGGGGACCGCCACGCAGAAGCCACGCTTCCCGAAATCTTCAATTTAAAAGGTTGAGTGTCAAGGTTATGTCCGGTTTATGGAAGTAGGGGCGTGGGTCCAAATTACCTTCGCCTCGGACGCCGGCGTCTGCTGCAGCTTGTTGACCATGTCGCTGGTGATCGCTGGCTGGAGTGGGCTGAGTACTTTTTTCACCGGCACGGACTTGTTGGCCATTCCTTGCTCTGTTCACCGATTTTCACAAAGAAATTGAAACCGTATCAAGGCGTCGTCTGATCGCGTTATCAGCAGCTCGCACACGCATACACGCATACACGCACACACGCAGAGAACATAAACACATGCACGCACTCAGCTGGAGAGCTTCGCCCCACGCGTAGGGCGGTGCGGTGAATACCCCCAACGTTGGCAACATGATACAAATTGATCGAAACACACAAATTAAAGCAGTTTGCTATTTTGAAGACAAAACAAACATTTGAATATCCTACAGAACATTCTGCAAACGTTTTGCAGCACTTTTCCATGTCTGCCAGTGAGCAGCAGGTGTCGTCGCACACTCTATTTCTTGTGAATAACTTTATTTAATGTCAAATAAAGTGCATCTGCATATTAAACATTAAACAATATGCATCTCTAGGAAAGGGCCCAGCTCTACTACAAATGTCTTTTACACATATTTAAAAACCGCGCAAAAATCTACTGAAAAATACCAAGCGCATCACCACGCCGGCGTTTGGCAACACTTTACTTGAGAAATTTAAAAATCCCACCAGAGAAAACAGATACCAACAGCATTGCGCAGCACTGGGCAGAATTACGCCACCAACGTCGGCGCTAGTGTCGCTGTCGACGCAGGTTGCCTGACTCATGGTATAACTATAGAAGGTGTCTCTCTATGATGAGTTACCAAATTCGAGAACGAAAATAGATGAGAGATTTTTTTCTTCTCTAAACAGGTTCTAATTTGAAACTAGAAAACTTGTTTTTTCCTTACGTTTAAAAAATGAGGCGTTCCCTGCGTTGTCCCTACCTAATATCGTTATACCATGGGGGGGAAAAACGTAGGCCGCTGCTGGGGACCGTTCGGGCGTCTGGCTCTGCCCCATGCACAGTCCAAGTTAGATTTAAATTGAAACCGTTCGTGCTCTGTTCGTCGCCTCCCGCTTTTCGCTGCAGAATATACTTATAACACCGAATTTTTTTTATAACCATAAATCCACCTACATTTCTGTGTACCTATCTGTGTGTGCGTAGGCGTTACGGTTGTCCGTGTGATATTGGTACTGTTACCTGCCCCCGCAATCAAAGTAGTTCCCACCTGCCCCCGTGGAAGCTAGGAAGACCAACAAGTGCTCACACTCACACAAGTGCATCAGTGTGCCAGTTGCATTGCCCGGAGAGTGCGTTCAACCAATTGAAAGTGATTGAAAGCGACAAGTGAAAATAGATCTGACAAAAGCGGCAGCATCAGCAGCAGCGGTAGTGACAGCGACAGCGACGGGGAGACAAAGTAGAACAGTTTTAGCAATTTTTTTGCACAAAAATAACAAACAGCTGTTCGCGCGAGTGCGAGAAAGCATCAGAGTGTGTGTGTGCGTGCGTGTTGTTGTTGTTTAGAAGCGTAACAGGTCCGCCTGCGTGGGAGAGCCAAATAAGAGCGAGAGAGAAGAGTCGACTGGTGTGCACAGCTGCATCTCTGTCCACAGCATCAGAATGACCGACCTAAACGAATTGCTGGGATCGCCATTTGTGCGCGTCAAGGTAAGGCAGTACTCCGCCAAGCCACGCCACGCCACCCCCCACAAAGCCAGTCAACCACACTTGTTGGGCTGCCCTGCACTGCTTTGGAGACCGTCTTGGCTGGACCCCGCCCCACTTGCAACGGCTGATTAGCACCGTCCAGCGTGAACAATCCAACCGCAGGCCAGGCGCAGGCAGCCTGACGCATACAATATCTTCGACAGCGACTCGAGTGTCTTGCGTCTCAATTTGCAACTATCCAGAAGCTTGGGCAATGCCGCTGCCGCGACTTCGTGGGGCTTCAATTGACACTCCACGCGTCTGGGGGCTTGATCCGCTTACACTAACTCTATTTGTCCCTCTGTCTCTTCCCCTTGCAGTTGGTGGCGTTTGTGCATTTCTTCTTCATATCGAATGCCATGCTGGGCAGCTGGGGGCATGGGGCCTATGAGTTCTACAATTTTCTGTTCATCATTTCCATGTTCTGGTCGATCCACAGCAAGGACTCAATTGAAGCAGTGCAAACGGTAAGTGAAACGGTAATACAACGGTTTGCTGTTAAGAGTCCTAAGAGGAACGGATCGGATAAGGAGTCAAAGTTTTAAGCGTAAAATTGTGAATGAATCCAATTAAACAGTTGAGAACCTGCCATTGCCCTCGAAAGATTACTCCATTCGGTGACACATTCACTCACTCATACAGTGAGTGTAGCAGCTGATAAGAACTAACACGCCTAAGTGAATGCTCCGCATCATCCCACAATTAAAATAATATGTTGAATTTCTCTCACGGCTTTACGATTCACATTTTAATCTAAATCAAATTCCGCACGAGTCACATTGATATCGCCACCAAATTGCCAAACCGGTTCGACGAAACTCTGCCAATTCTCAAATTAACATACAAATAGTATAAATAATAAAAATACCGAATGTTCTCATTGGATAAATAGTTTGAGAGCATCTTAGCAGAAGCAGAGACTGAGACTGCAGCCAGCAGATGTTTTACGATGCTCGAGGGGGGAGGCAGTCAGTGCAACCAAAGCAGTGAAAAATACTGCTTCAATAACAGAGACTCAAGAAAATTGTAAAAGGGTAAACGATTAATCACGGAATTATACAGAGAATAAAAACTGAGTCCAAACCAGAGCTGAAAACCGATAGTGAAACAGTGACTGAGGCAAATTCGAAGAGTTCCAAAGCAGACGCAGATACTGAAGCAGAATTGCACAGCAACTGAGGCTGCCTCAGAGGCGCCCCATAATGAGAGGTAGATACCACTTCATGCAGACTCCAGCCCGCATCATTCCCTGTTTACATACACCCTGACATTTCCCTGATAAGATAGCGCGAATGGGGTTATCCGTTTATTTTTGAAGCTTGCTCTTAATGAGATATACAAGTGGGATTTTGTTAGCGAGAGATCGAGACGACTCTTTCCCTCCCTCTATCTCGACGCCTAAAAGAGAAAACGAGCAAAGCTGCTCAAAGCAAAGAGTGTTCCCTGTTTTGGGCTACGTCCAATCAATTTGTTCGCTTATGGTTTAGCAGGCAGCCCATGCCATGCCAAACCCCATACCCCATAGCCCCAAAACCAACAAAAAACAAATAAAACATAAACCGATGGTATACGTGGTGGTATGCAAATGGAAGCGGATTTGTGTCGTATATATGTGCATGTGTGCGTGTGTGTACCGTTATTAATAGATGGGTTAGCGGCAAGAAAAGGCAGTACTAGCCAGAAACTAGCCAGAAAATGGTTTGGCACTCTGAACTTTGCCCTTAGGCCAAAGGAAAACGTAACCAGCTAACGCTAACTGACCAGCCACTCCATATATCCCCCCCAAACCTTATTTACACCCTCCAAATAACCCCGCCCCCCATTTACACGTTTTAGAGTCGCAGCACGCGACATGCCATTTCGGGTCGGAGGCTACCAAAAACAATATATATGTATATAGTATCAGAAATTACAATTTCATTTCGAGGCTTCGGTCGGTCAGTCACACGAACTCAGATTCAGCCAACATCACCAACAGCGCTCCCCTCCCCTGTAGCTGGTGGTAGGTCACATACCAATACCATGGCTTTTGTTTCGTTCCTTGAAAGCCATTAGCAACGCCTTTTAATCAACTTAACTATGCAAAAGCCCAACGAGTCACATCCGAAGCAAATATCCTTTCGTTTCTTTTTCTAAGAAACAAAAACTGTACAGAAAAATCAATTCACATCATTTATTTAATTCGATATATGGAAATTGGGGTAACTCGGAAAGGGCTTTGACCACTGCCACATAACGTAGATATAGACATAGATATGTACATATGTACAAATGCTATGGGACCGATGCCAATTGATTGACAAATAAAAAGTTGCAACGATAAATGATATATCGTGCAATGTGAATGATTGCAGATTGTTCAATTAAGTTAGTTCTGTTGCGAAAAATATATATCAAGATGATATTCCATCAAGATGAATGCACGACTGAAGATCATGCAATAATTTTGATGCAAAATCATTTACCAAATGCATTCAAATGGGAAGAGTAGGGAAAGTTTCTTGGGTAGAATAAAGTCTATACTGATTTTATAGCTCTCTCTCTCTCCTTCTCTCTCGCTAGCTCAATCCTATGAGTTATGCAATCAAGTAGTTACCAAATAAAGTCAGAATTACACATGGCTAAGGGTCAGGGGTTAACTAGCTCGCGTCATTCGATGAAAGGGCATTTTACAATTAAGCCCACAAAATAATAATCTCCTAGCTTTTCGAATAACAATTACTGCTTGATACTCGATCAGAGATCAATCTATAATGCTGGTGAACGCAGCCAATATTTTTCAGACATGTACATATATAGAGCCAGAGCCCAGGTATCGTTGGAAACACACACATTCGACCTAAAATTGTACAATTTATCCTGTAGTTTTTCAAACATTTAATACATAATTATAAATAATGAAATAAATAGGGTTCTTCTGATTTGTATCCATATCAAAATGTAATGCAACTCCCTCGCTATCTGGAAAAGTGGCATAAGTTTTACACACAAAAGTAGACTATGCTAATTCCGCTAAATAAGTATATTACATACATATTTACATATGTATTATAAGCACATACATACATACATATATATAGTTTTTGCCTAAGAAATCAAATAAAAGCTAAACAAATTGATTGAAAAGGTACTAAGAATGAAGCCCAAAGAGCACTTTTGAAGTGGGAGAAATTTACTTTATAATGTCATATCCATGCCAGTGTCATGTAGTACACAGTGATGTACTACATATGTAGTATTTTGTTACATACATTTTATACATACATACAAAGCGTATCGAAGTGCTAAAAAACTTTGAAGTTCGACGATGCTACCAATAAATCGATCAATTAAAAAAAATATAAAAATAAAAAGCCCAGCCTACGATTCCGTTGCCCGTTTCGCTGCCCGTTCCCCCACATACTCATGCCGTACCATTTCGTTCTACGTATCTTTGCAGGCGCTCGTCATCGATGCTTCTAGCATATTCTTTGATCTAGTCAGCATTATCGTTTATTTCCATTACATGAGTAAGTAGATGGCTGTCCCAGATGCATTCATCCGCCCCATCGATCGACCCCTTGCTGCAGGGGCCCAGCCGCGCGCGCCCCTCTGCAACATTTGTGCCACGTGTGAAATTTGTATTTTGCATCTTTACCATTTCAGATGGTTGGGCCATTGCTTTTAGCATCATCAACCTGATCCTGCGCCCGGTGAGCGTGGCCCTGCTCTATCGCGAGTTCAATACGCGCGGCGGCAGCCTGCAGACGGGCTCGGTCTTCCCCACTAGCCAGCAGCGCAGCTATCAGGACATTGATCGTCCCACGCAGCCGACTCCAACCAACTCGCAGCCGGGTCCCAATGTGGCCAGCATTTTCTAGATCGGAGAGCCACCATCCCACAGCCCAAAAACAAAACAAACAAACAAACAAACAAAAAACCAATGGATGGACGTGTTCCGATCTGAAGAAGGACATCGAATGGAACGCAACGGAGTCCCGGGTCCCTTCTCCATCCCAGAAGAGAATGAGAACATTTTGATATGCTAAATAATTAAATAAATACATTTTTTTGTCATTGTTGTCGAGCTGTACGTCTCGTATAGAGACAGCAATTAGGGTTAAGCAACCTTAAGCATTGTAGTTAAATGTGGAACCGAGCAGAGCGAAAGCCCTTGAGCTGAAATCTCAAACCTTATGCGATTTCTTTTGTCTCCAGTCTGTACTGTACTGTACTGTATTGTTTTTTTTTTTTTTTTGTTATTAATGATTAACGAATAAAGACAACTAATCAGATAAATCAGCTATCAACTATATGTGGTAGATACGTACGCTCTTTGGAGACAGCAACGCGATGATCACAAATTAGTTTGTGGCCAAAAAATATATATATTATTTTATTATTATTATTATACTATTACTATTATTATTTGCATGTATAAAGGATAATGAATTGCAACTCTACTTATGTTTATCTGTATTGCCTAACAGAATAATCAATAACAGTAATAAAAGTGGGCCTCATCGTTTGCCAATCAACCAATAAATAGTCCGTCTCTGCCATCCTGTACAGTGAAACCCCAGCGCACCCACAGCCCCCAATGTCCCCCACTTATGTATACTATTTGTATGTATGTCTGTATATATGTTTCGCTTAGAAACCCTCCTTGGCCTTCCGGAACTTGTATTGATTGCTGCGCCCCTCCAGACAGGGCACCTGCACCAGATTGAAATAGATGGAGCCCATCAGCTGGCTGGCCGAGGTGTTGGTCTTCTTCAGGCAGCTGAACAGCATATCATCGCAGATGCAGTGCGACCTGTGGATGAGTGGTTATGGCACATGGCACACATCATCTATGTAGTTAGGTCAGAGCCACTCACTTGGTGTAGATGGAGTCATTCATCAGGTCGTACTTGGGCTGGTAGGCACGGATCTTCACCGGGCAGAGATCGTGCTGGCGACAGCACCGATCCATGGCCATCTCGCTGCCCAGATCGCTGTACGTCTCCGCAATGTCGCCAGTGCCGCACCACTTGGTGCCTGGAATGGGGGTTGCGGGGGAGGGAAAGTATTCGCTCAGTGCTAGTACTGCTGGGCTTTGGCTTAGGATAATGGATAATCACCTGGTATAATGCCGCTGAGCAGGGAAAAGGGACTGCGCGGAAAGATGTTGGTGGACAGCTTGAGGCCATCGATGCCACTGGCTAGGGCTGTATCACCGCTGGCACCACCACCAGCACCACCGCTGCTCCTTTCATCACCACCCTCCGATTTGACCTTGTGACGCGAGGCGTAGCTCAGCTTGTCCACGTGCTCGCATTGGTCCATCAGCTTGAGCATCTCATCGAACTTGATCTCCAGCGGACGATTGTAGTGGGAGAGTCCATCCAGCAGCATCTTTCCCTCCTTGTCGTTGCTGCCAGAGCAAAGAAAAATTATCACAGAGATTAGAATCTCTAGAATTGCATTCAGCTTGGATTCACTTTCATCATTCAGCCAAAGAAGTCCCCTATCTGATGGAAAACTATCAACTTAAAGGATGTACATAGATCCCTGGCTGCATAATTTCTAGTGGATCTGCAGATACTTTCGAGTATTCTGAGTATCCTCAAGTCTGTAAACTTAATCTCATGTATATATAATAAATCAATGAACGCAAATCTAACTGAATAATTCTTGTCTGATGTCTGTCGATGTCTGTTCGTCTGCTCACAGTTCCCCATCAATTCCCTAACTTCATTGATTGCTTCCGCAAACCTTGATAGCTCCCAAACAGATTGGTATATATATATTAATAGATACGTAGATACGTGTCATTGATTCTGGCATGCATACTCACTAGATTTCGATCAGTTCGCAGCCCAACAGCAGCTTCTGTGGGCCCAGCTCCGTTACGGCTATGGTCAGATCGTGATAGTATATCATAATGAGCGAGTCATTGCTCAGCCGCTTCCCGCTGTCAAATCCGCGAGAGATACATAGAGAGAGAGAGAGATTGAGAGAGAGGAGAGTGAGTGGAGAGTGAGTGAGAGCTCTGAGGCATATATGGGCACATGGCCAGGCAGCACATTGATGGGAACTACGTGACGTCCATGGCAATGGCTGCTACTGCTGCTGCTGCTGCTGCTGATCACCAGCAGGTGAAACCCTCGACTGCCGTGCCGTGCCGTGCCTACTAATTGCAGAGAGAAAGAGGCAGCGAGATCCCACCCCTCTGGTGCATCCATGGGTAGTAGGGGAGCTCTCACCTGTACGTCTTCATTTGTCGCACGCTCCGCTGCTCGAGGATTTGCTGGGTGAACGATTGAAACGATGGAAAGCCCTGCAGTCCCTGCGGCAGGCTGAACGACAGCGTCGGCTTGGCCGACGATGAGGTAAGATAGCCGAGCAGGGCGCAAAGCAGCATCGAGGCCAGCAACTGGAGTCGCCGACGCAGCCACAGATTGTAGGGCATCCCGGATCGAAGCTGGACGAACGTGGATGTGTGTGGAAACTGGAGAGGCAACTGGTTCACGTGGGCCAGACCCAAAGTCACATTACAGTCTGGTCGGGTCTGGTGTGGTCGCTCGCTCCGGCGATGGCAATTACGATAGCCGGTGTACGGTGTACGGTGTACGGTGGTGTACCTTCGCCTTCCCGGCGGAACCGAAACCTGCGGTTGGTTCCAATATATTGTTATTCTTTAATTAAATCAGCTGTTGGGGTTTCAGCTCGGTTCGCGTGTTGTTGCCGTTCGGCAAAGGATTGCATTGGATTGTGGATTTTGGCTTTCGGATTGATAGCTGGCGATGGCACTTGTCTGCGTGTTTCAGCGTGTGGGCGTGGTGCGGAGAGGGGAGTAACTGAATTATTTAGGCCCACATTCGTATCCAGTTAGGGGGCTCGTGCCCCACCAGCTGGCGGCTTTCCCAATGCTAAAGCCCGCCCCGCCCAACCATTCATTCCAGCCAGTTACTTTGCCGGCAGGTGCCAAAACTTGCAACTCATTCGACCCCGTTCCCATCCTCCCTGGGACTTCGCAGTCCGACTATCACATGGGGTTGGGGGGGGGACAATTGTCATGGGTTTAACAATGGACAGACACGACATGGCGGCTCCCCCACTCCATTGCACATCTGTCATGGATTGCATCAGTGGCCAAGCCCCCAGTCTGACGAGAACCACGAGCCACGCCCAGCCATCTCTACTCGCCCATGCAGCACATTACGTATACGCACAGTGGCCCGGGCCCGAAAACAATGGAAGACAAAGCGAAGAATACCCCCAGCCGCAGCAGCAATAGCCCAGCATTATCCCATTACGTAAACGTATAGCATAATGTTGGGTAATGCTACCTTACTTAGTTGCGTAGATATTAAAGATCTGAGCATGGGATGACGATCAGGGCTCATGGGAATAGGCATGGGAATAACAATGGGGCTACCCCAGACCACCCCAGACGACTGGAACGACATCCAATATTCAAACTGCTCTCTCTGCATGGAATCGATTATAAAGCCCGTGCCCGTGCCCGTGCGTATTTTTTTTTTAATTTCTAAAGCCATTTTCAACGGTTCTAAATGCAAATTCCAGTCAGTTTTCATTCGTGTTGGAATTGGAAATGGAATTGGAATCGGGATTGGCTAAGCTCAAAACTTATTTCAGCGAGTCATTAAATCTGTCTTTGATTACAAATTTTACGTTGCTATTATTATTTATATTTATTTTAATGAGATATTTATTACAAATAAGAAAAAAAAAAAAAAATTAAATTATTTTGAATCATTTTTAATTTTAAAGTGTTTTATTTTTAGATCAAATATGGGCCATATTAAAACCGATTGTTGAATCTATTTATGTTTAAATATAAAATGAATTCTATTTAATTTCACTACACGCGTTTTTTCATTTAAAAAGCGAATATTTAACTGAAATATGGGTGTGTGTGTGTGTCTTCTGTTTACTATGCCACTTTTCTCTGAGTGTACCTGCTAGATTCTGCGATCTGTGGAATGCTAAACAGGCAGTTCCCATTGAACCCTGCTGACTTTTCGCGACCTAACCCCGGCTTCAAGTTGAAACCACTTCAATATTTAAAATATTTTCCTTATTCTTTTTCAGCAAACTTACATCATTGACCCGTGGCCTTTACAAGTCCTTGAACTTACCCATGGCCTCGCACCCACTAGGGGCGTTCGATACTAAATGGGGCTGGCCAGCAAAAAGCAAACAAAAAGCTAAAAAAAAAAAACAAAAACCCCTGCTGTAGCCGACGTTCTGGCCATATCGCCAACGATTGGAGCACACGCACCCAACATGCTAATAAATATGCTCCACACTCCCCACACTCTTCCCATGCCACCCCCTACCTACCCCCCTACCCATAACCTTAACTTCTCATGCCCCTTGAGTGATTATTATTATTATTACTAGTAATATTGTTGTATGTTTCTTGGCGACGACGCATTTTGATTGTTTTGAAAGCCCTCAAACAGCAACAGCAACAGCAACGAAAAACCAGCTAAAATATAGCACGAAAGTTTACGCAAGCTGGTCAAGAAGTGGCATGGGGGGGGAAGTGTGAGGGATAGTGGCTGAGGCAGGGGGCAGTAGCCCTCGCTAGCTACGAGGTGAGCAAAGTGAAAGTGTTTTCATTGTTTGGGACTTTTGGTGGCCTCTACGCTCCTCACCGGTTTGTTTGCCGATTTTGTTGCGATTTCAATGGGAACTACGGCCGACGAGCATGCAATCCGAATCCAAGTCCCAGTCGATGACGAAGATGTCCAAAATGTGGCGTGTTTTGCAATGTGGGGGCCTTGTCTTGCCTCAGTGTCCACAGTGTTACAGACTCCACAGCACACAACCGCAATGGCTATAACCTAGCCACAGATCGCGATACATATTTGTATGTATGTATGTATGTATGGGCAGGCAGACATGTATAACTACAGCTTAAGCTTCAGTTATGGCCCCAGTACATATGTGTGTCAAGTGGACCCAAGTCAGTTGGTTCAATGTTAAACACAAATGCAAATAGCCAACCGTGTGGCAGGCCGTAACGAATATCTGCATCTAAAGTATATATCTTTGTGCTGGCCAAGCTGAGCGTTAAATAAAACCAGAGTCAGAGGCTGCCAAAACTGATTTTGTTTTTGGTTTCGAAACAATTGAACTTTGGCTTGGAACTTGGAATAGTAAACTGAAACTGAACTGAGATTTAAACAGTCTGTGTGGGGGAGTTTGGAGACTTAACTGCAATCTGCGCTTGTGTAATATCCAATTTTAAAGCTGAGTAATATCTGTCTAATTTCTGTAGCCATCTTCCATCGAAACTCATCTTAGTCCCAACTCAATGCGCCAACCTGTCAGCCAAAAATCTGTCAACTCACTGAGAACCCAAACGAAGCTCTGCTCACAGCATGAGATCCTCAATAAGCCACAAAACATCTTCAATGGAAATTCCAAAAAAAAAAAGGGGGAAAAAAAAGGAAAAAAAAAGAAAAAAAAATAAGAAAAACCAAAACAAAAAAAGATTGCTCTCGAAATTTCTAGCAGTTTTCATCGCTGATAGCGGTCTAATGGCTAGGTATGGGGGTCTCAGAGATAGCTGTCGCGCAAAGACACAAAGATAATTATAATGAAAGCGTTGGCTGGCATCGTGCATCCAAGATGGATCTTTGAACTGGATCTACGAGAGGAAAGAGATCTGGCCCTGCCACGGAGATCATCTTTTAATGGGGCTCGCAAGCCCCCACGAGATCTATTGTTAAGTGCTGCTTGGCAGCACTCAATTTCCGGGGCTGGGCATGGGCTTGGCTCCACTAAAAAAAAAAAAACCAAACGAAACTTGGCCAACTTGAACTTGCTCCGCACTTCCCTCTAGCTCTGCCCACCCCCTCCCATTTGTGGCGTCTCCAGCAAAAACCGTAGAGAGTTTCAGACGAGTTCAAGAGTGCAAAACCAAAGCAAACAAGAACAACAAAATAGAGAAACAAACCACGAGCCAAGCTTTAGGCCCCAGCAAACGACCATCAACAGCTGGGGCGGGGAGGGCCTTGGCATAGGTCAGTGAAGCGTACCAGCGGTACAATTCCCCTCCCCCCCTTCTGACCAGATCTGGCCACTGTCATCATGAAGGTGTAGTGAAAGGAAGGACGTACGGGGGTGTGGAGTAAAAGTGGTCATGGCTGCAGATGAGCCGCACAGCAGCAGCACCAGCAGCAACAGCAACAGAAACAACAGGTTTCCTCCAAGCACAGCTTTGGATCGGCATTAACTTTCACATTGGGCACCTAATTGTGGGCTTAATCTTGGTTAATTTGCTCCAGTTTTGATTTCCATTTGTAGCACACGCGAGAGAGCCCAAGACAAGCCAAAGCAGAAGCAGAAGCCAAGACAAGACAACACAAGACAAGATTCGATCCAAACCGATCCGCACCGCACCGCACCGCCGATCTTCTTCTTTGGCATATTGAAGAGCTTCTTCTGCTTCGACAGATGAGACATGAGGCTTGATGGAATGGGATAGGATGGGATGATGCGGCCATGTGGATACTTCAGGCACTCTGCACGACAACATTATGCAATCTGGCGATGATTGTAGAGTTGGTCACAATTTATGTATGATGGCAGTTGGGTTGGGGGTAGGGGATTCGTGGGTAGATCTGGTCGCACTTCACAACTATCTGCTAATCAGGTAGCGGGCTACAGGCAGCAGCCAACCGCCAGGTTGCGACAGCTCCATCTGCAAACCCAACTAGCACTGGCACTCACAATCACAACTCACACACACACCCCCCAGCCATAAAAGGCGACACGGAGCCAACGGGCAACCACTCTAGGAATGGTAATGGGATCTCCTCTCGCACTTTTGTACTTGCGCGCCACTTTAATGGGCCATTAATCCGCACAGCACAGCACCAGCCAACCAGCCACCAAAAACCATAATCCACAATTTATACACAGCACTCAGAACTATTCGCAAATCACAAATTTATGTATAATTATCGGGCAGCCGAAACTTGTTTCGGTTTTGCTGGACAGTTTCACTTTTCATCATGTACGAAAAACAACAAGAAAAAAACAAGCAAAAAACAAGAAACCAAAAACTAACCAAAAAAAATAAAAAATAGACGCTGTTTTTCCCCCACCGATTCGGAGTCCGGCGCGCATGCGCAGTGGCTGTAGCAATCGAAATCGCAATCGCTGGTTGCAGTAACGGTAATGGAAGCCGGAATAACTATTGAAAACGCAATACCGTTCGCTGCCGCGCAAAGTCAGCAACTGATCGATCAAGAGACACCAAAGCCAAGTGAGCCAGAGCCAACAGTGGAGCTGAGCCAGACCGAGCAGCAAAGCAAGCAGCCAAGCCAAGGTATATAAAATGGAAGGTATAAACTTCGCTGTGCCAATCTACATCATATCTATACGTATCGCGCGTCATGCGGCTGTGCCCCTCGGTCGGCTATGCATTCTTTGGCGCCGAGCACGTTTTCCCGAACTCTGTGCATACCTTACATTGAATACACCTTGAGCGCGACGTCGACAGCTACAACGAGACGAGTGTTGGGCTCCGAAAACATCAACAACAACAACGAAACGACGTAGCGTCGGCGTCAACGAAAATGTGTCAAAAGCAAAAGCTGCGATACAACAGCAAAAAAAAAAAGAAAAAAAAATACACTGCCAAAACGAGGCGTGTGTGGCTGTTACACGATACGCTTTCTAGCGACGGTTTTTTTTGAGAAAAAACCGATGGCATTCCGAAATGCATTTCACCGATGGAAACACGATAAAAAAAAATATGCCAATTGCATCCTCCACAAATTGCAATACTAATACACATTAAAAGAAAAAAAAGAGAATGGAATAGTGTCGTTGGAAAACCGAATCATTGGACAGCATCGTCAAGCAGCAGACACAAAGCAGTTGGTGCCTTGTTTACGAAAAGCGCCCATTTGTTAGAGTGAGAGAGTGCGCGTAAGCAGGGAGCCGACATGGTAACAAGTCTCAGGATACCCTCTGCTGGGGAAGGGAACTTGGAATAAAATCTCAAAAATGTTCAACAATTAAAACATTGCCAGCTATTTGAACTGCGACTTTAATTTTTGTTCTTTTCCCAACTGTATTTTGAACACTGCTTGGCGCCCAGCAAGAGGTCTCTCCTCTCTCTGCTTGCTCTGTGCCCATAGCAAATTATGAAGGATGACTAGGAAAACTGTTTATTCCACCTAATGGGTATCATGGATATGCAGCAGTAACTGCAACTGCATCTTTTGGCGGCTTCACACACAAACACACACACACAGTCGTGTGCCTGCTTGCATTGTGTGCAAGAGAGTAGGCGAAGCGGTGCAAGAGCAGGACAGCAGCATGCTGCTGACCCATTTATGGGGACGATGCGCGCGACTCTTCGCTGCGCTGCGCCAAATGCTGATCATCGCGCTGCCGAAGTTTCCCATCAAAATGCTATGGCGAGAGGGGGGGAAGGCCATTAATTGTCGTCGGTGAAGTGCCAAAGTGAAAACAAACCCAAACAACTTTTAAAATGTCGCTGCAAGCAAGCACAGCGCGCGTACCAAAGAAAAGTGACAGTGGGGTAAGCAATTAAAACGCGGTTTTACCTGCAGAAAGCGACACACAAAAGGGCACCCAGACAGACAACGATCCAAAGGGTTATTGGCTGTTTGAGCCTCCCCGTTCGGGGGGGGGGGGGGGGGGGTTCTTCTAAAATTTCAATAGATTTTAACAAATACAAATATGAATGAACATCAAGTAGTGGTAGAAGAAAACGAGAGTAACCGATTTGATTGGTTTTTGTATTTATTTTGAGATTTACGACGTTGCTCTTAAGCTACTGCTAAGTAATGCCAAAAATTGCTTGCAACTGCAATGTTCATAAGTATACGTGTATTGGGTTTCAATTGTGTATGAAATTTACTCATAAATGTTTGTAGATGTCACTGGTGGCTTCTTGCCGCTACCACATACGGCGTACGATTATCGCTCCCACCGGTTCCGTCCACTTCATTGTTTTCCACGTGGGCATACGTGGATGAGGATGGCTCTGGGTGTGCCTACTACTTAGCTGCAAATACTTGTTACATGTGTGCACGCATCAGCTACCATCGGTATGAAATATTAATCATAGTGGATAATGATTGTGCTTAGAACTATACATTTTTTTCGCTTATTCCTTCTCCGGTCGTCTATACAACATTTTGTTTTCTTCTCGCTTCTAGTTAGCATTTACTGGCGGTGGCGGTTGGCGGTTAGGGTTTGGGAATTGGCGGTTGGTCGTTGGCGGGGTAGCCTCGAAATTAAACTTCAAATTGTGCTACAAAATCGTTCTAATTAATCGAGGACAGTTGTTGCCCGGGCATGCGCTTAAAAAAATAAACAATATTTTCTCTATATGGAAAGCTGCTGTAGCTATCGCTATCTTTTTTGCGTATCATCTCAATCACATGTGTAATTAACTATAAACCATCAAAAAAACAAAATTAAGAACTTTTTAAGAACGATAATCAACTGCTTGCTTTTCAGTGAATTTTTAACAAATATTCACGCACACACACACACACACACACACACACACACAATAAACAAAAACCAAATAAGACGAATAAAAATATGTGTGGAAAATCAAAGATATCAAGATATCGTATCAGCAAAAACTAGCAATACTCTTTTTTTGCTTCCTAACTTTCAACTTTCAATTGGAACTTAGCCTAGGGCAGGGGGGAGAGGTGTGGGGTAACCGCCTTACTGCTGCTGACTGCTAACTGACGGGGGGCGTGGAACTGGACGTATTCGATGGTTCTTAATAGTGGATAGTGGATACGATACGATACGATTACCTACTGCTGGCTGACTGGCTGGCTTGCTGGCTACGTGGCTGCTCTGACTCCTGGGTATGGGGGCCCTACTAAATATTTTTAACTACGTTTTGGACTTATTCGATGGAAATGACAAACAAAATAAAAGAATACAAGGCTAATCAATCTGCTGCATCCGTGTGTCCATGCTGGACACAGGACATAATATTTACAATAAAAAAAAAGTATGTATAGAGCAAGGGGGAGGGGGGTGCATTGCACACAGTGCATTGGGTGGATAAACCCTATCGCTATGCCATACAACAGATGCCGCCTCCAGTGCGGCTGCTGCTCCATGACGATGCTCCCTCCCTGGCTCACTTTCCCTCCGTTTTCTGGGGGCTGCTGCTGCTGCTGCTCTCGCACGTGTCATAGAATTTGTTTTTGACCTCATCGATGGAGTAGTCCTGCTCGATGGCGGGGTAGCTGAACTTCTGCAAAATAAAACACACGCACACACAATTGAAGCCAATCGAATCACTCGAATATCATAGACAATCGAAAGGAACCTACATTCTGGGTGATGTTCTGGCCGCGTAGCATCTGCCAGTTCTCCAGCGTGTGCGCGTACTGCAGATACTTCTCAAAGTCATGCAGCGTCTCGTAGACATGACACAGCCCCAGATAGTCGTACTCCAGGCCGGAATACGACAGCCCGAACAGACGTAGACCTGCACGAGACAAGGCGTGACTTAGAGCTGGACGGGGAAGCAATGGGGGCGAAGATATGCCCAGTATACTTACTTATATCGATGCTGCGCAGGTAGAGCTTTTCCGCCTCGCGGTACTTTTTCATTTGGTAGTTGTAGAGCGAGGCCAGGTGGCCAATGGAGAGGCCCACCTCGTAGTCGAACGGCCCCAGCAGATCCGTTTTGATCTTGATTGCCTTCTGATGCATACGTTCGGCCTCCTCGAAGCGGTTCATTGTCTGATAGAGCCGCCCCAGATTGCCATAGTGCTTGGCCGTCTGCACGTTCACCTCGCCGAATACCTCGAGCGAGAGCAGCAATGCAAAGTTATGCAGCTCCTCGGACTGCAGCAGTAGATCCTCCTCGTCCATGCCATCGGCCATCTTGTCCAGTGCAATCTCCTCCAGCAGCAGGGCCTTCACACGCTTGGCCGAGGCCAACATTAGATGGTTGCTGGGCACCAGCTTCTTCATAATGCCCACAGCCTTGTCCACATGGTCCTGGGCACAGCTAAAGTCGCCGGTGCTGTACTCGTGCACGTAGTACGCATACGACAGATCCTCGTGGGCAATGGCCACATGGAAGTTCATGTTGCCAAAGATGCCGCGACGGACGCCCAGCGCCTCCTTGTACACGTTCACCGACTGGAACACCGAGTCCACATTAAGCAAGAAGAAGCCATAATCCAGGAGGGTGTCCCCGTACTTTTGATGCTTGCGGCCAAAGTGTTCCCTAGAATGAGCAGGATTAGCACGAGACAGAGAGAGAGAGAGAGACAGATTCTGAGAGCCTGAGAGCCTCTATAGCTTACCTAGCGCGTCGCACAGCCTGACAGATTAACAGATTGGCCCGGGCAAAGTCTCGCTTAACCACACAGGCCTTGGCCGCCTGCCTCAGCACATCGATGGCGATGCTGTGCGCAAAAACAAATGGATGAAAGATTCAACAATAACAATCAATATTCAAGAGTCAGAGCGAGAGTGAGAGAGTGGCAGAAGAAACCCACCGCGGTGTGGCCGAGTGCTTGAGGCGACGCATCGCATGCAGGCTCCACATGTGGCTGTTGTTGTACTCGTTGCGGGCAAAGAACATGGCCGATATCTGTGTGTAGGTCATGGCCACCAGATCCGAGGGCACCCGGTCGCTAATTGAGCGCTTCAGCTCTATCAGTTCGTTGTAGGTGCGCTGGGCCAGCTTGAAGTTACAGTGGGCCGATTCCGCATACAGGAGGCTGCGCAGAAGCAAACACACACATATATATCATACATTAGGGATTGACTAGAGGTTCGTAATGCCTTACCGCTGCAGGCAGTCAAGGCGCATCACCAGCCAGTGCTTGTGGGGCGCCAGACGCTTTAGTCTTTCGTTGAGGCACGTCAGCACTGAGATGCTCTCCTGCATCCAACCGGCCTCGGAGAGGAACGAACCGAGACGCAGACCCAGATCAATTTCCTGCAGCTCCTCCCCGTTCAGTTCGTCCAGGTCGTCATCGGCTGCAGCTGCAGCTGCATCTGCATTCGGCGTTGTAGATCCTGGCTGATCCATGGCAGTAGTAATCACACTGAGTTCGAGCTCATGGTTGGGGCACTCCGTTTGGCTGGATCTGGCCCTGGCCATGGCACTGGCACTGCTGCTGGTGCTGGCCATATCCTCGTCCGGTATCGGCAGCTGGCTGTACTCCTGCAGCAGCTGTTTGGCCCGCTCATCCAGACTGTCCTGCGACTGTTCTTGCCCCTCGGCACCTCCTCCTCCTCTCCCCTGATGTTCGCCTGGCTGCTCCCCATCCTCGTCGCCATCCTGCTCCTTTTTTGTGCTGTAGCGACCCACATAGGCCTCGCTAAGTCGGCTAGCGAGCATCTTTCTGTTGGCCATCAGGGCGGCCACAATTCTCAGCAGTTTGCTGCGTGCTGGTGCGTGGCGCACGAGCCGTGCGAACACCTCCAGGCGCGAGAGCTCCTCCAGCAGGGTGTCCTGTAGGGAATCCCGCTGCGACATCTGTCGTGGGTGGAATAAAGGCATTAAGGAATAAGCTCAAATTATCTCACAACAAGACAACACAAGACACAATCTCTGGACAATGGAAATGCGCTTCGCTTAGCCAGTGGGAATTATCAGCAAGTTCAATGGCTCTTTGGCAACAGCTGTGCGGCGGCAAGGTCTGTCCCTTCATAAGCAGCATCATCATCATGATCATCTATCTACCCGCATCCATAGGCATCGGAAGCAGAACAGGACAATCAAAGGGACCTTCTACCCCCCCTCGGTTACTGCTCGCTGGCTGATTGTGGCTATTTTTAGCCGCTTGTCGCAGCTTCTGTTTATAATTTATACTGTAATTGCCAGCTTATTATGACAAGATCTTCGCTCTTCGTTATGTGCGTGTGCCTGCGTATGTGTGTGTGTGTGATACGATGGGAACACGAAGCTCCCGAATATGTATATATATGTACATGGATTGGAAACCAAACAAGTCCAGCTCCAGCTCCAGCTGCATCTACATACATACATATATATTCTTATAGATCATCCCCCCACTGTGTATCAGTGCAGGGCAAAAAATAAAACGAAATCGCAGTTGAAAACAGTTGATCGTTGCCGACCTTTTTTTGCAGCAGAAACCACCCGAGTGAAGTGCCTACACACAGCTGTTTGGGGCTGGGGGTGGGTGTGGGGGTCGCTTCACTCTTTATGTACTTAATGTGTTTATGTTATTTACAGAACCACCGCCCGATAATGGTACAGGGTCAATCGTACCCCCTTATGATCGTCTTACCCAATCAATAATATGAAGCGCAAATCAAATCAAAGCAAATCGACTTTTGGCCAGCGTCTACGTCACGACGCTCAAGCAGGCGTCGCACCCCCCACCCACCAACAAAGCGGAAAGGCAAACACACAAGCACACACATAGGCATGCGAATGATATTTACACACGGCTGGTAATCGGAGAGATGCGAAAACAGTGGGGACCAATGGCGAAATACCCACTGAAATCTGGGCGGACAGATAAGCAGGAGAGGAGCATGGCGTGGGTGTGGGTGTGGTGTGGTGCTGTAACCCACCGCCCAAAGATAACGATCGAGCCACGAGTTTGATCGAAACTAAACTGAATGTCGTCTGCCCGTTTGCCCGTTTGCCTGTTTGTTGCATGCAACCGTTGCGTTTGCTGCTTGGCTTGGCTTGGCTATCCACTTACCATTTCGTAGACATCGATAAGCAAATTGCGCGGCAGCTCCGGCAACCGGCTAATCCGATCCAGTGCTGGCACCGTGTTCCCATCCAGGCTGCAGATCGATGCATGCAGGGACAGGTCGTAGAGGGGCTTGGGGCTGTTGTTGTTGGCGGGGGCCGACGCGATGAGATTCATCAGTTGATTGTTGTTGGCCATTGCGATGGGACGACGACGATGATGATGATCCTCTGCACCGTTTGCTACTTGGCTCGGGCTCGGGGGCAGCAGTTAGAGCTGGGGCTGGGCTGCGGCGACACTGCTGCGCTCACGTCTCTCGCTGGTGCGTGTGGAGCAGGGGCGGGGTGGCACTCGGGTGCACTCTGCAACAAGTATTCAGTTAGACTACACGCACATTGGGGGGAAGGGACACTCTTTTTGGGGCACGGCCCACAACACACACGTGCCCAGGGCCAGACACCAAACAAAACAATAACAGAATTGGTGGTAGGGGGAAAAGCACTCCACTCTCTTGTCTACCAGCAATGCGGAGTGTGGCAATCTCTCTGAGGGGCTACGGCTGCTCCGTTCACTTAAATTCACTTTCTTTCAAGACGTTCTCTGGTTTTCCTTTCTTTCAACTCAGTGCTGCTTCGGCCGCGGCCTCCAACGCCAACGTCGCAGTCGACGCGTTTCTTCTGCTTGCTGGTGCTTCACTTCTGTTGCTGGTTGCTGGTGGCTGTGAGTTGTGGAGTGTGTGCCTCTTTGTTGCCACCTGCAGAGGCTGGCTTGGAGCTCACTTACACAAACTCGAATGCATCTAAGTTTCTCTCTCACGTGTACTGCGGGCCACTCTGGAGGAACTCCGCTGTTTTTCGGGCCGTGAAGCGTAAAAAAACACTGTAGCACTCGAATTCTTTTTTCCCTTTTTTACTCGATAAGGGCCTACATTAGAGGTGTCAAACCATCGAGGGCACTATCGATAGTATCGATATTTTACTGCTAGTCTCTACTATCGACGGTTTTGCGACTATCATGATAGTATCGAGCTACAGTCGTTGCACTTTTGATATGTTTGGATTGGCTGCTATAAAATACGAAGACAAATTTGTAAAAAAATCGACAGGTGGCATCTAATTTTTACAATGGACAAGTTCCTAAAAGGTTTCAATAGTTTTTTAATAATTTTTTGAGCCCGATACTATCACGATAGTATCGATTGTTTTTTTCAAAACATTCAACGTTGATATTCCTCGAATTTGATATTCCGTTTAATATTACTAGCTAGCTGGGACTCTCAGCCCTAAACAAATAATTTTATCCGATAGATACATACATTTTCTACAAGATTGGCAAGTTTTCAGAAGTCCTTTTTATTGGATTATTTACATATTAAGGTTCAAACAAAAACAACATAAAACGAATGTGACGTAGTTTTTTGGCGCTGCCAGGCTCGTGCAATTCGTAGTTTCTGCGGGCTGCCATACCATGATATTTTGTGATATGAAATTCGTCAATTTTGATATTCAGTTTAATATTACTAGATAGTTGGCCCTCTCAGCCCTAAAAAAAATAATTTTATCCAATTCCTCAATGAATTTTGTTCAGGATTGGCTAGTTTTCAGAACTCTTTTTCATTGGATTGTTTACATAATAAGCCATCAGCATAGGAAACCAATTCTTGTATGCATACACAGCACTATGGGAAATTTGACCCCTTTTTCTGGCCAAAATTAATAACTCAAGAATGGAGGAAAATATTTCGCTTATGTTTTTTGCATCGGGTTAAATTAACCAACATCTATTAGAAATAGAAAAATAGAGGGCGTGGCACCGCCCTTTTTTTAAAAACTCATTTAAATTTCCTCATTTTTTTAGAGTATTTCTTTAACAAGTAACAACCATTTTTGTGACAGTATTAGGTTATATTTATTGGACAATTGTGGGCGTGGCACGCCTTTTATTCCATATTACCATTTTCGATGCATCTAAGGGCAGTGACTGTGACTGTTGTGGCAAATATATTGGAGCCAAAGTATAGCCCTCCCGAGTATTTCTAATTGTAATTGGATTGCCCAGAGCTTTCATCAAAGCCGTAGCTTAAAATCAGTTGCTGTGTGGGCTAGAAGACTCTGCAGCGCTACTTCAGCTTTGTTATCAATTACTGAAAAATCATCAGGTCGGAAAATTTTTTTTTTGGTCAGCAACCGTATCGTATAATGGATATATATCGAATTGCCTTTTTCTTGACTGGTATCCTATAGCAAAGTATTGCTCTTTTGTAAAATTTTGGTCCAGAAGAAGAGCTAATGCCTCATCAGGGGAAACAGCTTCTGGCGTTTTGATCGGTGCCATAATTGCTTTGCGCATGTATTTAGCTTTTTCGGGGCATATCGAAAGCAGCTTCAGAATACTGGCAAGATCTGCTTGCTTATTTATTGTGCAGCCAAGCTTGCTGCATGTATAAGTAAACTTACATTTGCGTTTACATTAGCATAAGAACTCTTCCACATTTGTGTCAAGCGGTAGCAAAATTTTTTACACGCTCGGTCTGCAATATCGCTGTGCTGCGCAAAATCCACTCCTGATATGGCAGCTTTGATCAAATTCAACACAGCATCCTCCTTTGCGGCTTTTCCCCTTGCTTCGTACCACTTTCTAAATAAATCTTAGTTTAGCCAAATTGAGGTTATGTCCTAAAAATTAAAATTTCTCGCAAAATCGTAAAAAGTGTTATTTTTAATTACATTCATTTGAACAAGAACTTAATACTCTACAACATACAATACATCTTGTTGATGGACTCTGCTGGACTCACTTTAAATCCCTTTTGCAAGATGAGACTTTATCAAAAATATGCATTTACAAGGCTACTTACATGTTGGCTATATTGAGGGGACAACACGAGTTTTTTCTACATGAGACGTTCACAAACACATAATACAAACCACACTGATTGGAATTCATTTCAAAAATTTGAGTAATATTTTTTAGTTTTTGTTTTTTGACCACTTAAAGTTAGCAAAAAACTTAATATTGCAGAAGCATGTGATTTGAAAATGAAACAGCTGTGTTTATCAGCTGATTCCTTTGTTGTGGCGCTCTCCATCAAGATTTCTGTTATGCAACAATAAAGATTGAAGTATTGTCAATGCGTTGCACTAAAACTTTTTTTAATATTCCGACTTTCAGAAAATTGGTTTTGGCCAGAAAAAGTGGTCAAACTTCCCATAGTGCACAGTTTGTGCTGTGTACCAGCATACCGAAATCCCAACACATGCAAACATCTTTGTGTGTATGCGATCTGTCCAGCAAAAACCGGTTTTGTCTCTTCTCTGATTGGTGTTAACCCGATTTTTGTTATGATATTGTTGTTGTCTTTTCTTCGAGTTTGCACTGTTCCCTTATTGGTATTTGTGTTTTTGTTTGGGAGTATTGGTGAGTTCCCTGCCGTAAGCTGACTTTGGGCATCGCTGCCATATTTCCTTTAATTTATGTTAAATTTGTTGTTCCAAGCTGCTTTGAAACATTAATATAGCATTTTTCTTGGATTGAGATGTTTTTTTCCAATTGTTAATTTTGTCGTTAAATTTCTTATTTATATAAATCTGGATTAAATAGAAAAAAATTCAAAATAAAGCTGAAACATTTGTATAACTATATGTACATAATACTCAAATGATCTGCAGATGATAGTACAATATGTTGTTGAGAAACAAATAGGAACATAAATACTTCCTATTTAGAAGCTTTTGTTACCCCCTCAGAAAATATAGATGGATTCATAGCACATTTGCGAAGCCGGTAATTGAATTCCGGTCAGAGCATAGAACACATATAGAGCACATCTTCCTCAGCTGCGCCCCTTTCGTTGTATGAACTGGCACATCTATATGCTGTATGGTTAGTGGCTACGTGTAGCAAGAACAGCACGGCAAACCAGAGCATATACATTTTTCTCGCTCGCTCCTATCACGCAGCTGTACGTTTTCTTGCAGCTGCAGCCGACCGCTTGTGTACAGCAATCAGGGCTGCCGACTTAGCTTTTTTCCGTCCGGGAAAGCGGAAATTCTTGATGTTTTAAGAATTGTTTGCATGGATGACACAAACGAGTTTACAGTTTAGTGCAGCTGTTGCAAAATCACAGCCAAGCTACGTGATATACGCGCCCATGTATACACAAAAGCGCACACAAGTGCAATAAGTGGCGTCAAACAAAAAACAAAACAGACTTTGTCAGATTACCTCTCCAGCGATATATAAAAATACTGTTACAATAATGTCAAATATCACCTCTTAAAGCAATTTTTGGTAAAATCAATATAGTTTTTTTTTTTTTCCTCAAGCTAGAAACAGCTTTTTTCTTATGAAAATTTGGCAGCACTGAGAGCAATTCTGCTTGCATACGTGTGTGTGTGTGTGTGCGTAACGAAAAAGGTATAAATACGGCAGTCCTCAGCACGGAAGCATCATTTCAATTTTTTCTCCGTGGGGAACACATCTTACAAGCTATCGTCTAATACATATTTAAAAACATTGTTGAACATTTAAAAATACTGTGTCACACATGTGTGGCTTATATATTGTTAATGATTGCTATTTTTTATTGGTTGGTTTTCCTTCCTCTTAACAATGCAAATTGAGAAAAAACGAGAAGGAACGTGTGAGTCGCTTCTGGGGACGCGACTCTACTTATACCCGTACTCAGTCAGTATATACATACATTTTTGAGCTTATGATTTTTAAGAATTTTATAAAAAAAAAAATTTTACATTTTACATTTTTTTTCTACATATGATATCTACATCTACATATACAATGTATATTCTACATCTAACATGTAGATTGTACATGTTCCATTCATATTCTACATCTCCTCCGCTAGGGGTTGCTCGCGCACTGAACGCGGCAGAGTGTGCGAGCGAGAAGGAAAATGAGTTGTGATATCGTTTGCGGGAGGGCGGGCAGGGGAAGCAACAGAAAATTAATTTCTTCATTCTGGCTATAATTATGATCCGATCTGATTCAGATTTGGCAATCTGGTAGATATGGGCATTCTCTACGATACTGCGTTTTTAGTTTTATCGTATCTTTGAAAATGTGCCTGCCACAGATTTTAAATTTTAAAATACACTTGTAGCAGTGTGATATCACATGAGTCTGGAAACCAAATTTGGTTGCCCTAGCTCTTATAGTCTCTGAGATCTAGGCGCTCAACAAGACGGACAGACGGACAGACAGACAGACAGACAGACAGACAGACAGACAGACATGGCTATATCGACTCGGCTATTAATGCTGATCAAGAATATATATACTTTATGGGGTCGGAAACGTTTCCTTCTCTGCGTTAGACACATCCACTTTTACCACAAATCTAATATACCCCTTAACTCTTTTTTGAGTACGGGTATAAAAAAACAAAATAGCACAAGAAGAAAATACCAGAAGACCGCCAAGAAGTCGCCAAGAAATGAAATGCAATCCAATAAACCAAAAAAATAAAATAAAAGCCTCCACTGGAACAAGCAAAAAGCAGTTTAATTTTCAGAGGTTTTCCTCCGCTCATCAGATCAGAGCAGAGCAGAGCGGGGAGTGTTCTGAATATATGTATTAAAGGTATTATAGGTAGATAATTTTACACTCTCTATGAGCTGTTTTAGACCTTTTCTGTGCTGCTTTCTGAGGCATATGCGTGAAATACAGTCAATGGATTACCTTCAGGCGTATCTATCAGAAGTTGCTGTGACTTCGACGTCAGAAGTGTGGCGTTCTGCTGCTTTCAATTTGAAATAAAATACAAAAAATTCTACCAAAACATAAAATGACAAAAATCAATAGATTTTGAATGTGTTTTACTTGCTTGGAAATGTATTTCATCTAGTTAGCATTTACTTTTCTGTTCGTATCGTTTGATTTGAGGCTGGGCAATATTTCATTCTCAC